GCAGGCAAGTAAGAGAGCTGCTGGAGGAGTAAGAGAGCTGCTGGAGGAGTATGGAATCAACCAGAAGTTGGCTGCAGTAAGTCATCCTCAGGCCAACGGACAAGCAGAAATCACAAATAGAACCATTTTCGCCTGCATTAGGAAGAAGCTGGAAGACTATAAAGGGAAGTGGTTGGATGAGCTCCCGAACGTTCTATGGGCTTACAGAACCACCCCAAGGCGGCCGACTGGGGAGAGCCCGTTTGCAATGGCATATGGTACCGAGACAGTTATACCGGTTGAGCATTTGGTCCCCACTATCAGAAGCTTAGCATGGAGTCGAGATCAGAACGACAAGATGTTAAGATTGAACCTCGATATGATAGACGAAAGGAGGGACACAGCGGCTATAAGGTTAGCATCGTATCAGCAAGTATTGGCGAATAGTCACAACAAAAGAGTAAAACACAGGGATTTTGCCCTTGGCGATCTGGTTCTGAAAAGAAAGGTGGGGATGGTCAAAAAAATGATGCCACCCTGGGAAGGCCCATACAGAATTGCAGAAGTCATAGGCAAGGGAGCATATACGTTGGAAACCATGGCGGGAAGGTTGGTCAGCAAGCCCTGGAACGCCACGTCTCTGAAGAGGTACTACCAATAAAAGCTAAGTTTCGGCTTTAATTGGATGTTGTTTGTTGTCAATCAAATACGTATGAATGTGCAAGTTACTGAAGTTTACAAAAAATAACTTTCTTTTCCAACGGCCTCCTAAAAAATGAAAAGCCAAGTGGCAAGTGGCATTCTAGCCGAGCGCCAGGCACTTAAGCAAGATAAGTGGCAGCTGGCACCATAAGCCGAACGCCAGATGCTTGCTAAAAAATTTAAAGCCAAGTGGCAAGTGGCATTCTAGCCGAGCGCCAGGCACTTAAGCAAGATAAGTGGCAGCTGGCACCATAAGCCGAACGCCAGACACTTGCTAAAAAATGAAAAGCCAAGTGGCAAGTGGCACTCTAGCCGAGCGCCAGGCACTCAAGCAAGATAAGTGGCAGCTGGCACCATAAGCCGAACGCCAGATGCTTGCTAAAAAATGAAAAGCCAAGTGGCATTCTAGCCGAGCGCCAGGCACTTAAGCAAGATAAGTGGCAGCTGGCACCATAAGCCGAACGCCAGACGCTTGCTAAAAAATTTAAAGCCAAGTGGCAAGTGGCATTCTAGCCGAGCGCCAGGCACTTAAGCAAGATAAGTGGCAGCTGGCACCATAAGCCGAACGCCAGACACTTGCTAAAAATTTAAAGCCAAGTGGCAAGTGGCATTCTAGCCGAGCGCCAGGCACTTAAGCAAGATAAGTGGCAGCTGGCACCATAAGCCGAACGCCAGACACTTGCTAAAAATTTAAAGCCAAGTGGCAAGTGGCATTCTAGCCGAGCGCCAGGCAGTTGCCATAAACAAACACACGGCAAAGCTAATATAAAAGAAAAGAGAGAAAAGGTATATATGTATTGAAAATAGGTTGAACAGAGCACAACACAAAGGGAAAAAGAGTTCTGTCATTTCATTGATATTAAGCATTGAGTTTACAAAAAGTGAGATGTTCATTGTTACAAAAAGGTATGGAATCGAAGAGTCCTGAGGAGCCCTAGCTAGATGCCTCAGTACCAACAGCATCCTGGTTGTGCCGACCCGCCTCCTCGGTCCCATCAGCCGTCTCACCTTCACGAGGTGGGGAATCAAGATGAATGACTGAATCGTTCGGCTGGGGCTCAACGTCAGCAGTGGCTATGGAAGGTACCACAGTTGACGATTGAGGAGCGGTCAAAGGCAGAGCGGTAGGAGGAGCTGTAATGATCCTTGAGGAAGCAATGTCCTGGCACTCATCGAATATGCGCTCCGCTTCGGTGGGTTCTGGGTCGACATAGACCCCCAGAGGTTCGATCCCTAAATCCTTGTCGACCTCATCTGGAGTGGAGCTGGTCTATCCCTCAACCGGAACTCGGTCGGCAAAACCTTCTCGGAATCCTTGAGCATATCTAAGAGCACCGACCCTTGAGAACCGAGCGTGAAGAGCCAGCATCCCACCGCTCACTCTGCTGATCGCATCGATCAGAGCGGTACGCTCGTCCAGAGCTCTCTTCTCAAAAGCCATCCGAGCAGACTGTTCATCAGCCAGAAGGCGCTGGAGCTCTGCCTTTTCGTCTCTGATTGAATCACGCTCAGTCTGCCAGACGCTCTTTTCAAGCTGGAGGGCATCCTTCTCATCCTGAAGAGAGTCATTCTCCTTCTTCAGGACATCTCTCTCTTGTTCAGTTTTTTCAAGCCGAGCCAGTACCTCGGTATTCTTGATGGCGAGAAGGTCGTTTTCTTTATTAGCCACCTCCAGGCTATCAGAAAACTTACGAGCCCTGGCGTTCCCCATCTCCACCTGCTTCTGCATAGCCATCATTCCGAACAATGTCTGCATAGATGTACATTAATAACGGTTAAGCCAATAGTCAGGTCGGGCGAAGGCAAGACCAAATAATATGAGAGAATTCATGAGTTGGAAAATAAAAGTCACCTCCATAGCAGATTGGGGAAAGCGGCTGAACACATCCTTCTGGGATAGGCCCTTTGCCGCCTCAAGGTCTTTCGGAGTCCACATGCTCATATAATACGCCATGACGGTCTGGCCATCCTTCAGCATGGTCTCGTTCGGTTTCACGAACGTCCCATCCGTTCGGGTGTACCGAGGGGCCCATGGCGGTAAGGTGGGGATAGAAGGGGGGCCTGAAGCAGAAGCAGAGGCACCAGCTGCAATAGGCCCGGAGGGAGCAGGAGCTCTGATCGGGCGATGCAAGAGAGCACCCGGCCCGGAGACCCGGGTCCTTCTTATGAGAGGTTCCTCCTCAGGATCGACTCCACTGTCAGGATGAGGCTTTTTGCCTCGTTCTTTGTCCCGAACGCCCCCCGCGGCAGCAGGAGCTGTGGTAGTTTGGGGAGACGCGCTCGGGTTGGCAACAGGGGTGCTGACAACGGAGTTAATAGCCACTGTGCTCGGGATAGTGTCAGAGATGGTGGCTGAGGAAGAGGCTGATGCTGGAGAGAAGGTCGCCCCAGCAGTAGGAGTGGCTGGGGGAGTATTTTTCTTCCTGCCAAAAGAAGGAATTTGAAGCCTGCTCATGTTGTAGCCGAGTGATGAGAGCGCTAAGAGGTTGTCTGAAGTGAGGAGATCTGAGCAGGAAGGAATATCGTTCAGAACGTATTTCTTCAAGTAATTACTCCTATCCCTGCAAACACTGTAGCTCAAGTCATCACAAGGTATTCCTAAGGAACGGCATAAGAAAGTACAAAAACGGGGAACGCATGTTTCGCAGGCAATCATGTTTATGAGATTTGAATTTCTTATAGGAGGAAACAGAACAGACACCAAAGGCGCTCGGGGTTGGGTAACCCTCTGCAGCCGGCGAAGACCAAGCCCCACTAATGCCCACGATGCTATCCCTCCAACCCTTTTCAGATTTTATTGTGTCCGTACATATGGACATCTTCTCGAATGGGTAGAGGTGGTAGAAGGGCTCGTTAGTACGGATCTTACTGACCTTATAACACAGAAGAAGATCTATGAGGTCAAGGTCCAGATTTCTGTCACGCATCAACAGGAGCATAACGGATATGATTCTAAAGAAATTGGGGTTTACCTGCAGGGGGGATATCCCCAATCTATTGAAGACATAACTAAAGAAAGGGTGCAGAGGGAACCTAACGACATTCAATTGAAGGTTCGTGAATAAGACTTCGCCGGGCAGGAGGCCGGCACCGGTCATAATGTTAACGTCCTTAGGGCAAACCCTAACTTCGATGTTGTCAGGAAGTCTAAGTCTCATACGAAGAACATCCAGATCTACAACCATGGTGGAAGTGCTTGAAGGATCTAACAGGGGGTAAAAAGAAGCCTGCCGAAAGTAAAAAGGAATAAAACTAACCTCTGAGGACTGCAAGATCGCTGGAAGAATGACTCTTGAAGGATTTCACCAGAAAAAGCTTAGCACTGTTCTAAAAAGAGAGAGATTTGACTGATGATGGAGACGGTAAAAAGGCGTGAAGTGGTATTCTAGAGCCTTATAAAGGCGAGGGGGGCCCGAGGGCCGAAGCGTCAGGAAGGCGAGAAATTCATCGAGCCCCGGAACATTGATTCTGGATCTGACCGTCCGTTCCCCCACGTGGTTTTCTCGAGCCGTCAACGTCATGGTGAGACGCCATCAATAATTACCCCCTTATTAAATAAGGGGCAATTATGGGGGCAGTTGAGGAGGCCCAGGACGACATGGGCCGGATCTGACTTGCAAGCACGACATCCGGTCCGTATAGCTGGGTCGGCCCATAAAAAGACACTGCCATATGGGCCGAACGCGAATAAGCCCATCAAAGGTGACCAGGACTTATGGAGGAACAGGCCCAGATCCAGCAATCCGTCAATATTTGTAAATATCTTGTAAATATCTATAAATAGGAGAAGGAATGGAAAGAATGGGAGAGATCTTTTTGTTGAAATGTAAGAATTCTAGAGAGAGAAAGAGAGTATGAATTTCTTGCATCTTCAGAGGCCAATATGAACACACACTGGATCTAAATTCCATCATCTATTTATGACTTCATATTCTTTGGTTTTTGCAAGTTTCTTTAATTTTCATCATTTTTCAAATTTTGATCAAACAAACCACAATTCTTGTTCAAGGAAACTGTGATGCCAACCATGTTGTGTTTGGTTCTATGAGTGAATCAAAATTTGTTGATAGAATTGAAATTATTTATATTGAGAGATGAATGATTGGTAAAGATGGATGATAAAGGATAAATGCTTCAAAAGAGTACCATTGAACATAGAAACTAGGTTCAGAAGCTTGTGGTCACAGTTGCATAAATTAATGGCTGTCTTGGTACAGTACTGTCAAAACCTAACCATCCACATACTATATCATTAAGTTGTAAAAACATATGGACATATTTTACATAGTAATCAAAAACAAAATTACAAAATAAACAGATAAAAGAAAACCCTTCTCATTCTTTAATTATTGGTTGTGTGAAAAGTATTCAATGATCAAACTTTCTTCAACAGCTTTCCATTGAGGTATATATAATAACACTATACTCCATATAAAAAAAAAATGCTCCTACAAGGCTACACATAGAGTTCAAACATAAACCCTATGTTATGATAACAGAACTACTATAAGCAATACAGACTGATCAAATATTTGTTTCACATCCCACACTGTCACGATATTCCAGGAAAACAAGTGCAGCACAATAGTGAGCCAGTGCACCCATGACCACAAGAACATGAAAGATCTGATGACTGTGGCCAGCTAGGTCAAACCACCCCGGCTTCCACCTTTCTGGAATCCGGCTAACATAAAACAATGTTCCAATCAAATACGATAGAGCCATAGCCGATTCATAAGCTAAGGTTATATTGCGCTGTGGCTCACTCCAATTAACAATAAGAGCATGGACTGCAGGTACAATCCCAAATAGCCCCATGGCCACAAACAGTAGAGCGCGAAAAGGGCGATATTTGCCATTTGAAAGTGATGGTGAAAGCAATGTTATAATGGTGAAAATGCCCATTACTGTGATCCCACCAAGGTATATGAATTGCCAGTGTGTGTCACACTGGAAGATGTAGCTAATGGGAGGGAAAAAGGAGGTGATGATCATCACTGCAATACCAACATAGTCTATTCGCAGCAAGAAAATGTTCAAGTCGTGTGAGTGGCAACAGAAGAGGTGGCAAATGCTGCTAGAGAGAAGGCAGAACATGGAACCACCCAAGAAGACATAGAAAGGCCACCTTGGAGCACCCAACTCCGGTGATGTAATCTCCATTGCCGGTGGTGTTGTCTGCTTCAAGTCTAATAGTTTGGTTGTTCCCTGCAATAGTACTTTTAGTATTAGTTTTCTATGAGCGCTATCAATGGACAGAGAGATTATCTAAAATGGACATAAAGTGACTCACCAAGAAGAAATCCTTTGAATTGTGGGAGACATTTGTGTCTGCACTCACTGGAAAGGATCTGCAACAATCAAGTTTATAAAAATTTGATACACGAAACAAAAGATTAGACATAATTAAACACTGTCATTTCAACTCAAGATTAATTATAACATACATAACATCAAATTTAATTTTTTCAAATTGAGGAAGCATAAAAAATTCTGCTGACTGGGGGCATGTTTCAGCAACCCAATCTTGTTACAGAGGGTTACCTCCCATTGTGTACATTGATAGTTGCCTTTGGATAGTCTTGTTTCTAGGAGGATACATTTAAATAAATGATAGTCTAGCCAAATCAACTTTGTCAAATGTTTAAGACAATGCCAAGTTTCTCACAAAATATATTGCTATGTAAAATTAGGAGGCCGGAAGAAGTTTCTAGTTCAAATTGTTCTTCAGTTTTGAACTCGATCAATCTAAATAAAGCACAGATAGATCAAGGGTAGTCCAGAAAAATGTAGACTGGCTGAGGAAACGAGGCTGCAGCATCAGTAGCTACTCAACCAATCGAGAATACGTTAATGATAAATATAAAGCGGAGCAACATCAAGGAAGAGATCGACAGAGCAAATAGGAGTAAGATGTGTAAATCGAGCATTTGAGTGCTCTATTGACACTAGATAAATTATCATCCAGAAGCAATCAAACCACATAAAATCTTTGTGTTTTATGTGCTTGTATGATTGTGTTTGATTCTTTACTGGCCACAATAATTGTAAGGAATGAAACTTTACAAAATGGAAGTAAAAAAAATGCACCAAATTGGATAAAGAAAGCCCTTCCTATTCCTCTTTCAGTAAGAGTAATCTCTATTAGTACTTCATTTCTTAGGCAAGGTACAGCATACATCTTTTAAGCAAATCTTTAACAAATACTGTAAAACAACACACACACACACACACACACATATATATATATATCTTTTCCATTTGAAGATTATGAGGTCTATAAATTAATGAAGAGAAATTCAGTTCAAATTGAATTGAAGGATAATACACCAAAAAGGGGGGAAAAGGAAAAAAAGGTTTCTTAACATACCTGGTAAATATATGAAAGAAATCCGTTAATTGAGGGACATGAAAAAATTGTGCAATCGTTAATCCCAAGAATAGGACAAACCCAATTAAATGCCTGCAAATGCAAAAACAAGTCAATATTAAACGTGCTGTCCGGATCAAAATAAAAATAAAAAATAAAAAAGAAGTTTAGCATGAATTACATTTCTTAAATGTTTATTGATTAATCGAGTTAGTTATTTATTTTTTGTTGTTGAGAAATATTTTTCACATTAAAAACAAGAAGAAAAATATTTTAAAAAACCCATTAAAGTGAGTAAAAATTTATCAAAGATATCCAAGTATCAGTGAAGCCTTCAAATTACACACAGTAAGTATATAGGAACGAAGAGATGAAATGTTTGTGAAGAGGAAAAGAAAAGAAATACTCACGTCCAGACATTGAGTGTCTCATTATGCCAACGAAATATGCTGAAGAGAGCTTGTTTGGGAGGCCAATTGGCTCTATAATGATTGAGTATATACTCGTTGTCCTTCATGTACTCTGGCAATTCATCAAACGTGACCAGACCGTATCGCTTTGTTTTGATTCGGCTCTGACTTCTCTTCTTGTTTTTCTTGTTGTTGTTGTTGTTGTTGTTGTTTGTAATTGTGGTGGTTTCTGAAGAGAACAAATGGGGGGTTTGATCCATTTGATTTCTTTTTTCTCTCTTCCAAACAGACCCTTCACACCTATTCATTTCATGTAAACAATCACAACCACTGTGATCAACAAGATATTGTATATGTATACATATATAGAGGAAGAGTCTGATCTTTCCCCCTCTCTCTCTACAATGGTGTCCTTCTCCGATTATTTAGTGCAGTTTAGGCTATTCAGCAACTACCACCAACAACATTTAAAGACTCACTCTTTGGCGTGACTTGGCACTTGGGTTTTATGGCAATTTTTCTGTTACCAATCACCTCATGTCATGCTGGCATAATAAAGAGCTAGCATGCATTGCATTCAAATGATCAAATTATAATTATATTTTTCTTCTTTATAAAGCCTACAAATTATTGACCATAAATAATTGTGAGAGTTTAGAGTTACTTTATCACATTTTAATATAAAAAGTAATAATGATAGAAGATCCTTATGTAAGAATCAGTAAATTAATTTAAAAAACTTTAATCTACTTAATAGCATTACTCTATTTTTTATTATATTTTTATTTCTTGTCATTATTAGTAATATAAATTAAACCAGCCACATTAGCTTTACAGTCTCTTTAATTATTTGTTGTTCGGTCAAATTCAATTTTTTTATTTTTATTTTCACCAAAAATTGATTAAAGATTGTTTCATTATCACTTAAAAATAAGAATGCAGCCCCGGGGGCGTAGCAGTGATAGTAGGAGTTCGGTGCTTGCACTCATCAGGCCAGTGTTCAAACCTCCCAAGTCTCTTATATTCTCGACTCATCCGGTGTGTGGCTATGGGGTCGTATTACATTACCCCCAGTTTGGCGCCATGGGGTGGGGTCCCTAAGGGGCCTGTTTGTTTCATTATCACTTAAAAACAAGAATGCAGTTCCCGGGGGCGTAACAGTGATGATAGGAGCTCGACACTTGCACTCATCAGGCCGGTGTTCGAACCTCCCAAGCCTCTTATGTTCTTGACTCATCCGCTGTGTGACTATGGGGCCGTGTCATATTACCCCCAATTTGACGCCATGAGGTGGGGTCCCTAAGGGACCTCTTTCATGGAGTTCTAGATCGTCATAAAAAAATATAATAATAAAATAAAATAATGTGCAGTCTCTCTTGGTGTAAAAATAAGACTATGTCTTTGTTCTGACAGTTCTGTCCATGCAACAAGATAGCCTTTTTACGGCTAATTGTCAATAACGAAAACTTTTGACCATGACCTAATATTGATTATCAAAATTTTGTGATTCTACTCAGTTTGGTGAGTGCCTCAGATGCACATGGATGCAACGACTTTCCTCTCTTGAATCATATATTCCGAACGCTCCTTATCACCCATTCGGATTAATTTTACCAAATCTTTATCCATGATAAAATATTAATTGTATTTTGAAGAAAATTAGATGATTAAATGCATTGAATCAAGCCAAATTTTAACCTGGTGCACGTGTGGCAGGAGGCTTACATGAGCCCAGTGATGGATTATTGGGTATTCTACCCAACACCACCATTTTTTGACAAAAAAATAAAAATAAAGTCCTTGGTAAAAAAACTCCGGTCACATTAGAGAATTTTTTTTTAACCCAAACAAAAAATTCCCAAATCCTTTCCCTTCCTTTCTGCTGTCTGAACGGTCACAGAATTTGTTAAGGTCATTTTGGTGATGGCAGTTCAAGAATTTTCATACATTCTGGTTGGGGAAGATCATCTAATTGTGGCTTTGTAGTTTAACAACAAATATATATATATATATATATATATATATATATATATATATATATATATATATTCTAATTGTGGGATTGTCAAGCCCTTTAGGCAACCTTCTTCTCTATTCGGTAAACAGTGAAATAGGTGACCCACAATTTGACGGTTTTGTTTGTTTATTATCACTCGGTTGCCCACAAGAAACTTCAAACATCTAACCAAAGAAACACAATTTCTTTGCTCACCACATGATCGACACTAAAGTTGTCTTTAGAACATGGTAAATATTCATCCAACACGACAACTTCTTGATGTAGGTCATGAGCATGGCTGTTATATAGGAGTATACATATATATAAAGAAGATATTGGGTTTCTTTGTGATTACAAAATCTGTCCTTTTCTTTTCCCTTTGATCTTTCTTCAAGCATATTTCTCACCCAATCAAATTTGGAAAAATTAAATGATTAATAATTTCTTTACGTTTCCTTCTGAGATTCTATGTTTAAAGTGAAGCATTATTTTTCTTCCTACTCCTGCATTTCCAAATGCAAAGTCTTAACAAGCACCAAATGGTTCTCTCTAAGAATGGAGAAGCTATGCAATTCTTACCTTTCAAGATATTAAAAAAAAAAAAAAAAAGGGTTGACTCTTTCGTGTAAAAGTGGAGAGCTTTAAATAATGACAGGATATTGTTAACTCTTTCGTTTAAAAGTTTAAAAAGTTTAAGTTGACGCTAGTTATGATCCTATTTGATCGATTTGTTAAATTCGAACAATAAAGTTGTAGGAAAAAAAAAAAAAAAAGAGGTAGAATGAATAGCATTATCCAGATTGAAGAATAACATTATCCCATTTATCTTTTCCCTTGGGTAGGAGAGAAAATTGAAAGCTAAAAAGATGAGAGCATCATATATGTCCTTTTGATGCTAATGAGTCCCCAACTCATAGCGCCCTTAGGACCACATGAACATGATGCCCATCAATAGGCTCTTTAAAGGATGTCAGTAATGGTTGTCTATTAGGTATTTTATGGCTAGTGAGTTAATTGTTTGGAGTTTGTTTGGATGATCCCTTCAATATCTTATGTTTGACTTCCACCACCATGATCTTTTCTCCATAGTGTATGACCGTTGCCAATAAAGACACTAGGTATGACCTAATGGAAACCATCATATTATTTATTTTCTCCTGGTTGGGTGATGAGTCCATGCTTATTAAATTTTCTCCATTTTGTGGAGTCTGAATGCCATTTGGTGCATGTTTTCATAAGACCATTGATCATCTTTTCGAATAAAATTCATGAAATGGGGAGTCCGATGTTGCTTGTTAATGAATATTTGGAGAGGGACTCAAACATGGGCCCCACTCTAATCATTCATCGGACTGCTTTTGAGCTTAATATTTGGAGCATTTGGCTCCGCACTTGACAAGTTTTGTTTGAAAAATGCATCATTGATATTTACATATTATGATGACATTTTATCAGGTTTATATGCCAATTATTGTCCATAATATTGATAGTACGGAAGATGATAAATAACATGACTTTGTCGGTTGATGGGGGGAGCATCATATTTCGTTCAAGTATGTGTTTTCTTTTGAAAATGACAAATATGAATTCAGTTGGACAGCTAATTCATTTGAAAAAGAAAAGGGAGTGTTTCTTTGGCATGCATAACACAACTAATTTTCATTGAAACTTATTGGAATTTTGTAATTGGGTTTAGTTTAGGTTACAAATCCTTTCTTGTTATGGTATTCTATTGAAACATCTCATTCCCCAGTGAATTAAGTGACTCTAGCCCAGCTATTTTCTATATGATACATATTTTAATATATAGGTCTGATAATCTTGCGTTTTAACGAGATCAAAATTTTCAATTTCTAAGGAAGCAAAGCTAGGGCTTTGATACTTTAAATTAAATGAATTTCAGCCCAATAGGGAGGTATTTGAAACAAAATTATGTCTTTTATAAGCTTAAATATTGTCTTTATAATATTTATGAATTCTGTAATTACCAAATTTAATTTATATGAGTGTGATAATAAAACCCATTATATGATATCATGTGATGAGATACCCACTGGCCACCATCACCCCTCTCACATCATTTAAATAACCATCCACCATCTAAATGACTGACCATTATCACCTCTCTACCTCCACTCATCCATCATCTTAAGTATCTGTATTTCATCTCTGTAGAATTAAAAATAGATCCTCTTAAGCGAGAAGAAAACGAAACCACTTATTATTACTTCAACCAGCATGATAAAAGAAGTTCCATGATACATAAACCATTACAACAGCTATACAATATAAGCTGGCTTCTATAAAGAACTCACTCATACACCACTGGATTCAACAAACGATTGACTTCTGAAGGGAAGAGACGCAAAAATTGGATATTACTTTTGAAGTTTCATAAACAAATAATTAAAACCACAAACCAGCTTCAAGGGACAAGGCTCCAAAATTGTAGCAGTGTGTTTCATGAAATTCCAGGTCTCAACGCAACAACCACCAAGTACCAAGGACAACCAGAAAGAGATTCTTTTGAGTCACACTAGCCACATACAAGGACCCGAATGCAACTTCTAGCCCTTGAGAATCCCTAGTTTCTCCAATGAAGCCCGGATATCGGCAGCACTGCATTCTTCCGTTGTCTGAGCAATGCTGGGGCTGTCAAATGGCACAACATCTGAGAGGGGGTAGTTTCTGTTAGCATGAAGTTGATTGCTACCACTGGTACAAACTCCCTTCAATATTACAGATTTGTGCAAGCCACCAAGCAATCCTTCATAATCAGTATCCCCAGTCTCTCCCACAAAGACCACCATCTTTAACAGGTCTACACCCCAACGAAGATACAGGTACCTGATGGGAAATGCCATTTTCAATGTGTTAAAAGGAGTTTAAAGAAAAGACCAGTTTGTTACAAAAAAAACTATGCTTGTCAACAGCAACATGGAGGGTAACAATATCAAATAGAGAAGTTCTCATAATTAAGCTAAGGACTCTGATGAGGACAATGGCCAATTACAATGTGTCCCAGCCATTCATTGTATTTGTGGCTGATCAATGGAGGGAAATGAAAACAGAAAAAAAAAAAAATTTGTGCCAGAAGTCCATTGCCTCGATTCTCCAACGGCAGAAAACTGTATCAGTGTTGCTGCACGTGTACCATGGGCTGGACCAAAAACAATTGGTGTATAGCACCAAAGGTAATCGTCCAATCACATGATTTTTGACATCTGAACCACAAATTTTTTAAGAAAATTTTCTAACCTGAATCCATAATCATAATTCATGATGAAAAAATAAAAATGCCTCTCGGAGAACTCAAGTGCTGGTAAAATACAATGACAATGATAAAGCTGTAAGATAAAATCTGTATATATTCATTTATTTTTATTGCAATTGTAGTTTGAGTTATCTACACCTAAACCTTATGGACTCTGGTGGACTAGTTGACCAAAAAGTCATGTGCACAATGTATATTATATTAGTAGGACTTTATTATTATTATTTCCACTGTATTTCAAAGATAATAAGAGAAGTTGATGTGATGATGTTTCAAGAATCACAATTTTATATATATATATATATATTGACACAACCACAACAAGAAGGCCAAAAGTTCAAAATGAAATTATTGCAACATTAAAACGAAATAGAGTTTATTACCTGAGGGCTTGGGAACGAGATGCCAATACTGGAATTACATTAATTTTACTCCCGTATCGGCAATAAATAGCATGAGAACGCAAAGCCTGAATTCTCATTAACTTTCGAAGTTCCTTAACAGGGGTAACCTATCAAGACAAAAGAATGATAACTCATGATATAAACGTAGTCAACTACAAAACTTGATTACCCGCTATACGTGTGAAGATAAAATTAATATACGTGGCATAACATTTTCTGAAGTACCAAATCCATATCCAATTTGATCAATCAGATAACTAAAATAATATGTCATTCAAATTTTTTATTTTTTTTTTCATTGGCAAGAAACGCCCAGAATGCCCCCATGGAAGGTGAGGAAGTACCATTAGGCTACACTGCCTTTGGTTCATTCAATTAAATTTTATTTGCAGATGAAGAATTACCATTCCTGGCTTGCGCACTTTAAATGCATAGCAATAGTTGGTCAAAATCTTTTCATCTTCAGTTACAATTTGTTCTTCATTTTCTCCCTTCTTATCAGTAATTGAAGCAGCCCAACGAACCAAAGTCTTCCTCAACCCTTCTCCACCCCAGCGGTATTCAATGTGTGAATGGTAATATAAGTCTACTACAAAGGGGCTGTCCTCTGAATTAAGAGATGAATAGTAGAGATCACTACCACTATTGCAGATAAAAGCATCAAAATCAGTAGGGCTCAGGCCCCCTGAAATAAGAAAAGAATGTACTTCAGACAGTGTAAAGGACGTTGCCAATATGAACCCAACTGAGCCTTCAGTCCTTTCCTTCTCTACAGCCTCAAATATCTTTTTTGCAATTCCAAAAAGATCTGATATAGAATCATAATCCACAGCAATTACAAACATATTTTTCCTCCTCCTCAATGCTGGGAATTTACCAGCACTGGCACTCTGGTCTGCTTTCTCTGTAAATCCAGCCTTTTGTGCGCCTTTCATGACACCCTTTGACCATGACAAAACAGCATTCTCTAACTTAGTTTTCCTATCTTCAGATTCTAAAGAATTATCAAAGTTTCCGCCACCTTCATTTTTTTCGCCATCCATTGAAAACTTCAAGTTTAAAGATATATCTCTCAAGGAATCACTTGGTGAATCTGATTCTGAATTATCATCATCATCATCACTTCTTTGCCAGCGTGGCTGCCTGGGTTTGCAACTCGCTATTCGAGATAAGTAAGATTTACAATGTTCTGGCCATGAAAAGAGATGAATATTTTTCAATCCATTCTGCCGGCACTTTGCCCAAAGTTGCTTATCTGCAACCAGCTTTAAAAGAGCAGTGGCAATAGATTGTTGATCATGGGGATCAACAAGGAGACCATTGTCAAGTACCTGCAACAATTATATAATCAATTTAATAGATATAACACAACTTCATTAGATGGTCTATAGAATCCTCCAGATCAATAAAGGAGAACTAAGAAAGTTGACAAACCCGATGTATATCAACAGGACCTCCATTTTTTGTGGCAACAATAGGTAAACCACGAGCTGCTGCCTGTTCAACCAAAAGAAGTTATACTGGTTCTATAATGAAAATAACATAAGGTAAGGGCATCACAAGTATAAGAAGAGCACCTCAATCAGAGTAAGCCCAAACGGCTCAATGAAAGCTGGATTAATGAAAACACCCTGCCAAAAAAGTGGACAGAATAAGAACTCTAACAATACAGAACTCTTATTCACATGACACGCGCACGCACACACAGAGGCCAAGCAGCGCAAGTAATATTAGAGAAACTAGTCTTAACAAGTCATTATGACTTTCTCATAGAGGCTGGTCAGTTTGGGATAATGGGAGTAGATAACTGAATATCCAGAGAGAGCATATTATTTAGTCTACATTACAAAATTTGACAACAACTATTTTTATGATATTACATGCTACAATAAGAGAAAATCCCAGTAGCCCAAGTAACAAAGGTAGAAACATTTCCAGCATACCAGCATTATAAAAACAAAATAAAAAAGAAAACACAACTGAATAGTAAATCTAATGCAAGCCCACAAAATCTCAAGCTCCACAACTTATAGAACACTTGATGCAAGGGCCACAAGATTTAAATGCTTGCTTTAGAACATCTCAACTAGAGCTAGCCAAATCCTTCCTTACTGCCCAGGGCTGTTATAGCCTTGGGCGACTTAGGCGGCCTAATGCCCCAGCCAATAGAAGGCTTCAGTATTTTGGGCATAACTTTTTACTCGAAACTCTAAATTGGGCAAACTCAGCGGCTATGGAAATAAGAATTGAAGCCCGATGTTTTTGTATCTACGAAGGACTAGTGTTTAACGTCTCTAGCTAAATATCAGGATTATAAGCCCTTTTAAATGAAAATAGTACTTACATGGCACAAGGACCGAGGAGGAGGGTTGCCAGGACTCCGGCTGCAGCATTGGTAGAGCCCCATAAATTTATTACCTTATATTATTACCTCCCTAAAATTTTTATTTCCTTATATTAGACCCCAACCAATAGAGAGATTTAATAGTGGGGCCCAAAAGAATTTAATTCATTCTAAAACTTTTAATTACACTTTCAATCAAAACTCCTAATTTCCATCCTTATCTGACCTCCTTTTTTTTTTTTCTCCTCTCCTCATTCCACGTTTTCTTTTTTGTTTAATTATTATTGAATTAATTTGAACATATATCTAACCATAATTGCGGGGATTTGTACAACTTTCCATCTTCTCCCATTAACTTTTGTCTTCTTTTTTTTTTTCCCCTATTCCTCATGTTTTTTTCCCTCATCTCTTATTACAACGTTTTTTCTATCCTTCACTCATTACAGACTCAAAGTCTCTCCATCTCCCTCCTCTCTCATTACAACATTTTTTCTTTTCTCCACTCATTACAATCTCACTCCTCCATCTGAACTCAATTTTATTCTCACATATTTCGGTATTTTGGGAATCTTCAAAGATTTTGAAGGTAGAATTTGTTACAAAATAGAAACAAAAGGATTGAAGAATTCGTTGGAGGATTGGACCGGATATTTTTAACATCATGTTCTAATGTTCTTTAACTTAAATTAGTTTGTAACCATATTATTTTTTGTTATCATAAAATTGTATATTTTGCTTGTGAGTTGTGACCATTTTTATTTATATTATTGAATATGTCTACTAGAAAATATGAATCCAGGTATTAAAAATTTAAAAGAAGAGAAGAATAGAAAAACTAATTCAATCTCAAAAAGGAGCTAATGATAAATTTGTTACAACTAATAATCAAAACATAACCAAAAAATTTAGGTGAAAATTCAACAAATGAACAACCAAGTCATCTAAAAGAATTAGTTAATTATACATAGTGAAAGAAAAAGATATTAGTGGCTTGATTCATATTGATAATCAAATTGTATGGTAAGAACATAAAAAATAAAATATTGGAAGAAAGTGAAACAAGTAAGAAAATTGAAGATCTTAAGAAAACTTCATATACTCTATTCCCACAAATATCTATGATCCTAGACAATGGAAAAATACTTAAATAAAATTAAGAGATTATTTAGTAGAAAATGGTCCAACTAGATATAATGATTTCAATATTTCTAAAGATGAAAAGTCTAGGCATTTTTCCGTTACATATTATGTTAGAAAATTACCAAATCGAGAGAAGCACTATAGAAAATGGCTCATTTAGATAAGAGTATTTTGTTTTTGTTGCAAGTTGTTTAATTCAAAGTATGACACAAGCCAATTAGCTAATGATGGCACTAGATATTGTAAAATTCTTAGTGCTAAGCTTAAAAATCACAAGACAACTAATGCGCATATTACTAAGATGAACACACGGGTAGATTTAGAAGCAAGGTTGCTAAAGAATAAGAATTGATAAAAGCATCTAAGAACAAATTAATAAAGAAAAAGATCATTGGAAAAAAGATAATTTAGCAAAACTTGAATACAAGAATCTATTTAGTAACTTTGCATCTCAAAATTTTTTTAAATAAACAATATTAACTATTATTTGATATCAATCTATTACAGTGCATATTAAAAGACTACTTTCATATTTTTTGCCTAAGGCCTCAAATTATATTGAGCTGACCCTCCCCTGTTACTGCCCAGTACAAGGAATCCAAATCTTCAATAATAGTGAGAGATATGAACATTAACTGTTACAGCACCCAAAGTGCACAAAAACCAGAAGTTCACAACCTCTTCCATATACACCGCCTTTCCATACTTCAGCAATTTCCTCCGTCTATCTGGCATAATAAATTCCTTTTATGTCACAATAGCTCAACCATCTTAAAAAAATTTCCCTTTTCATCACCATGTAATTATTATTCAAAGATCCTACCTTTAAAATTCATAAAAAGAATGTAATTACAACATATAGCCATGACGATTCCATAAGCCATGCAATTTTCGTGCTAAGATACTCTTCTCCAAAGCAAAAATCACACCGTAAACCTTCACAACTAATATGTCAAAATTCCCCACATGTTATGAAGAATGTTTTTACATAATCAAAGTAGGTGATGTAACCAAAATCAAGAGGATGCTATCCTACAATATAAAGGCTAAGAGTAAAAGAAGGAACAGGACAGGCCAAATAAGGAAAATCCTTTGATTCCGCATCTTTCAAATTCAACATCTTTGTTCTGATTTATGTTTATGTTTGGTTGTAAAGCTAATTAAGGCTAACATTGAATAACAAAACCCTATTGGTGCAACGGTAACATTACTCATTGTGACTCACAGGTTCGAAACAAGGAAACAGCCTCTCCGCATGCGGAGGTAAGGCTGTGTATATATGATCCTCCCCAAACCCCACAGCAACGGGAGTCTTGTGCACCGGCTTTGCCCTTCCTTTTTTTTTTTTTTTTTTTTCATTCTTCATACAAATGAAATTTGATCATCCTCTCCTGCCTCCTAGTAAGGCGGCATCATTAGGTTTAAATTATCAGTTAAATCCAAGACTACTGCAAAGACTCATGTAACTGACAGCACCAGAAAAATAAGAACTAACCCTTGTAATCAAATAGGTATCATGTATATACTCCCTTGTGTTGTGCTGTGCATGTAAAGACTTCTCTAGACCTTCCTTTCGAGTGTTCTACTTCAGCTTCTTTGACCATTTTTCTATTACCAATTCTTACTTTGACAATTTTTTAGTTCCATGATTTTTATCACCGCATATTGGATATTAAGCCGATTCTTACTTCTTTGACCATTCTTTGGTACCTTGACTTCTATCACAACAAATTTCCATAAGATCATAATTCATAAAGAACTTAAACTATGATCTATCAAGATTCAAATTATTTATTCTTTTAATTAGAATAATAGTCATATCTTTTCTCAAAAATGAAACATTTTCAAGCGTCAGAGATAGTAGCACCCACACCAACATTTTAATAGAAGCCACTCTGATGTTTCTTCACACCCAACCGTTTAACTTGCATCTCTGCACCCTTGTATTGTTACATGCAATCAACATCCTCTTTCCCAATATATTTTTACTATGACATCTTAAATCTTGATTAGCAATCCCTTGGATCACTTCTCCATAATCCTGGAACTTACCTTACTGTCTTCCCTAAACTTATAACTTCAACTTCACTAAAGCTGTTGCACTCCTGATTATAAGTTTCAGACATGCAACTCTTTTTCTACAAAGCTTTCTTCCTTATGTCTCCTTTCTGTACAATATAGCCTAGTTAGCTATCTTCCCAATGTCTCCTTCCTGAACAATATAGCCTAGTTCTTCCTAGTTTAATTCATTGATGTTGCAGGTACCAAGCATACCAAAAGAAAGTGTCATTGCAGGTCCACGGACGTATATAACTTCCATTAAATCCTTTCATATTGCAGTTAGTCTTTCTAGTTCAAGATATGCATTACAATACAATTCAATTGTGAGGCCTAGCCAAGACAAAGTACAAATAAATTTGTTGATGTTAACCTAGAAAAATTACTACCATGTAAAGCTCCATATTTTCAAAAAAAATATATAAAGACTAACTGGAAGATATAATGTTAAGAGCAAAATGGCATAAATAAGAATCTCGTAACCTATCAGAAGTGGTTAAGATAAGCTGCATTATGTTGAGTTAAGCTATAGTGTTATCATATTAAGAATGAAAATTTCCCTCACCTTAAAACAGCAAAAGAAATGGTGTCTTCCATTTCAACGTCATAATCAATGGTGAACTCTAATACATCAAGGAAATATTAGCTCATCTCAAAATGCTGTTAAGAAAGTTATATGGTAGATTTTATGAGTGGAGGGATATTTTGTATGTTTGCATATTTTTTAGTAGCGATAAATAAATAGAAGAGCGACTCTATCTCTCTCTCAAGCCTGGTACCAAAGCTTTGAAACTGGAAGGTCCTTGGTTCACTCCTTGCTATTACATCTGCTTGCTCGCACTCCATTCTATGACGAAGTCAGTCTTGTCTCTTTCTATCCACATACAAAAGAAAATGCACATGGGGGAGGGAGAGAGTGAGAACTTATTATACATAGTTCGACCACCCTATTTCTCAGGACTAAGATTTTTTTAGAGAATTTAGTTGCCAACATGGTCAACATTTTCCATCCAGCTAGTGAAGCAGAAGCATCAAAAGCTCTAATGCATCACACTGTACAACTTGTTCGATCAGATTATATGAACCACCCTAATTTCACTCTTGCAATTAAGTGTTCGTTCAAGTCATACTTTGAGGTTTCCAGTTAGCGTCTCAATTTTCCTTGTTAGAATTGCTGTATGCATGATGAAATTAACTTAAGCTGCATGGCAAATGCACAAGGTAAGTAATGGGTCTCTTGTAGTGTGCGACTATTTTTCACTAAAGCATTCAGGTTCAAGTACAGCTTACATGCATAGGTGTTGGACAAATTGTTTAAAAGATAAACATGGAAGTGTGTTGGCCCCAACATAAATCTTAATAATTCCTTATCGGAAAAGGGGAAAAAAACATCTAAAATTAAATGATAATTCTTCTATAAAACAGTTATTCATAGCAAAGAATGTTGAATGGCAAAGAATGTTGAAAGGCTAAGAAAAAAGATATTGTTACAATAAGCATGGTTGAAATACAAATGTTATGAGATGGATGTGCGGAAGTTGAGAAATGATAAAATTGACAAGGAGTTGTACAACCATTAACAATTAAATAAGAGAAAATCTGTTAAGAAGATCTGACCATGTGCAGGAAAGTGAAAACAAAGACCAATAAGTGCACCAATAAATAAGAGTGATATGGTTTATATTGATTGTAATACTAGGGAAACAGAAGGACAAGACTGAAATGGGTTAAAATAGCAAGGAAATCTTTGATTGATTTTCTCGGCCTTAGATATAGTGGAATGGTGAAATAAGATTGTGTAGCCAATCCTCGAATAGTGATTTGATGATTGTCCACAATAAAAAACTTGGCACAATATTTTCACTTTTATCACTCATTTATAATTAAGGCATTACATAATACTTGAGAATTTCTATTAGTCTTTTATGTCAATATTGATGCTATTCTAAAAGAACATCACTAATTATTAAATGTCTCTAAAACAAAAAACAAAAGATCCTTAAGATGTCGTTGCCTGAATTAATTACAGAATACTTGAAAAGAAATAATTAATATGATATATTTCAATGAATTCAATAACAAATTATGTTCTCCAGGAATCCACTTTTAATTTAACTAATTACCAATTTGAGGGAAAAAAAATATCAGAGACTCCCTGGCAGCAGGAATAGAATATGAAGATGAAAACCAAAATAATAATAATAATAATAACTCTAAATAAAAATATCACAAGTACTAGCATTTACAACCTCAAGATGCAAACGAACTTAAGTTCCGGTCTTTGATAGTTACTAACAAGAAGACAGAATTCCAAAAGAAAAGGGCATGAGCATTATAACCTTTTGAATTTCATTAAAACCCATCTTGGTTTCAACTCGACACCATATAATTTTAAAGCAATTCTTGTTCCATAACAAAAAAACCATTCGCAAGCAACAACGATAAGATCAAAGCGGGGTACAAGTTTCACACCCGTCATAAAGAAACTTCATGCTTGCCAAAGCAATAAACAGTAAGAGGAACATAAGGTGGGTGAGTCAATAAGATGACACTGGCATGGGCTGTGTGGAAAGCTGTAATCAGATGTACAACACAGGAAACGGAAGGGGATCAATAACAGTCCCTCAAAAAAATCTCATTCCTAGTTAAAATTCAAATTATAGAACCATATCTAATCTAGGATGGTATAAAAACAAAATAGGAGTACCTTTGTCTTTGCAGCAAGACGGTAGATGTCGGGAACATCAGACTGCTTATGGTGTTTAGGGTATGCCACTTGACCATAGAGGTCATACTTATCGATCATCTTAAGTATGGAGAGAAGAACAGAAGAACTAGTGCTTGACATTTCATCTATACCATCTCGGTTACCCATGATCAAAGTCTGCAAAATATAGAGGATAAAAGGACCTCAATGACAAAGCCAATTCAGCTGCTCTGTACAATTAAGGAGATGTATTCACAACTGTTGTAGGTGATTCGGACATACGAGATTAGCAAGCTCTCTTAATGGACGACATTCGCCAAATGCTTTAACCAAAGTCATGAGGTTCTTCTTGGGATCAGGTCTAGCAAGGGCAAGTATCATTGGCTTGCGTGGATTGGTGAAAAAACGCATTATCTGCAAAATACCAATCATGCTCAATATTGGCATGAGTTCATAACAGATCCCTAGATAAATCAAAACAGGAATTAAATTAATTAAAACTGAAAGGAGCATTGCAGATTAGCTATCAGAGGCAAATCATGTAACACATTAAATTAATTTATTAAAGAATAATTGGAACCTCAGACCAAATAGGTGGGTCTGGAGAAGCAGGGTGATCCTCATTTTCTTCTGTTTCAACATCCATATCACCATCATGTGGAACAATATGATTGAACTCCATCCCAGGGGGAATTACCTGTAGGTAGAATGGATGATATAAAAGAAAATTCAATGAATTAGCAAAGCACTCGCATGCATAACCCAGCCAACCGTGATATGATCGGAAGCGCATGTATGTGAGCACTTTAGATCAGGATTGTAAGAACCAGCACCAGCTTATAATGAAACAAAGAAAATGAACTCAGCCTAGAATTCTTTCCTAGTCCAACCTCAGTCCAAATTTAGTGTATATGATAATCCTTATCATTCCAAACAGAACAATAACTTATGCGAGACTTCAGGATTTTTTATTATAAAAGATGTCCTCTATTCAGATGCTTTGCAATAAAGACAGCAATTAAATACTATGTTGGCGCCTGTACTTAGCAAAACAATGTATTTCATTTTTATATCAGATAAATATACTTAAAATCCATGTTACAATGTCATTGTTTCTTAGTTATTTTTTTTCACCATGCAAAAATTAAAACAAGAAAGCATGCAATTTGTTTCATTGCAGCTTTGTGTGCTTTGGGATCTCGTTATCAGACACTCGAATCTGAGTTAGACAAAGAGATTCATCAGTTTCATTTTAAGTTCAAACTACCTTACTTCAACCAAAAATATTAAAATCAAACAAATTAGGATCCTTTACCATTTTTTAAAGAGAAATAAGAAGAAGAAGAAAGAAAGAAACAAACTAGACTTCAAGAACAGCTGACTGGGCCCTTTATCTGACTCAAAAATCTGTGAGCTAAGATTGAGAGGAAACCAGGCTCTAACTACAGTTTCTAACAACCCTACTTTGATCAACAAAAGTAATTGAACATTTCAAAAATATGTTAAAAATGATATCCTGATACTCACAGCCATGCGGGGCATGAACCTGCCGTAACAGCTCACATTACGCCTGATCCTAGCTCGTAGTTTACGCTCTAATATTGGATCAAAACCATCATACAAACGCCACTGCTCCTCTATCTCCTGTCTAGTGCTAGTTATGATAACTTCCGATGCATCAAGAGATAATTCCTCAGCTTCTATCCGGCGCATTATTTTGTATGTTGTATTTATTTCATCCCTTGACTCTCGACCTTGCCTCAGAAGTTGTTCCAGCTTATCCCGACCAAGTGAGTGGCCAGTGAAAAGCATAGGTACATTTAGAGCACCAGATAGAAGAGCAGCGGCATCACCTGCATCTGCATAATGCCCATGTATGGCAACAGGCCAGACTGGATGTCCACCACCAATTTGCTCACCAAGAACTTTGGACATCTGTATTATGTGATTAAGTGCGCCATCAACAAATTCCGGGATGTGAGGCCATAGAAGTTCTTTTGGAATATATTTATCTTTTGGCCCAAATGGAATACGAATGATGTAAGAACCACTACTCTCCCCCATATCATCCATCAAACCTTCTGAATTTCTTGGAGGCAGCATCTCTGTGGGTTCACCGTAGCTCCAATCTACTTCTGGTGATGACACCTGTCTAGTCAGTAAATCAACCCGATACACTCCCGGCATTGAGCCTAAAGCCCTTGCAAGTTCAACAACATACTTAACCTAAAAGAAAAGGGAGAGAAAAGATTATTCAGCTCTCCCCATAAGCAACTACACAAAGTACTAGTTTATAGAAATAACACTGTTAAAAATTTATCACCAACACGGAGGACATTTGAATCAAAAAGCTCTTGCAACCAAAAATATCTACCTGACCACCAGTATCTGAATCACGACCAAGCTCCATATTTTCACCCCGTATAAGACCATGGAGGCTGCAAGAATAATAATTCTTATAATAAGTAGAGACATAAATGCAGACCAGAGGAATAATGTCCTTTACACCACAATATCAGAAATTGTAGTACTACAAACATTTTAAGATCACTAGAGAGTTTTCCCCACAGCTCATCAAATGAATATAGAAATTAAAAGAATGAATTACGAACAGTATTTATACTTGATTTGCAACATGTTCCAATATTTAAAAAGTTCAGGTATTAGAGTTCAGTCCATGCCTTATTAATACAATGTATAGCTTTTTCCCCTTCTGTTGATTAGCCCATGCTTCCATCAAATCAACAGAGCTAATTCTGGGGAGTCGGCCTCTGGTGCTATCACCACCATGAGACGAAATGTCGCTAATTGTATCTCCTTTCTCCCCCTCTGACAAGTCTTCAGACATATCAGCAGTTGCTTCTCTACGGCCTCTTTCACGTTCAAGACGGCGTTTAGCCATCCTCTGAGCTTCCTCTCCCTCAAGCTGCATAATAAATGAATAAATAAATAACTGAATGATTGGAAAATGGCATATATAAAAATTCAATAAGTATTTACATATTAACACTGAGACTGGGAGAATCTAAAGACCAGAGATGGTAATTTCTTCTGCAATAAAGCAACAATCCAAGATATGAAGACATCTAACATAATTCCACCAAACCCCGTCTATAGAAGCTAAATGCATTTCAAGTAAGAGGCATAACAACTAAAAAGAGAAACATAGACAGACAAGTAAAAAGAAAGGAAAATTTTGACGCAAATGAAGTGTAAAATCCGTACTTGGTAAACCAGAATATATATAAACATATATATCATTTGAAAAAGAAAAAAATGGTGATAAATAAAATCATTTCTGCCCAATGAGTTACAATCATGGCATGAAATTAAAAATTGAAGAAGTTCAGAGATGTTATCACAATAAGATAACGAGAACTGAAGCATCACTTGTTTTATACTGCATAAACCATTTTAAATATCAAATGAGAAAAAAATTCATAAATTAAAGGACAAAGCTGGGATTACAATTTCTAAGTAACAGAAAAGATGGTTTTAGACAAATGGTAGCACCACTTGACCACCACTTCTGGCTTATGCTCTGCCCTTCCTATGCACAAACAAATTGAAGGGAAAATAGCCAAAACTCAAATGTAATTTCTTTTGTTGATAAGTTCAATTATAAAACCATCAAAGCCCTGCAACTAAGAATGTGTATGTGCTGGATATATATAACTCTATGCAAATATGTGTTCTCATACTTCTCACAAATATCTATAAGAGAGACCTGACAGAAAGTGGAGTGTAGTTTCCACATGCATCCAGCATGAAAGACAATTCACGAAGAAAAAAGAATAACCACAATTTCTTAAATAAAGGACCATGCTTTGTGAAATTCAAAACAAGGAAAACTCCTCCTTTTTTTCCCCGGTTAGAATAATATAATAAAAACTGATAAACTCAAACAATCAACATCAAACCTGTTCTGGAAATCAGTTAAGTTTCAATTTCTAGATCGAACACAATCCATCATTCACTAAACTTGCACAATTAAAATTCACAGTGGAACATTAAACATCTGTGCTCTCAACTATAATGGCAAAACCTATTTTTTTAAAAACACCTAAATCCCAATAACTAAACTACAGTACTTCATGCATACAAACACATATACAGTGACTTATGTATGTATGATGTGATACTAAAAGAACCTGTTTCTTCTGGCGAGCCAAATTCCAGATTCGCCAACACATATTCTCCAGTCTCGTATTCCTCTCCTGCGGACTCCGCGTCGCCGCAGCCTACCAAACATAATTGAAGTTTCAGAATCAAGTACAAAAGAGAAAATCAAATCGATATATTTCTAGACAGAGAAACTTATATATATATATATATATATATATATATATATATGATATACCTTAACCCAGGAGCGATGCAGATCAGTCTCATCGAAGCCGGTGATGACCTCCTCGACGAAGTAGCGAGTGGGACTGAACCTCCCCCTCTCTCTCAGCAGCAACGACGTCTTCGCATCGTCGAGCCCTGGCCCCACATCCAATATCGCCTCTAGGTAACTGTTAATCCAATCATTTCCCGCCATTATAAACCACTAAGTATCTATGTATATACTTGTATAACTGTATTCAGAGATAAAGAAGGGGAGGATCTTTCTGGTTTTGCTCGGCGATACGACAAGGACACTGAGACTCAGAATTTAGAGAGAGAAAGAGAGATTCGGAGAGAGAGAGAAGATAAAGTGCAGATGTTATAGGAGCTTTGTTGCTTAAAACGGTAAAAACATTTTAGCAATGCCGTCAATGGGAAAAAAAATTGATTAGCCGATGGTACTACAATTTCGAAATAATTACAGTATTTACTTTGTAAGGATATTAATTGAGTCTCAATTATTTATTTTTTTAAAAAAAATTTGTGTCTAGGGCAGCTCGTTGGTGAGAAATTATTATAATGATTATTATTATTTTAAAATCGTTGGTGATAAATTATTAGAGAGATTATTTGTTTACATGTCATTTAGTAATTGGGTGGAATTATGTGGTCCAGTAATAAATTTTACTTTTATTAAAAGAAATTTTGCATTAAAAAGCTCATTTCATGATCTTCTTCAAAACATTTTTTTATTTTTTAATTCCGTGCCCCTTAAATTATAAAGAATTTGTTTAGATTTGAAATAAGAGAAATTTTAATTTAAATTTTATTTAATTTTAAATTTAGGTTCTGATTTTGTGTTTGTAAAGGCAAAATTAATTTTCAAAAATTAACAAAAAAAAAAAATGAATTGAAAAGCCAATTGAGTAACTGCTAAATGTCTCAAAAATTACTCAATTGATTTTAGGATTCCTTGTACAAAATATTGTAAAATTATGCAAAATATATATATATATATATTATAGAAGAGTTTTGTGCAATTGCCCTAAAGGGAATTTGGGAACTTAAGAAAAGTTTCAATGACATACGAACGTGTCACGAAATTGTTAATTGATTTTAGGATTCCTTGTACAAAATATTGTAAAATTATGCAATATATATATATATATATATATATATATATATATATTATAGAAGAGTTTTGTGCAATTGTCCTAAAGGGAATTTGGGAACTTAAGAAAAGTTTCAATGACATACGAACGTGTCACGAAATTGTTGATATTTTATGGTGATTATTGCTTACAAATTTTGAGGGGACAGATAATACGTAGATTCTTTATGGTTCAGGGAATTTATGTAAATTAATTTTGATATTTTTATGTTTTTTTGGGTCAAAAAATGTGAAGAGTATCTCGTGAATCGTCCAAGAAGCTACTCGTACCCTCAGCAGTACATAAAGAGGATAATACTCGCTGCCAGATCATTCCAACGGAGGTAGTGGGACACTATAGGACCAAGTGTTTCATGGATTTGGAGAGTTCACATAAACTATATAATGCTGCGAGTGCTTAGCTATTTATGATATGTTTTTTTATCAATTATCGGGTGGGGAATATATGGGATTATTCCTAATAATATTCCCGGGAGATTTTACCACCCCACTTTTATGACAAAAGTACCCCTACTTTTGCCCCCTTTGTCTCTTTTGGACAGTTTTCAATTTTCTTGTGTAAAACATTTTTTTACTAGTGTGTTTTTTCAGACCACTAGGAGGGTAATTAGGTACATAGGAGCCGAAAGATCTCTTAACGGGGACAAGAGACAAGAATTAGTTTGACTTTTTACAATGTCCTTTGCTAAAACGTGATTTACATTTATAGGCTTTAACGAGCTATTCTTGTGACAATTGATTAGCCATGCCACGTGGATACGTAAGTGGTCTTGCTTTTTATTTATGATTAATGTTCTACGAATTGAATAAGATTTTTCTTTAGTAAAATAATAATTGTGCTGTTTTAAAATAGGACTCTGTTAGGTGTCAATAGTCCTTTGATTCAAAAAATTAATATATTTGGTGATGAAGTCACACCCTTTTTTCTTTTCTTTTTTTGTGAATGAATGAAGTCACAACTGCAACCTATGTAGGCTTTTAAATAACAAGACTAATAGGATGGTTGCACATAAAAATTGTCTAAATCATACTCGGTACAAGATAACATCTGAAAAATAAAAGGCAAACCGAACATTCTTTAATTGCTTAAATATGTCTTGATAGATTTTTGAAAATTGAAAGGAACATTCTTTATCCATGGCTAGACCAACCCAATCCCAAAAAATTAAAAATACAAAAAAATAAGTTTTTAGGGTTTTACCTAACCCTAAAGTGAGTGGTGCCAAGTGATTAAAAATATTTTCTTAAAAAAAAACATAAAAATAAAAATAAAAAATATTGTCAGAACACAAGCTCAAAGACAAAAATAAATGGTTGTTAAAGAAACCGAAGGGGACTGACTTGCAAAGACATGACTGGAGCTTGTGGAAGATGACATTATTTAAAGTTAGTGCCAAACTAATTGTTGGTATGGTTAATTATGATGAATTAGGCAATGAGGATGAAAAAGAGGCCAAGATTGAGAACTATTCTAAAACTAAAATAAGCTTCCTACAAAAGTGAAATTAAGTACAAAGGAAACAAAACAATCAAAGAGTTTATAAGTGGCCTTTATATGACTAAGACCTATTGCTAATAACTTAAGTTATAACTTAGCCAATAATATTAATAGCAGCATGTTTATTTTTCATTCCAAAGGCTTAACCAATTCCTTCCTTTCCTCTTTAGTACCTTGTGAAGTAATTATGATCCATTTCCCGCGTAAAACTCTAAAAACTTTAGGACAAATAGAGTTGGATTTATACATAGATGACCCGGACTTATCAGTTCTACATGCAATATATATACATATATATATAACAATCTATTATTTCTATGTATATTCAGTGATGGACGGAGCAGCATGGGAAGGGGATAAGCCCCGTGGGCCCATACTGTCCCGTTAAATATTTTTAAATTTTTTAATGTATGAAACAAATAAAATACTCTAAAATGCACGCCTAAGATTGTTTTCTTTCAAAAAATTATCTCCAACTATTTTTCATATAATTCTTCTTCATTTTTCTTTAAATTTTTTTTTTTTTTTTTTTTTTAACTAAAAAGATCTTTCATCATGTGTTAATATACCCTTGAATAAAAAACTTGTTATGCTACCAAGTCCGGTGAACAAGATGAATCGAAGGCGCACCTGTGAATTGGTAGTGACATATTACGCTTCAAAACGAAAATGTTATTACACTAGAATGGAAGATATGAGTCCACTTGGTGCTATGAAATACAAAAATTCCTGTTATTGGCACCCACCTCTTTAAGTCAAAAGATGAAATATCTAGACCTTGAAAGTGCTTGGGTTTCTGGATTTTGGGTCAATGTCAGGATACTATATTGGCCTCTTCTATCTTTGAAATTCCAGCCATACATACCATATATTTAAGTGCTTAAAGACAACCCTTTGGATAAGCCTAGTATTGTGGTCCGTGGAACATATATATATATATATATATATATATATAAACACTTTTTCTATTAGTAAAATTAAATCTTATTCTTCCTTGTATGACCATTTTTTTCTAATGTTTTTCTCTTTTTCGTTTCCCTATTTTACTTTGATTTACTTTTCTCAAAAACAGTTTTTTCTATTATGGTGTTCTTGAAACTCAAAAACAGTTTTTTCTCTCTCTCTCTCTTCCTCTAATTCTCTCATTATCCACTTCTCATCCGTTTTTTCCAAAATTGATATTGAAATTTAGTTTATTTAAAAATATGAAAAAAATTCATATAAAGTAAATTTTTGTTATTTGAAAAGAATGATGTAATTTAGGGGAAAAAAAATAACTTACCATAATTTAATGTTATACCGTCTCAAGCTTTCAATTAACTTTGAAGTGAGAGCACTGACATGACTTTTAAATGGCAGCCTGGCAGGGAATGATTTAAGGTAGATGATCCGTGGTTGTTTGACGTACATGTAATGGCACAACATGGTTTAGTAGTAGTCACACCACAAACATTATCATTGTTAAAAATATAAGGGATAATTTCACTGACATTCCCAGTAATTTAATTAAATATCAGTTTAAAATATATTTCGAAAATAACTATCACTCACATTACAAACGTTTGCTCCGTTTTTTACCGTTTTTCACTCACACCCCAAAAGTTAGTTTGCAGGTGTGTCAGACCACTTTTTACATGTAAAAAGACATTTTTACCCTTTGACTTTGGTTTGACTCTTGATTTTGGTCTACTCTTATTTTTTTACAAAATATCAGTATTAAAAGACAATATGACCCCTTAAAAATTTGTAAATTTACAAATTATATTATATATACAGGCAGACATAGATATACTCTTATATACACACACACACACATATATATATATATATACACACACACACACACATAAGCACAACACCACCACCAATCGCCGTCGATCGCGGTAAAGAGAACATCCAACACACCGTGACTGCTCTCCTCAAGAAGATGTCGATCGGCGCGTGTGGCCCAATTCCAGCGACGGGGTGTTGAGCTTGTCTGTGCCATGGTTTGAGTCCGATTCCGGTTCGGATTCGTCTCCAGCGGGGTTTGTTAGGTCTTGCGGGACTTGGTGGCAACCATCGTTGCCGATTTTGGGTTTGATTTACACCACCACCGACACCGGCGAGGATGTTGGCACAAGAGACGGCGGCGAATTGGGGGAGAAAAAATAAACTCGAGCACTGCTTTCATATGACACACAATTCTGTATTCTTAAGTTCGTGAATCATAACACTTGGGGAGTACTAATCAGCCAACTCATCCAATGCAAGGTTCTCCATAATGAACAGATGAAATATTGGAAGTCCAACTGCCCACCCTTACAAACTTCTCCTTGAAAAAATCCTTCTCAAATTACTGAACACGATGAAGAAAAGAACAACAAAAATTCAATGAAACAGAACCAAAATCGAATTAGTATGAACACTACCCAAAAAAATAGATTAAGAAACAAAAGATACACATACGCTCTCTCTATATACCATCAAATCAAACAAAACCGCAAACATTATTAACTTGTTGACTTTGTAGTAGATTTACAAAATCCCTCGAACAAACATTAAACTCAATGCAAACAGAACCCAAATCAAACCAGTACGAACACTACCCAGTACCTAGTACATCAGATAAGGAAACAAAACGCTCTCTCTTTCTCTCTCTACATACCATCAAATTAAACAAAACCACAAACATTTCTTGATTTGACAATAGATTTACACCACCACGTTGCTGCTTCTGTCGCCTGAAGTTTCTGCTGTGAACCACGCCACCGCTTCCAACCCCCGCCTCAACCTCACCACTGTTGATTCGGCGTGGTTATTTTTTCCATATCTCTAATTCATCTTCATCTCTTTCTCTCTCTATCACACACACCAATATGAAAACAGAATAATCAATTACAGTGTTTGGGGACTGGATTGGAGGCATTTCTAATCAAAATTTTGTTTTGTTAACTATATCATTTTCTCTGACATACCTGACAACAAAAATGGGTTTGGGTTATGCAACCACCACCACCACCACCACCACCACCACCTTCTCATCGCGGACCACCAACTACCAATCTCTCTATACACTTTCTCTCTCTTCTGCAACACTCAAAACACCACCAAAAAAGCCTTAACTTTTGGAACCACCACCCACCACCATGACGGCCAACAATACCATTTACCCGATGCTCATTCAGAAAGATGATTAAGTTTAGGGATTTTATTTGTGGTATAATTGTCAGGGGTATAATTGTCTTTTAACTGATCTGATATTTTAAAATAAATGTTATTAAAAAAATAGGGACAACGTTGTCTTTTCACATGTTTTTAACGGACACTCTGACGGAAAATAAAAAATGAACCTAAGTGATAGTTATTTTCGAAAGATGTTTTAGACTGATATTTAGCCAAACTACTGAAGGTGTTAGTGAAAAATTTCAAAGATTTAGTGAAAGCTTATACGACGACTTATATTTAGCAAAACATTATTGGTAATTGTGGCATTAGGTTAGGGTGGGGTGTGGTATGGTAGGACAATTTAGTTTTAAAATTTTTTATTTTGTCTGAAAAATATATTTTACGTTTTTTTATAAGAATTTCAAAAATTATTCTTTTACCATAACTACAAGACTCGACAATAGTCAACTCATTGAAAGTCAAATTTTCTATTCGATTTAAATTATATAAATTATTCATCTCATTTGATTGGGGTTCGAACATATTCATTTAAGAGAAATGAACTGTTCTATTAACTATAATTATCTATTAATCTAAATAAAATAAGTGTTAACTTTCATGTAAAGTAATGTATGAATGAAATTGAATAGGTATTACAATAACTTTTTCCCTCTTGTAGTCTGTTAATCAATGAGAATAAAATCACAAATGATCGAATCCTTGATTTCAACTCAAGCGGTTTTTTATTTTATTTTTAGGTTAAAGAATGATCGAATCCTTGACTCCAACTCGAGCTTTTAATTTAATGTCATGTGCAAATGTTCAACGACTTTGACTAATTAGAAAGTTCTTTAACCAAAGGGACAATGTATCAGCTAAGTTGTATCAGCTAAGTTGTTCGTTAGAAAAGAATCTGATGCTATGCCTCTAATCCCATTAAATGAAACCGTCCCTCACATATTATCTTTTGTCTCCTCTCCCAAGCCCTAGAAATCCCTCTTTTGGTCTCGAACCCTGGGTGTGTTTGGATAGTATTAGTTATGAGAGAAAAGAAAAGAAAAGAAAGGATAGTATTAGTGAGAAAAGAAAAGAAAAGAAAAGAAAGAATAATAATAATTTCTATTTGTGTTTGGATAGACAGGGGAGAAAAGAAAAGAAGTGATAGTTATTTTTGTTTGGATAAGATAGAGAAGAGAAAAGAAAAGAAAGGATAATAGACAAATTACTTTTTTACCCTTTCATAACCATGGGACTTGAATGAAATAATAAATTTGTGTATTGATTTGTGAAGGCTAATTTTGGTATTATCAAAATACCACTAAAATCACTATCCTTTCTCTCACTATCTCTCCCTATCTTCTCAATTTTGAGGAGAAAGCAAATAAGAGATAAGGAGGGATAGCTATCCCTCCCTCTCCCTGTCATTCCACTTAAGTTACCCAAACACAAACTTACACAATCCTCTCTTTTCTTTTCTCTCCCTATCCCTCCAAATCAACCCTACCAAACACACCCTAAAAATGATTGATGTTCTGAAACTCAGATCTGAAGTTAGTCTTTGCTGTCGAAGATCTGGATCTCACTTTCGTCATTGCCTGAGCTATTCATCCTCCAAAGTTCACCCCCGAAGATCTCTCTCAGGTCAGTTTTCCTTTATTTTCCTGTAAATTTAGGGTTTTTTTTTTCCACTTTTAAAATCCTGCATCTTTTAATTGTGTGATCGTGGCATGTTTGTCTAGACTTAAAATTAGAACTCGTTTCATTTTTCATTGAGATTATCTGTTTTATATTGAAACAAAACAGATAATGTAGTTAGTAGTTGTGAATCTATACTTTTAATGGATCGTGGCATTCTGGATTATTTGCATTCTGGATTTTTTGCATCTACTTCTGATTATCTGTGGTGAATTTTTTCTTCTTTTTTTTTTTTTTAAAAAAAATAAAAATTTAAATGACAGTAGAATTCCATTGATGTGAAATTTCATTGCAATTTGATCTGTTTGCATATTCTATATAATATGAACTTCACTCATGCTCGCAATTCTTGCGCCTAGGCTCCAGGTGATTTTTGCACCTTAGTGTGCCTTTTACTTTTAATTGTCTTTCGGATCCTGTTGTATTTTTAAAAATCAAATAAAATTTAATGGCGATTGGGAATTAAAACACTGTATCTGTACATTTTTGTGATAATTGGGCTAGTTTAACAAAATTTATGGTCATGGCATTATACTCCTCCCCTGTAGCACCACAATTGCTACTGTTATGGTGGCCGTCACCATTACTTAAAACCAGGCTTACAAGATGTCCTTTCTATGGATACATGATTTATAGTTTTTGTTATGCTACTATTGGGCTTTAAAAAGAGAAACAAGAACAACTCCTTCATGTAGCGTAAATGAGAATGTTAAGTTGGATGATTTGAGTGATTAGAAGAGATAGGGTTACAAATGAAAAGTGTGAGAGAAAAATTAAGAGCGACACTCATTAGTGATAAAATAAGAGAGAGTAGACTTAGATTGTATCAGCACATACAACAACGATGTGTAAATGTCCTAGTAAGAAGAGGAAGATAAACTTTCCATAAAGGGTAAGAGATAGATTGGGCGATCAAAATTAACATCGGAAGAAGTTATTAAAAATGATTTTTAAAAATTTAAAATAATAAGTAAGATGGAATGTGATAGAAAAGAATGAAAAAAGAGAATGCATGTGGTTGACCCGATTCATATGGGATTAAGGAAAGGATGATGATGTTATTGTTAGTTGATGTATTGAAATAGCTACACTGATGTCCTGATTTTATTTGGTATCAGTTACATCCAACTCATTACTAATCATACTTACCCCCAATATATATTACCAATCATTGATATGCGCAGGATCTGTAAGTGTGTATGTTGGATAATACAGTGCATGAGCTTTGGGAGAATGCACTAGAAGGAAACGTGTAGTAAATCTTGTACGTGTGCCAAATTAAGATATAAAAACAATGGCATCAACTGCTGTGAATATGGTGAAAACTACATTAGACTGGGTGACGATAGCATTTGATGCCCCTTTTGCTCGAGCTGTTGTTTTTGGAGTGCCTATTGGAGGTAAATTCTCAAATCTCAAAAATCTGATGAATACTTTGTCCTTTTAATTCCTAAAATTTTATACTAAAAGGTTTAACATTTTTTGCCCTTTCTTGGCTGCAGGGCATCTATTTGTGGAAGGTCTCCTTTTAGTGGTTATCCTCTTTCTACTCTCCCAGAAAAGTTATAAGCCGCCTAAACGGCCATTAACGAAGAAGGTTTGTATGGCCTATGCCCTATAAGTCCCACATCAGTTGTTTCATTCAACAAGTTTTTGTGGTGTAAGCTGTAATAATCTTTAAGGGCTTTTAAGACTCTAATAGATTGTAATGAAGCCACTAAGAATTTAGTATCATATAATGGTATTGGACGACGAGGTCACTGAGGCTTGGAATATATTCTTCTTTACCTATATAATGAGCTAAAGTCTTCTTGGTTCCTACATATATTCTTGAGAAAAGGCTTTACACTTGGAGTTCACATCAATATTCTTCACAGCTATAAACTTCGTCAGGGAGAAATTTTCATGAGGATCTTGTAGTTGGTTGGCTCTAGTACTAAAATTATGCCATGCCTTTTAAAATGTAATCACAGAATAACTAAAAGAAAAAAATAGGTCTATCATATGTTTCAAATTAGTTTAAGCGTGGGACTATGAAGAGAAATCGACAACGTAGGGTTTTCTAATAGACTAAAGGCAACGAGGATTGCTTAAATAGTTTCAGCTTTAGGATGTTGGGTTTAAAGATAGCAAATCGATTATTAGTCCTAGAAAAGACACGAGAGAAAAGAAGATAATAAAGGGAGGAAAAATTAGGTGAAAAAGAGAGGTTTCAAATTGAGCAACCATTGTATACTTGCAAAGCTTTAAAGTTTGACTTATTGATGAACATTCACTAACACCAAAAGTTATGACCATTCCCCGACCTTGACAAAAAGAAGGAAAAAAGGTAATCAAAGATGTGAATATAACTTTCTTTATTGGTTCAGTACTCTAATAAAATATAGCCCTTCAATCAATTGAATTTCAGCTATTAACAGAAGTTTGATTTATTAAAAAAAATACATTATATCAAAAAGCCTTTGTTAGTTTATTGAAACGGTAGCGTACAGTACTCACTACATTATTTTGAAATGTTCCCCAGTTGAAATGTAAACTATAATAACAAAAGTCTTAACAACTACTTTGGACTCCGTTATTGTATGGCAAAAGTCTTAAGATGAAGCCACTAAAGGGGCCAAACAACTATTTTGGACTCCGTTATTGTATAAAAAAAGATTCTTTACTGGCATAGGTCTACAGCACTTGTTTTAGGCTATGAAAGAGGGTATGTCTTCCTGCCTGGACTATGGGTACGGCATCCTTAAAATAAAAACGAAATGTCAAATTTTGGTGGAGTGTTGAACTATAGTCCAGTGTCACATGCATGCAGTGTCAGAAGCCTATCACCAGATCATGTATTGTTTATGCTGTTATTGTAGACTTTTTATAGTTTTACTTGCATCATTTCTGGCGTTATGGTTTCTTTTTCTGTATTGTTTATAGTTGTAACCTTTGAATCAAACAAATATCCAGTTATATTCAACATGTGCTGTGCTTGTTAGTTTTCAACTTTGCACAATTATAACATTTAAGTTTTACTTTTAATGTAGTACTTATTGTACCATCCAAAATCTGATGACTCTGTTCGTTTGAAACTTGTAGGAAATAGATGAGCTATGTGATGAATGGGTTCCAGAATCCCTTATTCCTGCTATTACAGAAGAGATGCAGGGGAAACCCCCTGTATTGGAAAGGTGAAATCAGTACTTCTTCCAATTCATATTTTCTTTAGATTTCGAGTTCTCTCGAAATATTGTTGAAGCAATGCTTGTATATTTGTTCTTCTCTGAGAGATTTAGGTTTCAACAAAAAAAAATTTTCACATGTATCTCTCTCTCTCCATATCAAAGTAAAGATTGATTTCTGTTACCATGTTTTTTTTTGTCATTTGTTTCCTTGAATTATAGTGGGTGGCTACTGCTAGTGTACTTTTTGTCTTATTTTTGCGAACTTCTCCTCAGAAACTTCTTCTTCGGAAACTTGTTGATTTTCTTCTCACAGATATTAACTTCTTCAGAATGTGTGAAAGGGGTTTCCCATTATATCAGAGACATCACTGCTCATGAGTTGCGTTTATGCAGTGCTGCAGGGCCGCATACAGTAATCAACGGCAAAGAAGTTGTGAATTTTGCTTCAGCAAATTACCTTGGATTGATAGGCAATGAGAAATTACTTGTGAGGAAAACTTACTATTTTATATTATGTTTTCTTTTATGGTAATGGTCTTATTCAATTGGAGCATTTATGGCAATGTTTGTCACAGGAGTCATGTACTTCTGCATTGGAGAAATATGGTGTGGGCTCCTGTGGTCCTCGTGGGTTTTATGGAACAATTGGTATACTTTGATATGTGCTCACATTGCTGCAGTGCACTAATGAACTGTATTGACGTTTTCTCCATCTTTTACATGTAAAAACACTAACCTTTTAACAATTTTGTTTTATATAGATGTCCACGTTGATTGCGAGGCCAGAATAGCAACGTTTTTGGGAACTCCTGATTCAATCCTCTATTCCTATGGACTCTCTACCATGTTCAGTGCAATTCCAGCTTTTTGTAAAAAAGGAGATATTGTTGTTGTGTGAGTATGTTTTATTTTGAATGTGTAATTGTTGGAATATACAAAGTAGTTGGTGGACAAAGGAAATTAATATGAAGATTACACGGAAAACATTGTAATTCTTGACCGATTCTTAATTTAATAATTTTTCTTATGTTCAGTAAATGATGACATGATCATTTTTCTATCATTTAAAAGTTGCTTACTTTTTAATTGAGTATTTTTTCATAGAATATTGAGAATAAAAGTGGCATCTTTGTTGACATTCCCGTTGTCTTTTCTTTAAAGCCATTGTGCTGTAATAGAGATGACATTTATCACGATCAATCATCATTTGATTTGTTTCCCATTCTTTGATGACTTATCTATTCTCTAAAGGTCTTGTCTTTTGATTTTCATTATGGTATCATTCATGTATGTTTTTGGTAATATGAGTAGCTTTTGGAATATTTATCCAGGTTATTCTATAAGTTATTGTTGGTTCGGTTTGTAATATTAAATTTACATCAATAATTAAAAATTCTGTTTCTTTTCCAGGGATGAGGGTGTTCACTGGGGAATACAGAATGGTCTTCATTTATCTAGAAGTACGATTGTATATTTCAAGCACAATAACATTGAGTCCCTACGAAATACTCTGGAGAAAGTTACTCAAGAAAATAAGCGAGCTAAGAAGCTAAGACGCTACATTGTGGTTGAAGCTGTGTACCAGGTACTGCTTTTCAATTATGCTTTAGTTTGACTAAGCTGATAACTTAACCTCGAAGCCATTGTTTAAGATTTGTACTTGCATTTTTTTTTCCATTTTCTTTTTTCGTTTCTTCTCTTTCAGTAAGCATCTTTGAGAATATGAAAAACATAGTTTGGTTTTTTCTACTCTTTTGTTCTCTCTCTCTCTCTTTAAAAAAAAAAAAGGACAAACAAGTATTGGTCTTAATTCGTTTATTCAAGGATTCAATTTTGTGGCACTAATTATATGTTAATATAGGAAGTTGTGCACTATAGGAGATTATGTTGGACAACACTCACAAACTAATGGGATCTTTGAATCTTCCAAAACCTATGCTTGAGTGGGATCCTCAGTTGGTCTTAGTTATCCAGATTGATCATTGATTTTTTGTTGTTTGGTTAAGTTGTTTTCTTGTTTCAGGTGCCTCTGGTTTGCCCCCTTTTTTTTTTGTTTAAAAAAAGAAAGAAAGAAAAGAAATTGGCTGCAATGAATCAATAAAAAAATTGAGTCCATGAGATGGGAATGGATTTGATTAAATGACTCATACTTTAGAGGAAGAGATGGGGAATAATGACATTGTCGTGTGTTGTTGAATAGGATTATAGGAAGCTTTAAGCTATTCCCGTTTCACTTGCATGTATCACTGAAAAATGGGATCTCAAAATGAAGTGATACTGTTGAGCCTTCGTTGAGACGTAGATGGATTATATATTGTTGAATAAAGATACTTACCTTTTTACTGAGAGAAGGTACAACATTGAAATCTGAGAACAATATTCATAAAATGAACTTTACATGTTGAAGGGTAAGAGTTCTCCATGTTTTTCTAACCCAACACCTGAAAAGTTCCCACCTTGTTATACGCTGAAGTGCCAAAAGCGGTGGAAACAGAAAGCGAAGAAAGAGGTGACGGCCAAGAACGTGACTAGGGTAGTTTAAGCAAAGGGGTGGTTTTGGAATTTTATAAAAAGGGGCGCTCTTAACTTTAACGTTGTTTGGTGGACTGTTTGTTGACTAACAGAAATGTCTAGAAATAGGATCAATCTCTAATATATATATTTTTTAAAAAGGGTCCAATGTCAAAACCTATACAAAATTTTGGGACTTAAGTTAAAAAAAAAAAACTCTTATTTCTTTCTTAATCTTATTTCTTTTTTGAGATACAAATATTAAGCACAAATTTACAATTTTTATCTGTTATTTTAAATGTAAAATAACAACTTAACATTTCAAAAAAGGTCTATAAATTACAAATTAATACAGAAGGAGAGCATTGATTACAAACATGAGCTAACCTTTAAGAATCCCTTTTCTTTTTCTGTAAAAAATAAAATAAAAGTATAGGGGATAAAACTACCCTATCGCTGCTTTATCGCCAAAGGATTGTGGAGGAGGATTCGGATTGTTGGTCTTGGGTAGCAAACTCTCATGGGCGTTTTGAGGTGAGGTCCTTCAAGTGTCTCTCATTTGATCCTGATGTTCGTTTTCCTTGGAAGTCTGTTTGGCGCTCCAAGGCTCCTCTCAAGGTGGCTTTCTTTGTGTGGTCTTCGGTTATGGGTAAGATCTTAACCCAGGATAATTTGCGAAGGAGAAGCCAAGTGGTGATCAATCGTTGTTTTATGTGCCTTCGTAATGAGGAATCAGTGGATCACCTTCTCATTCATTGCTATGTGGCTAGAGAGTGTTGGGATTTGATGCTTGGCTTATTTGGGCTTTATTGGGTTATGCCTAGATCTACAAGAGAGGTTGCCCTGTGGGGACTCACAGTCAGGATGCGTGGAGGGCTACACCGCTTTTTGTATGGTGGTGCATTTGGCTTGAAAGGAATAGGAGATATTTTGAAGGAAAGGCAATGTCGATTTCGGTGCTTAAATTCTCGATTATTTCCACTCTTTTTTGTTGGGTTTTAGGGAGAGATCATAGATCTTTGGAGGAAATTGTTGATTTTTTGGCCTCTTTGAAGGATTGAGTGGCTTTTTGTATTGTTCTTGGGTTCCGCTCCCCCTTGGAGTGTTTTTTTATAAAATTTTTTATTTATCAAAAAAAAAAAAAACTACCCTATCGATCTTTGATAGAACAAGGTATTGGTGTTTAAGGTTAAACAAGTTGTGACCTATGGTCCGTCCATTTTAGTGTACTTGTGATAACCCACTCCTTGGTAAGGACCTGCACTTTTTTTTGAATTAAGCTTCTTATGGACGGCAATTCTCTTGGGTGTACTACACTATAACTGTGTCTGGTTCATTAAATTTGTCAAACATTTTCCTCTCTCTCTCTCTCTCTCTTTTTTTTTTTTTTTTGTGGTGGGGGTAAGTGATAGGGGGGATTGTTTGACGAGGACATTTAAATTAATCAAAGGAATATCAAAGCCGATTCTCGATGCAATTAAATCACTTGAGATTGCATCAACACATTTTAAGTCTTGTATGAATCCTGTTATACGAATAGTATATTGTTGTCTATGTCCTGTCACCTTCAATTTTATGAGAATTTTTCCATTCAGTCGGGAAATGATAGTGTTGTGATTGATTTGTCCAATTTGCAGAATTCTGGCCAAATTGCTCCACTAGATGAGATCATCAGACTGAAGGAGAAATATCTGTTCCGTGTTTTATTGGATGAGAGCAACTCATTTGGTGTTCTTGGTTGTTCTGGGAGAGGTCTAACCGAACACTATAGGATTCCGGTAACATTTTGAAGACTCCTCAGATTAATTAATTAGTCATTGAATCTCTGTATGTGGTTTTATTTTGATGTGATATTGTAGATTGAGAAGATAGACATCATAACTGCTGCCATGGGACACGCGTTGGCCACAGAAGGAGGATTTTGCACTGGAAGTGCCAGAGTCATTGATCATCAAGTATGAAAGAACTTCAATTTGAAATAAAATAAAAAAAATCTTGAAAGAACCTTCATTTAGCCATACTTCTTTCTTTTCATTATATATTGATCAATGTGATGTTTAGTCTTGTTTCAGCTTCCCTATACTAATGATTCATGCTATGCTATGTATTGGCAGCGTCTCAGCAGTTCTGGTTACGTATTTTCTGCTTCTCTGCCCCCATACCTAGCGATTGCTGCAATTACTGCTATTGATGTCCTGGAGGAAAATCCTGATCTGATTACAAAACTGAAGAAAAACATTGCCTTATTATGCAAAGGTTTGTTTTACTTTCATCATTATGCATACTGATATATTCAAGGGCTTGATTGTACTTGCCAAACTACTAACTTAGAAAAGTTAGAATGCAATTAAATAAGGTTTTGTTTCCAGTGAACTAGAACTATATAAATTTTAATATTGTTCTGGTTATTGGCTTTCCTTTTGTTTCTAACTTTTTGGGCTATTGCAGGTCTGTCAGATATCCAAGGCCTTGAGATTGCTAGCAGTCCAGAATCCCCAATTGTATATCTCAGACTAAAAAAGCCCACGGGTTCTTTAAAGAATGATCTACAGCTGCTTGAAGATATTGCGGATCAAGTATGCATTAGTTTAAGTTTCATTGAAACCTGACCCTGATTACTTCACTATTTCTTAATTGCTGTGTTTTTGCAGGCATTGAGGGAGGACTCTGTTTTTGTAGTGACTTCCAAAAGGTCAACACTAGATAAATGCCATCTGCCTGTGGGAATTAGATTGTTTGTCTCTGCTGGTCATTCAGAGTCTGATCTGCTGAAAGCATGTGAATCATTGAAGAGAGTTACAGAATTGGTGACTTGGTGTTAACCGGCTGTGATTGAATGTTGCATAACAGATATCAGGCTTAGTGGCCTTCGTCTCTGATATCATGTGGCCTGCAAAGAATGGGAGGGAAAGGTGTTGCTACGAGTTTGATATTGATTATGAATTATTTTTCCACTCCGATCTCATGTGGCCAACAAAGAATTTAGGGAAAGATGTTGCTAGGAGCTTGATATTGCTTTATGAATTATTTCGAATTGTGTTTTTTGTAATTGTTCCTTCACATAAAAGCTAAGGCGGTAATAACTTGCCGTTTGAGCTGATAGCAAAGCTACAATGTGTTGGGAGCTGAGTTGTGGAAATTGTTTTGGTTTACAAATGTTACATGCTGACGTTCTTGTTCTTTTGAAAATTCTGTTTGTAGGATTGTTGCTTCTGCTAGGTTTATTATTAGATGAAAATGTCTTCTTCTGTGAATATATTCCATAGCTCATTGGATTGGTTTGAGGAAACATTTGTTTAATTATAATTCTTGGTCGGTTTGCTTTGTCATTCTTCCGTTTAGTGTTATATTTTATACTTTGATTTTTCTCTTTGACAAATAAAGGTATATTCTCTCCTTTTGGAGGTCCCCCTCCTGCCTTCAAGAGCGGGCAAATGACCTCCTGGTGACTAGCCAATGAATCTACTGTATTGGTAGTTTTGTTTACAAAATAGGGTTGGATCACCGTGGTAGTTGATGAATTAATCTGGGATGGATGCTAGTAAAGTGTGATGCGATTGACACTAAGGGTAACCTTTTAGAAAGAAGAATATATATATATATATATATTTCCTAAATAGAAAGAAGAATATTAGAGATAAACAGCTCAAATGGATTAAGATTTTTTATTTTTTTCAGGCAAAAATATTAGATTAGAAGATAGAGGTTAAAAAAGGGTTTTCCAAGAACCATGTGAAAGGAGAGAGGTTTGATCGAACAGCTGTAGAAAGAGGGTTAGGTACAAATTCCCATCAGGTTTGATTTGACCCTCCTCAATGAGAGCCTCAACATCTGTAATTAACTGTGCTGACAATCGTTGACCAATAATGACAGACAATGTGTTGTTAATGAAAGATTAGTTACTCTTACCTTCCAATTATTTTGCAAAATTACAATTACCCCTAGTGTTAAATGTCGGTTAATGAAACATGTAAAATTTACTCTTATTTTCTTCTTATTATTATTATTAAATAATTTTAATTGAAAAATATTTATTTGTTAAAATTTCTCCATTGATCTGAGTGCTCAGAACATTGATGTACACGTTACGGGATAAGTATGTGATAATGATTTTTACATTTAGATTGCAACTCACGACTACCATGATTTCGAAGTTATAAATTATTATACTTGAATCTTTTAATTTGATAGTCGTTTTACATTGAAGTTGCTAAGTGAGTAACCAGTTCCAATTTTTTAAAATTGTTGGGTGTGTGAAATGCTTGTCTATACATGTGATGGTCTTGCTATAATCTGTTTACACAATTTTTGGCTCTTGAGAAATGTGGGCGTGCCATAGTCCTTGACCCGAACTCAGGGTATAAGCCGAACCATAATTTCCATGTTGGATTGGTCCTGAAAATTGGTTAGGCGACTCTGAGGAGGCAGGAAAAACACCTCCTATTTGGTTAGCATTATCTTGTTAATAAGGACTTAAATTTTCCTCAAATGGTGATCGATAAAGATGAAACAAGGAGCAAGATGAAATAAAGAATGGTGGCAAATAGAATGAATAAATCTTCTTATTAAAACAAAGTGATATTTCATTAGTAGCTAATAAAAATACAAAGTACAAGCTAAAATATAACAGAAACTAGAGCATGAGAAATAAAAGTGGAAACATTGATAATAAACTAATACGAAAGAGTAAGACAACAATTATGATAAGTTTACATGAAAGCTGATAAACCAAGATGGATTATAAAAATACACCATGAACTATATTGCTAGGAGAACATAAAAATGACCAGTGGCCTAAGGAAAAAATGGCCAGTGGCCTAAGGAGATAAACAAGAGAGGCATAGTTCTCGGTCCCGGGGATCCTCTTGCTCATAGCTTTGGTGTGTACTTATTGTAGATTTCTCTCCAAGCTCAAAGTACCAACCATGTTACTCTTCCTTAATGTTGCCATGTCATCACCTTGTTCATTCTTGACCCTTAGATTAGGAGACTATTAAAGAGTGCTGTCCAAGATTTTGGACTTTCCTTCCATTGTATGCTGACATTAGTCAAACTAAAGTCTCACTTTTCAATTTCACCCAATTTATGTAATGTCATCCTTTGATAGCTATGTAACAAATGGGGATTTCAAAATGACATAAACCAAAATAGAGCGTTCAGTCACTCATTCACTGTTATTGGGTCAAAAATTCCAAAAATAATCTGTATATGAATGTGAGAAATATTTTGGTGTTATCAAAATATACACTGTACAACTATCACTCGCCTCTTCTTTTTCACCAGTGCCACCGCCCATATATTCTCTATCTTCTCCACCATGGACAAAACTTAATCCCTCCAAACTAGAGGGGGGCAATTACAAATTTTAAAAAAATTAATCTTAAGAGCGCCTCCAACCACTCTCCAGTGTCCTTTCAAACTCACAATATAAGTGATTTTATTTTCTAATATACTTCAATGGTGTGTTATACATCCTATAAAAAAATATGAGATTCTCAAAATTTTTCTCATATATAACATGTTGTTATAAGTTGAGAGCTTGAGATGTTAAGTATTTTTTTTGAATTTGTATGACGAAGATATGGGTCGAAAAATCACGTGAAAAAGTAAGAATGATACAATAAGAAAAGTAATGGTCAAAGTGTCGGCAGAATTGTTATAATATAACATTTTGGATGAAATATGCCATTGGAGTAGAATTACTAAAATATACTATCATTTTAGCATTGTAGTTCCTCTTAAAATATAATTGTACTATCAGAAATAATATTTTGTATAGGAAAAAGGTAAGTGTAATTTATAACTTTATTTTATTTCATAAAATTGTACTTTTATTACTCCGTATTTCATAAAATTGTAAGCTTTATTTGTGGTAGATAAATGACAGCAATTAATTAACTAGTTGGAATAAACGTTACGTACCTTCAATCAATATTAAGTCTTTCCAATTTATCAGTCAATGTGAACCGACCATGATCATCATACGTATACACACGTACATAATCGTAGCTGCTAATGTCAACCCACGTGAGAAGGGTAGCGTGGGGTGGCGTGTCTGGTGACATTTCTCCAACGGTCAACAATATCCCTCCATTGGAATGTATGCAATTTTATATACGCAGAGACGGCCAAACGTTACATCAGAGCCCACCATCTTCTACTCAGGCCGGTCTTCTTCCGTTTCTTGCCTTCTTTTGATTCTTCTCTCACAAAACAATCCAACCAAATATGGTCTAAGGTTCTCTCCTCCAACTCTCAGTAGCCTTTATTTCAGGTTTGCTTCTCTCATTACAATCATACTGAACAATTATTATTATTTTCTTTTTCTTTTTTGTGTGTGTTTCAGTCCATTTGGGTTTTAGTTGATATCTCATCTGGGTTTATCTCATTCTCTGGGTTTGGTGAATTTGGTATGAAAGAATTTTGGTTTAGTTTTTGGGTAATACTATGCAATTGGGTTGAAGAAGTTTTCAATATCATCCCTTTGAATACTATAACCCCAATATCATGATTGTCATCCCTTTTAATACTATAACCCCAATATCATGATTATCACCCTTTGAAAAGTGAATACTACTCCTTTGGGTTTTAGCTTTTTTCTTATCTGGGCTTGTGTCATTTCTGGATTTGAGGAATTGGCAATCTAAAAAATTTCAGTATACTTTTGCAGGTCTTTGGCGCTTTGACTTCTTGGGTTTACATTATAGTCCTTGAAACAACTGGGTTTAATGTATTTGTCAGTTCGGTGATCTAGATCTCAAAATTTCAGTCGGATTTGGAAGTGATTTTGGGAAATTGAGGTCACACTTTCAACATTTAGCCCAAAGTTAACAAGGTTTTGACTTTCAGATACTTTTCTATCTGGGTCCATCTCCTATGCCAATCTGATGAACTGGGTTTAAAGACTTTGGTTGTCTTTGGAGGTGATTGCGGCATTTACTATTTAGGGCAGTTTATGATCCAAAACTGATGTATCGGTGGGTTCTGAACTTTCATTCTATTTCCATCTAGGTTTTTCTTCTTTATCAGTTTTGTAAATTTGGCACGTAATACATTTGTTGATATGTGAGGTGCCTGTGGATTGTTCTTTCATGTTTCTACAACTCTTAGTTATTATTGCTTAGTGGTGACTTGATGACTTCAGCTATGCTTCCATTATCTTTGAATTTTGAAAGATGGAAGTTAGGTGCATTAATTTATTGAGAATGGCAGTGATTGTGTTGATTCTGTTGTTGCTCGTCCAATTTCCAAGAATCTCTGCCTTTGGGATGTTAATACAGTCAAAGGGCTGTGATAATGATCCTATTAGCTATTCAGCCTATTCAAGCAACTCTGGTCATGAGTTCTTTTACATTAATGGGAAATTAGTAGACAGATCTCTCTTTTGCGAGTCCCTCAAATTCTATCATGCAAATCATTGCTTCATCACGGAAAACGTCAGAATTCGTTACTGTGGACTGGATCATTCACTAGGTAATCTTTACTACAGAATGTTTCTTTGCGGTTTGTGTTGAATATCCTTCTATGCCAAATTTTCAGGGAAAGAAGTAGTTATTTTATGTCGTTAATCCAAAACATAGGATAGGTTTAATTATGTTGATTAAATGTGACAAAGTACTTTCTACACTGTCTTGCAGATGAATTAACTCTAAAGTCAGGAAGGAAATTTTTGCAGAAGGTGGTTAGAGAAGAATCCACAAAACATGATTCTAATCAGATAAGTCACAGTGAAGACAGAGATGCTCACAAATCTCCGTTAACCACAAAAAAGTTGGCTATTGCATTGCCAGGAATTTTTGTTCTGTGTTGTAGTTTACTTTGCCCTTGCTTTCGTACAAAAAGAAAAGATGAAGCCCATATTCTTGCAAAGGACCCAAGTTCAAGTAAGTCAGAATATCCTTATATTTTGAAGATCTTTTATATTTAGATTCATACATTGTTAATGTTTGTGATATAGAAATTTCTTTAAAATAGAACTAGATTATTACCACACTGGATTACCCTCAGACACATGCACATTTTTGTTTTGCATAAGCTAATCCCAAGATCATTAATTGTTTTCTGCTTATGTTCCCTACCGAGTCTATGGGCAAAAATTCTATGATTTTGAAGTTTCTCTTTATCACATTCGTATGCGCTAGCTTAGTTTTTATTTTATTTTTATTTTTTCTGGTAATTTGGCACAGTGAGTTAATCGATCGTCTTGGTTGTGCAGTGGATTCAATTTCATCTGTTGAAATGAATTCTGTTTCTGAAAAGATTCCAGGCAGTCCATTACGAGTACCACCCAGTCCTTCAAGGTTCTCTATGTCCCCTAAACTTAGTAGACTTGGATCAATTCATCTCAATATGAGTCAGGTTGCTAGAGCCACCCAAAATTTTTCACCATCAATGAAGATAGGTGAAGGAGGATTTGGAACTGTCTACAAGGCCCAGCTACAAGATGGCCAGGTGGTTGCGATAAAACGAGCAAAGAAAGTAAGCTAAAGTTTTTTCTTGTGTCCTAGAATTTACTACTTCAGCTATATCGTTCTCCCTCACGTGATGATAGCAAAAGCCCATATTATATTTCTAGTAGTAGGAATTGTCATATTGCATTTCAGTTCTTTTGGACCATATAACATAAAGTTAAATTGCAGAGATGCATGGTGTTTTGTTTTTTTTATTTTTTATTTTAAATCTAATACTGTGATGTGCTATCATAGTTTAAATTAAAAAAAAAAGAAAAAGAAAATTGTACTAATAATTTGTTTATCTATGTAAGAAACAATGCACTCAAAAATATTAAGAATAGATTTTGGAGGTTAATGTATTTGAAATACTTGTCTTAATTCTTCTTTATTTATTTCATGAGTTTTAGGTTTTTTCTTGTATACTTTTTAAGAATTATTTAACACACGTATGCTATTAGGCATTATCTTGCTTATTTTGTAGATCTTATGGTTCCCGATCTGATCATGGGAACCCTAAATCAGTCCAGCATAGGAACCCAATTTTAACAACCTTGCTTTAGTGTACTTTGACAGTTCAAATTTATCTCTAGTGAATGTGATGAAATGTGCATATTGGGTCAAACCAATGTCATTGAGATCAAATCAATTTTACAAATGTGCTCTTGTACTAAGTAAAATAAAATGAAAAGAGGGTCCAAATAATTATAGAGTAGGTCTCCTATATTTCTCATCGCATATTTAAATGTAGTTCCCTTATCATGTTAATTTTAAAATTATCATGTCAGTTTTACTGTAACTTTACTAATTTTGAATACACAAGCAACTTAATAAAATAATTTCAGTCTTCCTCTCCATATGACTTAATTTTTCGAAGTTCAGGCAAACTGTTTCACATGAAAAACCTCATGTATCCTTCTCGAATGCTTGCCCTCTATGTATCTTACAATGCTCCCATGTAAAACTGAAAACCTTGTGCAGGAATACTTTGAAACTCTAAGAACTGAATTCAGCAGTGAAGTTGAACTTCTGGCCAAAATTGATCATCGAAATCTGGTGAAACTGCTAGGTTATGTTGATAAGGGGAATGAACGCCTCATTATTACGGAGTATGTGCCGAACGGGACTCTCAGAGAACATCTGGATGGTATGATTATTAAATAGTGAGGGATTGACTAATATTCTGATCTGAACGGTAACTTTAACATTCTTAATGTGGCTGCTATTGTTGGCAGGTTTGCAGGGTAAAATCTTGGATTTTAATCAGAGACTTGAAATCTCCATTGATGTTGCTCACGGCCTAACTTATCTCCATCTCTATGCAGGTGACAACACTCTCCATATAGTTAATTTTTTTACTTTTTATAATTAAAGTTGTAATAAATATTGGGTTAAATTCCACATCAAACTCTAGCAATCAATTTTCAGTAGACACAGAAAATTAAAGAAAATGTGAGAAAGTTAGAGAGAGTAGACTTAGATGGTTTGGACACATACATCGGAGACCTAGAGATGCGCCAGTCAAAGAGGAAACTAGTTGTTAATAGAAGGTAAGGGACGGAGAGGGCGATCAAAAATGACACGGGAAGAGGTTATTAAATATGACTTTAAAAAATTAAATATAATAGGTGAAACGACATGTAATAGAAAAGATTGGAGAGAGATAATTCATGTGGCCAACACCCCCCCCCCCCCCCCCCCATTCATATGGGATTATGACAACGATGATGATGAAAGAAAATTAAAGAAAATCAACAGGGAAATTGCGACTGGCTGTATCGGAGTATCAGTTTCAGGCTGTTCAATTCCAAATTTTATACTTTTTGGTCCATCCTCTCAGAAAACAATCACCGAGAATGTGAACAAAGATAAGGCAAGGATGATGTTGATATTGTGAACAAATATGGCTTTCCCTTGCCGGCTGTAAAATTACCTTTTCACGATTTTGGAATGAAGAAAAAATGAAAATAAAAAAAAAGAAAGACCAGTCATTAGAATTTAAAACAGTGTACTGTCTTGACAATATCACAATATAAGACATGACAAATTCCATGTACCATGTAAGTCTGCACCATAAATCATGCTTCAGAAGCAGTTAAAGCTTGAGATTTTGAACCCCCGCTTTTCCCTTTAAAAAAGATAAAAGAAAGAAAAAGAAATGCTACCATTTTGTGTCTCCTAATTAGTAGCTGACTGAAGTAAATCACATCACCAGTCAGCTACTAATTAGGAGCTTGATCTTCTCTGAAAGTTTGTTGTCATCTAAATTTTCTATTATGAGCTTGAAACTGTTTCTTATTCTTTCCTTTGAATTAAAAGCAAATGTACTTTTTATAACATTCCTCACTTTGAATTCCGAATCACTTTACCATTCATCATCATCATCATCATCATCATCCTTGCCTTCTTCCCAAAATTATAATCTCATCAGTAGCTTATGTTTTGTCTTATTTGTGAGTTGCACAATGCAGAATGGTTGTGGAATATAATATGGATAAGCAACCTAGAGGGGGTGAATAGGTTCAACATGCTCTTTTATCCAATTTTTGCTTAAATTAAATTTACCGAAATAAAAGTGAATTAAACAACCACAAAGCAAAAATTCAAGTGCAAGTAAAGTAAAAAATGAGTTTAGAGAGACATTGGGTTTTTGTGCTTGGAAACCCTAGTTGGAAGAAATCCGACCAACTGGGATGAAAACTATAGAGACTTTCGTCATCTCGAGCAAAACGATCCACTATGTTTGAAGCAAAGTACATCTCACTTTGACTCCTACTCACACCCTATCGTTCTACCAAAAATCAATTGTTGACAATCCCTGCCTTTGCGACTCCCCTGTCCAACAGCTCTCGACCTCAGGCTTATTCTTGATCTCTGTAGAAGGATGCTGGTGGATCAAACAACACTCCCCGAATATGCTTTGACCCTCCTTCAAAGTGTGATCGCTCCACCCCTTTTCTACAAATTAGAATTTGTTGAAGATAAAACAAACTTCTGCATCTTAAATCACTCGTGTGTATAGTATGTGTGCTCTCAAAATAATTTTAGCTCTCAAAATAATTCAGAATTTTGTTTGCAAGAGCTGTAGAAAACCCTAAGTGAGAAAATATATATTTATAGACTTTTGAAAACCTAATTGTTCTTGGAAAACAAGTCAATTTCGTGCATGATCATTATGGCAAAAGTCTGTTCAAAAAGAGAAAGCCAAAACAGACCAGGATTCAAAGTTGCCTTTTCGGTCTGCAAAAGTTGTTGAACCGGTTCAGAGTCTCTAAACCAACTCTAAACCGGTTCAAATTGGCTAGATTTGAAATCCTTTAGAAAGCCTTTAAGAGTTGAACCGGTTCCAAGACTCAGAACCAATTCAAATTGGGCAAGATGGTAAAACAACATTTATACTTGGAAAATTTTCCCTAAATGCCTAATTTTGAAACCATGCAAGTGTTCTCACAGACTCACCTTACTAATGCGTTGTTCTCACCATCACGGAGTGTATCGAAGTGTAGACACGAGCAATCTTCAATTCCGCATCGGATCTTGAGTCTTGAAAATCAAACTGAAAATTTACAACTTGATCGGACTTGTTTTGACACCGAAATTTGCCAATTACAAAATAATATCTCACATTATTGCTTAAAAATCACTGCAATTCTATCCAAACTCTCATCTTTAACCCAGTGCACGAGATTACTTAATTTTATCATGTACAGTGCATTTTATGTATCATTTGCCCATCGTCCATTGTTTCTTGAACCATTTGATGCATATTCTTTTGTTCATTTTGCAACAGAAAAGCAAATTATACACCGAGATGTGAAGTCGTCCAATATTCTTCTTACAGAAAGCATGCGAGCTAAAGTGGCTGATTTTGGGTTTGCTAGGCTTGGTTCAGTGGACTCTGAAAAAACACATATTTCAACCAAAGTGAAAGGGACAGTCGGTTACCTTGACCCGGAGTACATGAGGACCTATCAACTCACCCCCAAGAGCGATGTATACTCATTTGGGATTTTATTAATAGAAATTCTTACAGGCCGCCGTCCTGTAGAATTAAGGAGACCTCCCGATGAGAGGGTGACACTTCGATGGGTAAGCTTCTATCGACTTTGAATTTAATTTATTTTGTTGTTTTTCTGATACAGCTGACTTAGGTTTCCTTAAAGAAAAATGCATGCTTACCACATTGCAGGGACAGCTATAAAGCTCTCGGCCCTCTGTTGTTGTCCTCTCTTTAGTTTTTTTTTTTTTAAGTGATCCTTTCCTTAGTTCCATCTAAACTTTGTGCCAATCTATGTCAGCTCTCTCAAATTATGTGTATTTTTGCAGGCCTTCAACAAGTACAATCAAGGAAATGTTATGGAGATGGTGGACCCTTTAATGCAGGAAGTGGTAGATGAGGAAGTACTTCTGAAAATGTTTGGTTTGGCAATACAGTGTGCAGCGCCCACGCGAACTGATCGTCCAGACATGAAGTCAGTAGGAGAGCAGCTGTGGGGAATCAGGATGGATTACATTAGGAGTGGCAGGAGAGGATAATAAGTGACACTATGTTTTTAAAGGAATTTCATCTTCTTCTTTTCTATATATATATATTTTTTTTTCACTCAGTAAATAACTTGGTCATATCTTCCTTTGTTCCAATCTTCATTCTTAATGAGATGCTTGTTTGTTTGTTTTTTTGTTTTTTTTTGTTTTTTTTTTTTAAACTTCATGTAACATTTTAACAGGAGAGAAGCCATATTTTTACTTTTTTGATGATCTTCGTTTTTAGTTGACAAAAAGATCGTATACTTCGACGGCCAAAAGTGAAGATAGATTCATGGTCACATAGTATGCACGTCGTCGTAAACTCTCTCTCTAGACCCTAAAGTAATCTCGATGTGCCATTCAAAATAAGGCACAACATTTATTATGGTATTTCCATTAATGGGGATGGACAGGGAGCTTTTGCGGATCAAAACTCTCTTTTGTTTAAAAGCTGTGTCTATAATAATGTATGTAACACTTGGTCAAGACACGACAATCAATCAATCGTACAATGCATTATACCATGATAAATACACGATAACTTAAGCCTTCAAAACGGTCATGAATTGAACATCTAGACCATATCTGCAGAACCATATGAACAACACGACAATGACTATGATAATGGCAATGTTGATATTCGGGGTTTTAAAGGGAAAAGAAGATAAAATTTTAACACTCTAAATTGCATAATCTAGAACAATAAAAACTGCGACACAGTTCTCAATCGTGACTACTGTCAATCAATATGACACAGTTTTTATACTTCACAATACTAGTTTATTGATTCCAACAAATGAGAAATAGAAGTTCAACACCGAAACAAGCCAACTTCACTACTTTTCAGTGCTCTCAACGAACAGCTTTCAAGGTAAATACTCCGAATTGAGGTCGTTGATAAATTCAGTAATTCTATAATGATCTTGAGGAAATTGGAAAAGTATAACAAAAATCCTATAATGATCTTGTTACCTTGGCAGCTCAATGGGAACTATTTACAAATTTATTTTCAGAAGCAATTCTAAAGATTAGTTGAGATGCCTAAAATAATTTTCTCCAACTAGGAAACCGGAATCTTAATCTTTTCCACCTGCTCCTCACCAACAGAGGGTGCAAACCCAATATATGTTCTGGCATGAAATCATGCCTTGTTAATATACCCACCACTGGAGATCTCTGCAAGTAAGGAACAATAGCATTAAGGTGCAGTAAGTAAATGAACACGGGGGAAAGGGCGTTCGAAGATAAAAATACTTTAAGTAGGACGTCAATCTAAAAGAGGACATGTGGCTCTTTCAAGGACTAAAAAGTCATAGCAGCTAATGGATGAGATGAAAAGTGTGAGGCAAAATTGAAAATAGGGTTCATTAAATGCAGATAACAATAATGTAAATTTTTTAATTGGATTTTAGATGGCACCAGAAAAAATCAGACTACAGGTATAACTGGGAAAATGGTGTCAAATCAAAAAATATTGTTGGAACTTCATAAAAAAATTCTCGAAAATGAGTAGGAGAGGGAAAACCAATTATGTTACAGTAAGGAAGCAGTGGAAATAATATCCACTTCATGGTTAATGAAGATAATTGGAATGCCATTAAAATATGATGCAAGAAACTTGAGATAAGTGGAAACACGTTGTATAGCAAATTTTTTTTTTTTATCCAAATGCAATGTGATGGCATGCCCAAAAGGTGCCCCAAATCGTCCGTTCTCCAGAAAGAAATTTCCAAACTTCTTTCTCCCCTATCCCAGAACCCACAGAAAAGAAAGAGAAGAGAACTTACATTAGAAATCTTGGGCATGACCAGCAGGTGCCGTAAACCAACTTCTCGGAAAAGTATAAGAGCCTTTGCTAGAGACATTGTCTCCACAACTGTGTAGGGCGACGTGTTGGTAAATGGATGTAAATCTATGAACATCTCCATCTCCTCCTCAGTCAATTCTATATCTTCTATTTTGTCTTCATTGCCCAAACCCTTCTTTGCAAAATCATCTGCAGAGAACTGCTTAAAGGCATCAATGCCTGCAGGACCTGGAGTGACTAAGAAAGCTTTCTTCTTTAGCAATGTGATAAGATGAGCACGCAGGATCAGACCAAACAAAACCGGGGACTCAGAAAGCTGAGGCTCGTCTATCACAGGAAGCAGAGGCTCATCTATCACAGGAAACCCATTATGCCTTGAAGTTTTGAGAACATGCAGTATATTTCTAACTTTCTCGACACCATGAAAGATCTGAAGTGGGCCCGTGACTACGTCACCAACCGTCAGCTGCCTCATGTATGGCTCAGCATGAGTTTCTAGGTAAGGAAAACCCTTCAATTTCATTATAAGATCATAAATATTTCCATTAAACATGTCAGCCACTGTCTTCGAAACAAGAAGAACCAGCATTATTAGGGGTAGCAATAATAGATTATTGGTCAATTCTAGGATAATAACACACAAGGAAACTGTCATCCTCATAGATCCACCAAGAAGTGAAGCGGAACCCAGGACAGCAAAGAGGCCATGGTTAAGGTTTGACTCTGAACCTATTACCATTCCAACAAAACGTCCATAAGACGCACCTGTCACGATAACAGGCACAAAGAGACCTGCGGGAGCCACAATCCCATAACTTAAGATACTGAGAAAAAAACAGGTGGCAAAGAATATGAGCATCGAGGAGTTCTGAAACTCAGAGTCAGTATTCTTGCTGAATAGGTTTCTTATTGCGTCATCATTTGTGTTGAAAATGAGACTGGCAAGATCATTGTAATGATTAGGAGGACATTGAAACTTCTTGTAGTTACCAGACCGGCCAATTGTTGGACAAGCTTCTGATGCATCAAGTGGACAAGGTTGGCAAGATGCAAGCCATGGTAATCCAAATAGAAGACAGGATGTGAAAATGGAGATTGAGCAAGCAAGAAGTATTTTGTAAGCAGTGCCTTTCCTGGAAAAAGGAAATAAAAAAAGAAAAACAAGCTCACTATTATATTCTCCATAGTGTTTTGAAAAGAAAGTTTATGCTATCAAAGGACAAGCTAAAGGGGGAGCTTACTCATTAATTATATTGTAAACTCGGAGAACTTTTTGTAAAAGAAAATTGTATATGCTTCCCAATATGCCTCCTATAACTCCAAGAAGAAGAACAGGAGGCACGTCCCGGAGGTGATATGTAATATTTGCTGAGGTGACATCAAACATTATCAGACCCCCAGTACCAAAGAGCCCACATTTGCCACTCAAACAAACATCAATCAAAGCTCGAAGCACGATTGCAACAACAGCTGCTGTGAAGAAAGCCCTCCATAAAAGGGCACTTCTCCACCTGCAAAACAAAATCTCGATATAAATATTTAAAATAAATAATCTACGACAAGGAGACAATCATTTGGAATTTTTTCATTTAAACAGACACCAATACACATGCGTCAGTCATCAACACCATGCAGTCTATTTGCTACAAAGATGCAAAAAAAACATAACAAGTGGTAAGAGGCATCCATAATGTTGGTTTCAAGAGCACAAACAATCAGTTAGATTAGGGAAAGTTATATAAAACGTAAAATGTTTTACAAGATAATAATAATAATTATCAGTATGGAAAAAAAATAAAAAAATAAAAATAAAAACTGATTTTTCTATATGTTAAATCAGAAATAAGTACTATAGGAATGCAAAAGGTCATTTGTGGTGAAATTTGCAAATTATCATAATAGGATAAAAACAAAGACTACAGAGAAATGCTTTAGGTTTAATGATTAAGTAGGAAGGAAATGTTACGACAAACATAACGAACCCAAGAAACACTCGCGAAACACGACAGAAAATAAACACGCCACACACAAAATTTACAAAGATTTACGTGGTTCAACAAAGCCTACATCGATGGTGAAGATCCGGTGAAAGAATTAACTATACGAAAATCTAGAGATTACAAGTTTCAGCCCCCAAACTCAAAAGCTCTCGCTCTCTCTCTCTCTTTTATGTGGTTTTTAGTGTCTCAATATCCTACTCTAAACCCTAAACACCATTATATATCGGGCTACAAGAGAGTACTAAACAAGATCCACAACCCGCAAGCAAAAAAAGGGGTCATATTTTCCTCAATCAATGGGTCGCGTTTCGACCCAGAACCAAATTCAGGCCACAACATCACAGGAAAGAATATAGACTTAATAAAGAACATGCACATGTGGATGACACCATACCAAGTATTAACCCAAATAAAGTTTCCCTTTATCTACTACAAAAAAATGTACAAGGAATTTGTGTGATGTTGTAATGTTTCAATTAGTTATTATATATATAGATAAGAAATAATGTTAAAAGTAATTTTTTTTTAATAAGCCGTGGGACCCACTCCTATATTAAACCATTACAATGACCAATGGGTCATTACAGACCCATTCTGCCTTTTCTTTCTTCTCTACGGGTTATCTCTCTCTGTGTCATTTCTCTCTCTTTTCTTCCTTCAACCATATAAGCCTCGATCTAGCTATTTTCATTGGGAATTTTTGGATGCGATTTGCGGCAAAACAAAGAGCACGGCAAGATCTTCAAGTGGGTGTAAGCAATTTTAGTTTTGGTGCACTCTAGGGATTTCAAAATTAGGGCACAAAATTTGGGGATTTTCATAATTTTGGAGGTAGGGGTTCTAATTCACATGTTCTTGGGCCTTTTTGTGAATTACTCTACTTAATTGATGATTAGCATGCTTGATTTGTAGAAAATTTCTTGCTTTATTATATATATGTATTGTGCCAAAGTTGTGACTATGTGTTGTTTGATATATATGATAATGAAGCATGCAAATTGTTGATTAATTCAAACTTTTTGTGCCTTAAGTGCTAGTTTGGTGATTAGAAAGCATGAAATATAATTTTAGAAATTTTTATGTTGTAAAGCATGTCTAAGTATTAAATTTTCATGCCTATTTTTATTAATTTGCTAGAATTTGCTATATGGAAGTGTGTTGATTTGTGAAATATGAAAATCTTATGTTGATTTGTGAATAATAAAAATCCTTCATTTGACATGGCATTGAGAAGCATGAGACATTCATGCATATCATTGGGAAATAATGGGAAAATTTGATTTGAAAGAAATGATAGGGATTTTTGGGAAAGAATTTTGAAAAAGATTTTGTGAAAAACCCGGCTGCCTAGGAGTTGCTTAGGGACCGCAGCGTTAGTGAGACCTAGAGGGGACTAGGGAGATCGCCCTAGTGTGGTTGAGTTATCTGGGCCCCAAATGACGCCATGGAGTTGCCATGGGACGGGTTCACTAACGGTTTAAAAATGATGATGGAAATGGTTTTGAAAAATGGAGAGTGACATTGCATGGCATATTCATTTGTGGTATCGGATTAATGATGTGGCATGGAGGTTTTTTTGTTTTTTTCCGACATGGTATGATCCCAATTTCTTTATTCCTATTCATGGTGTGGATTCACGGGGTCTCAAGAGGTGTGCCTTAGGCACTTCCTACTGAGTTTATTGTCAAGCCCCGCTTATGTAGGTTATACCACGTAGGCGACACGTAGACGCTGAAGAGGACGCTGCATGGCAACTGCATGACGAGTGGAGTTTCTAGAGTCTTCCGGAGTTGTCTAGAGTTGTGTGGAAGATTCTAGATATGTGTAGTATATTCTACAGCTCTTCAGAATTGTGTGTAGTAGTATGGAGAGTTCTAGAATATTGTAAATACTTGTAGATCTGTATGGAAGTGTGAAGAAGGTGGGAGAAGATTCTAGAGAATCGATCTCCGCCGTTGGTTAGAATGCGTCCTAGCCGTCCGTTAGGGATGGGGATGCCTATAAATATGAGTACGACTACATTTTGTAGCCAACAAGTCCTAGAGTGAGTCTTGAGAGCCTTGTAGAATTTGAGTGCTAGCCTTATACAAAGCATTCTTTGAAGTAATAGAAGTATTATTTCCTTGCTAACTTAAGTACCTTAGTGTGTGTGAGTGTGCAAGCCAAATGAGGAGAGGGCGAGGGCCACTACAACACTAGTAAGCGCACGAGGGGAGTGTGTTGGCTAAGGTGTGCACGGGAATTAGGCTGACCAAGTACTTGCGAGAGTAGAAGTAACGTCTTGGTGCCGCACGGGAGTAGCTAGAGTGGTGCTGAAACTCCAAGCCCGTGACATTATGCTCACCCCTTAATTTTAACATTTTTCAGAAAACGGGAATGAAGTGGCGGATGTCGTTCCACCACAGACCTAGCATGGATTAGATGATCATTTTGTTGTTTTTGTATCTGGGTCTCACTATTTTTGTAAAACTTAGCATATTGTATTCCGTACTGAGACTTATGGACTCTTGTTATTGTAATTATATTTTTGGGACTGTAATGATGATATTTGGATTAAATAGCATGCAAGTGTTCCAACATAAACTGAACAATGTTGAGATTTAATGAATGGATGAAAGAAATGTATTATTTGCATTGTGTTGGAACAGGTTAGGTAAATTTTGAAGGTCCAAGAGAGGCCCTATGCATTTTTATGCATTTAAGCAAGTTGTTGTAGGACCCTTTTTAGCAGAGGTCATGCCGAATTTTTTTATTTTTTTATTTTTTTATTGGTATTTAGTTTTGGGTCGTTACAGATGTGCTCTTTGCTAGAACAAATGATGTGTGTGTGTGTAGAGAGAGAGAAATAAATTGACAAGGTGCTTAGACGCAAGTTGCATTTTTACATTAGACATTGGCGCAATGCTCAAAGGCATACTAAAAGCTGAAACACATTCTATATATAACTGGCCTGCAGATACACATAGTCACTTCCTATGTCTAGATTTTTGGGAGTCCTTGGTCCAACACCAAATCCCCATGTCCAGGCATCACAGCTACAGCTTTTTTCTTTCTTTTTTTTTTTTTTTTTTCTTTTTTGTATTCTTTTGCAGAAAATGAACAATTAAATCTAACCCTTTCTTATGTACCATAACTGATGTTATGGCTTTCATATCTACGTTCAGTACATTCTCCTGAACAAGAGTACAATTATCTCAAATGGAAAGCATTGAGTGCACAAACTTCCTAACATATTTTACCAACATATGCAAACCTTCATAATAGCAGCGTTAATAAATGAAAAGATCATTCTTCCCTAGCATTATTAATCATCAGGCATGTACAGGAATTTAGAAACACCAACAAATGGAAATAAATAGAGAATGATAGTGCAGATGGATGCATGTGTTAATAATACCAGGATGCCATTTCTTCAAGAGCAAACAACACACCACCAACAGGCGCACGAAAAGCAGCTGCAATTCCAGCAGCTGAACCACATGTCACTAGATCACGTCGGTCTCGATCATTCTTGAAAATACGCAACCATCTCCATGTCAACCCATATTTCTTTGACCCACCCTGACCCAACACTGCTGCAATGCATGCACCAGTATGCACCATGGGTCCTGCCTTTCCAACATGAAGAGATGCTGACACAGCAGAAATGCTACCCACAATCTATAAATAAAGTCAACATCAAGATGAGACCTCCAAATTTTCAAGAAAACAACAGTGTTTGTGTTTCTATAGGCAAAAAATTTAAGAAACTGAAGCTGATACAATAATGAGCAAGTAAGCTAATTATCTAAAGCAATCAATTGATAGATCCATAATAATATTGGTTTGGTAATATCTACAGAAAGATCTAATGACAGTGGAGATAGTATTTCCATGCATCTGATTGAAAACAATTGGAGGCAGAGAAAAGAAAAGAAAACTACATAAATTCAAATAGAAGAACAAATATGCCCAATTCTCCACAATATATGCTACACATTAAAAAACAAAACAAGTATAGGTATGAAAACACCTTCCCCACAGGAATACTTTCCACTATATATGCATAAACATCTGCGGCACAGGAATCCTTGGAAGTAGTGGCTTTCTAAATATGTGCATTCTCAGAAGAACACTACAAATAAGGATAAGGATAGAAAAATGCAATGATACAGAAGGAAAAAGCAACAAGGAATGCTGATATGTCTTTCGGAACCAAGCTTGGGATTATTTTATAAGTAGAAGAATTTTATTAAGAGCACCAAAAAGGGTCGCAACCCGTGTACATGTGACCGATACAAAAAGAAAAAGGAAACATAAGCTATATACTCCTGTAAGGAAGCGAAAAAAAAAAAATTCAACTTTCTACCAAGTCCAATTAGGTCCCACATACTCCCCACATCATTACATAGAGACCCAATTATGAAAAAATTTACCTCTCCTCATTCAATTATCCATAATGATATTATTCACGTGAGCTGCTGACCATACAGAAAAGCTGAAATACCAAACTTTGTAGGACATAACCTCAAATTTCCAAGGGTTTTGAATCTAACAACCCAAATTACAGTATAGCTGGGATTTCTTGGATTAGTGCCCTGAGGGTAGGACTAGTCTAGGGTTGATCCAGCACCACCCGCAGTGTGTCCTAATTTTCAACTACAAGCAAATTACACCATTGTATAATAGGGTTGTTTATTCATGGGAGGAAGTAATTCACAAACCAATAGGAGAGACACTTGAGAGCAAGGAAAGGACTTTTTAAGGCAGTTCCAAATGGAACTCTTATAATGGGAAGTTCATTCTTCTTATTGCAGCATGTGCTAGTTAGGGTTTTCCAGAAATCAGGAAGGCATTCCACAATCCATGTTTCCTACTCAGCAGAACTCGACCATAAAGAGTGTGATGTTGTGGTTTGAATTTTGTTTCCGGGTAGTGTTGTGACCCGACGACCCGTTTTGCATTCGGGTTGTGGACCTATTTAGTACTCTTTTATAGCCCATTAATAAGGGTGTTTAGAGTTTCGAATGGATATGGAGACTGTGAAAATTGCAGAAAAGAGAGTGAAAGCGAGAGCTAGGGTTTGGGGGCTAAAAGTAAAAATTGTAATCTCCAAATTTTCTCATAGTGAAACCTTTCGTTGAATCTTCACCATAGACGTAGGCTTTGCTGAACCATGTAATCTTTGTATTCTTTGTGTGACATGTTTATTTTTTGTCGTGTTTCTTGGGTTCGCTGCGTTTGTTGTAACAAAGTGATTAGTGACATCGCTTGTAAACTTTATATATGCCATGACCTTCCTTACCAAGTCCAGGGACATTATCAGGATGCACCGATCCCCTTGTGACAAACCCCCGACTGAGGCCACTAAACTATATAGCACCCAAGTTTCCCATTAATGATAGCCATGAAGTACAACTCAAACTAAAACATGTGGCAATGATCATTACCTGCACATGCTACAATCTATGACACTAGACTATAACACAAATTTGCTTACTTCTCCGTGGTAAACTAGACCTCGTTGTACTACGGCATACAACAAGCTCTTAACCGCAAAATATTGTCACAGCCCACACCATAGACAACAAATTATGGTAATATCATCGATGAATGGGGAGTATAGCACAGTTCCATTCTTGTCATGACCGCACGGGTCTAGCCATTACCTGACATCCATGGCCATGTCAAGGGCCCACACCATAGACGCGGTGAACACCTCGATAGACCCATGTCCTAATCCCTGAATTATAGCACCACCCACAATTCCAATTATAGCCACAACAACCAAAGGTGCTTTTTTGGTTTCCAAGGATATATTTGGTTCCATGGCCCATGCCATAAACCGCCCACTGGGATGGGCAAATGCAATCTGAGAATTTTGAATAAAGCCTCAATCTTTTACACTCTCCCCCTTGTTAGTTCTTCCTCCAGCAATCTTATCATCTTCCACATACTCTATCAATGACAAAGGCCATGTCTTGACTAGGTTACCAAGGGAATTGGCGCATGGCGCCTCAAGTGCACTCAACTAACTGCTATGTGCTCATGACAATTGACAATTCAAGTGTCATCTCTAGGTAAACCCTAACTAACTGGCATTTGCAAGAACAGTAGAACACTTGTGAATACTGATCATTAAATAAGCAGGAAAAGAAAATAATGGAAAGTATTTTGCCAAATTGACAATCCATGGTCTTGTCTCTCATCCTACCTTCCCAGCAAATCTCCCTTGACCACCACCTCCTAAAGGTTCCATTCATCATATTGTATATTTTCAGAACCTATGTAGGTTTTCAATTCACTCCCATTTTTTTTTATCCAGCTCGTGTTTTTTTGCTTTCACATCACCATTTTCAGCCTCAGCTTGACATTCTCGTAACTGTGATCCTCATACCTTATAAGCCTATTATTATTCATGGGTCCACATCCCCAACAAGTTCCCCATCCCCAGTCGATTCAAAACAGCAGTATCCCATGCCAAGCATTTAAACGCATGATATTATAATTATTCCCAACTGAAAAATGTTTACAAACAAAACAAGACATGCAATTCAGTCCAGCCGCTTAAAGTTCATATATTATTACCTTAACAACCAGTGTTCGCAGAGAAAAGGTACCCGGTGCGTCCACACCATTCAAGTAGGCCTTTACTTCTGGTATGCCTGAACCAGCAGCCTCGGGTGATATAAAAGCCGTAATCATACTTGCAAACAAGGTCAGAACGAAATTGGAGGCTGCAAAAACAATAAATGCCGCCAAATACCTGTACAAATTGAATCAACACATACGTGTCACAAATCCAGCACCAAAACTAACGAAATTCATGGTATGTAAGCTTTAAAATTGAAATTGCTGCACTGACTTGCTTTCCAACATCATATTGGAGGTGACCACAAACTTCATGCCGGCGATGTTCTCGACGGCAAGGTTGTTGCAGAATCCGACGAGGCTCACCGTTGTCCCGATGAGGAAACACAGCATCCATTTCATGAATATGTACTCAAATATATGGATCTTGCCGCGACTCCGCCAATCTTGCGTGAAGAAATCGTTCTCTATAATTCTGCACTTCAAAATAACAAACCAGGTCACAAACAGTCATTAAATTAAGCAAAACACTGCCATTATACATTTAAATATAAATATATAGTGGAGAAATGAGAGACTCGTAATCGAGGCTTTCGATTGGGCAGACGTTGGTGCCGACGATGGCGACCTGAGAGGTGGCGTTGGAGGCTGATCGACGGAGAGGACGAGTCAGGAGAGGGCCGGTTAGAGACTCTTCGTCAACATTGAGGAGGGTGGCCGAGGACATGATTTTAGAGCGAGAAATTTGAGAGAGAGAGAGAGTCAATTGATGAGATTTCAGAGAGTCTGATGACAGATGGTAAGAGAGAGTGCTGGAGGGAGAAGAAGGCGAGCAGTGTCCGTAAAGGAGTGCGACTCTTAAAATGATTGGACTGTTTGGTAAAGATCCGCTGCTAGGACAGTGAAAAAATTACAGTAAATTTTAGTGGTCAAATACAACCGAAATTCAATTCTTACTTTAGTCAACAAAATACTACAAAATGTTGGAATAGAAAAAACAAAACAAGAAAATTAATTGAACTCGGATTTAATTTTATAACCACATCCCATATTAAAAATATAAAAAAAAAAAACATGAAAAATTATAGTTACAATCCTTGAATGTTGGTGGATAAAGAGTGTTCCTCAAAAACAATAATTAGCATTTTGAATTATAAAATTTATATAATATAAAGAAAAAAAACAATAGTATATTTGTATATAAAATTTTCTCATTTATTATGATTTTTTCTCTTAAAATTCACATATTTTAAGTACTCAAACTTTTGACTAAAATAAAAGAAAGAGAATAACACAAGACAAGGCTACAGGCCTTGGTCTAAAAGATTACTCATCATATTAGTAAAAAATATATATAATTAAATCAATACAAACTCCTATATTTTAAAATAAAAAAATTGCTCGTTTATTTTGATTTTTATATCGTTGTAATTTGCATAGTCTATTCATAATTAAAGTTTTTCGTAATTTATTAAGAAAAATAAACAAAAGAAGGTAATATTGCTATTTTCACAATTTGCCGTGTTTATATAAGTCAATCAACAAGTCTTATTTATTTTGTGATTTCATATAGAGTTATACTATCATGAGGCTATGTCATAATTTTTCTCACTAGTTCGTTATTTTTTTTTTATGTGTATAAATATTAAGACGATAATCTAACAATTTGAAATATAATTATATAATTAAAATTTCATATTAAATTTTATTTAGTAAACCACATGAATTAGTCAATATTTTCTGAATTTTTTTTATAAAAAATAAAAAAAAAAAAATTTGCACGATGGTCTCATATTGCTATATTAACATTAACAATGTAATATATAATTTGCGAAATTTTTTTTTTCAAAGTATACTTAAAGGATAAATAATTCCGTCTGCCCTTTGGATGTTTGGATTTAAAGATTTGATGGAGCTGATTTGAATGAATGGTGATTAAAGATTATTCGACAATAAAGTTAAAGACCAGAACAAATTAAAATGTCTTGATAAATGCACCGAGGGAGCTCTTGCTGTCAATAATGTCAATTTTAGTCGCTCACGCTAAGTAATGCCTCTTCTCAAATGAAATAGGCTTGGATTCATTCTAATTAAATTAGGGACGAGTAGGAAAAGAGTTGGAAACCTAACTCTCTTCCAATTAGTAACAAATATATATATATTTAGACAAAATCAAAATAAACAAACCCTTCTACCCTATGGGATAGAAGTAATGAACAAATATAATAACAAAAACGAAAAAATTTGTACAAAAGAAAATTCCTACTATGATTGTTAAGTATTTATTTGAAATTATATATATATATATATATATATATATATATATATATATATATTAAAATAAAGAAAATAACCTTGACATTAAAATAAAGAAAATAACCTTGACATGAGTACGGATGGCAATTTGCTTCGTCCCCGTGGGTACCTGCCCTACCCCATGCCCATTTTTGACAGTTTCGGAGAACAATTTAGTTTATTTTAGCGGAAATGGTTTGATGTAATGAAAACCTACGTGAGGTCGGTACAGGGACGGGGGAGGTCGCCCCACCCCACCCTGTTTAGATGGCTAGATTACTTAAATTTCATTATTTCATTAGTATATATATTTCGCATTAGTACCCTTATTTCGTTAGTATATATATTGAGACAGTTTGTTTTACAATAAAATCTGAAAATTTGGAACCATTTAGAATGTTTTTAATGTTGAATTTTATGTTAAACTATTTATTGTCTATTTTTTTTTATGAATCTTTTCAATAATTATATAATTTTAGTTGATAAAAAAAAAAAAGGATAAGAATTTTATGGTCTTAAACTGGGCGAGGCGGATATCCACGAGGATAAAGATGTTAAACGGTGGCGATTTTTACAGTTTTGAGCAGGAATGGAAGTAAAATTTTTAAACTATTGCGGGACGCTAGGACCTGGGAGGATACACCCGCCCAAACCTTATTAACAGGAATGATTCATGATTTCTACCGTCAATTTATAAAATTGAAAAGTAGAAGTAAAAAATATGTTTAATAAAATATTTTTATTTTTTTATTTTAAAAAAATACTTTCTAATTTTATAAAAAGAAAAGAAAGTGAGAAATCTCCACTTTCTTTACTTTCTACCATGTTCGTAGGAATTCTTTTTTGTACTACTATAGTATTATTTAAATATATATATATATATATATATATTCTTAACAGGGGTCATCCGCCGTATCACCCATCTCCTCCGCCCACCTCCTCCCCACCATTGATCAGCCATTGAAAACTGAAACCCGTTTTGAAAGAGCAAGTTGCGTATGAAATTCCTCCTCAAAGAAGTTAAAATTGACGGAATTCTCTGCCAAATCAGAGACCCTGGTGGTCTCAAATGCCGCCGCCACCGATGGAGTTCAAGTTGCATCCGATGATAGGAGTGAGAAGACATAAACACTTTCTCTCTCTACTGGTTTAACCTAAGCCCACTTAGCTGAAAGCAGATGAATGGCGGTGGCGAGCAGTGTCTCCAAGCTGAGGCCGGACTGAACTTATCGGCGGATTAAACGGCGATGAGGATGTGACGATATGAGCAAGGAATCCGGCAATTAGGCATCGGAGAGGGAGACCCAAATTCCCATCTACAAGAAATTCACACTGCAAAAGTTTTATTCCCGGTCATTTTGTCCATGAATTTCGGCATCGGAGAGGGAGACCCAAATTTGAGGCTCTGGTTTCCATGGATTCCGGCATCGGCACACAGTATATAGAGAGAGATTGCCGAGGCTGAGGTCCACGATTCTGGCATTGGAAGAGAGATGATTCGCTAACAGGAAGTAATGGATTTTGTTTTGATTGTTGGATGGATTTTTGGTTGGGTGAATATCAGCCTCGTCAATCTCTCTCTGTACTTTTTCTGTAGACCAATGGAGATACGGAGGTTGTAATCATTTGTGTTTGTGTGTATATTGATATCGGACTCGGGAAACCCATGCGACTTTGTTACCCATCTCTTACACTCAAGACCAGGAAAGCAAAATTAAAATTAAAATTATTAAACTTAATTTTTATATTTTGCTTTCAAAATATTTTTACTAAATTGAAAGTAAAAATAAAATTATTCAACATCATTTCTCATTCTATTTTAGTTTAAGAAATCAAAAATATAATTTTATTTTCGGAGCAAGTAAAAATTAAAAAGTGAAAGTGTTGGTAAACCAATCCTAAGTGTGTTTGCTGTGTCATACACTAATTCAAATTATATACACATGTTCGTGATGTGAACGAATGACTTGAACAAACTCAATATGCTCGTACACAACACATAATTTAAATGAGTGGATATATGGGACACACACTTAATAACCTTTTTGTGGGTAAGAGCGACGTGTCCATGCTGAATTGTGAACCTCATAAATATTTGTGGGACCAAAGGAAGCACCTTGGCGAGTTGCAATTGTATTGGATTGATATATTATTGTCGTGATATCAATTCTCGTTTTAGGTCGGAAGTTTCGCAGTTGTTGGCCGACTCAGTTCCGTGTGTAAACCTACGGCAGGTCCATTTTACGTGTTTGGCTTGGCTTTGACGTGAAAGAAACCAATCGTAATTAATAATTCGGTATCAAGATAATTAATGATAAAATTATCTGATTTGATTTAGGCCTTAGAAGTTGATAAGTAGATTATTAATAAACAATGATAAAAATTAAAAGAGTTATATACATACATATATTAATATCATGGTCAAAGCACATGTATGTAATATCGTCCCCACAAAAACGAAACAAAATATATAAATAATATTTTAAAATTTGGGTTTATTTATTAAAAGTTTCTCTTTCATTCATGAAGTCCATTTGGTTCATATGGGGTGAATCAACAACTAAGCTATCCAGTAGTAGCACGTGCATTGTGCACCAATTGTCACCAATCGAAGATAGTAATAAAAAACGAGAGAATCAACAATCAATTTTAAAGAGAGAATGTTATGCAAGTTACAATCAGGAATGCTTGTGAATTCGTCAAAATACCCAATTAGATTGCAACCATTTCAATTTGTGTGATTTGGTTAAATTTTATGAATCAATGGCTTACACAACAAATATATCTTCTCTCTCTGTTTTTTTAGTTAGTTTTAACCAAAACTTAATTTAGCCAATGTTATTATTACTTAGAAGAAGAAAAATGTTATTATTACTATAATATAAAAGCATATTCAATCAATACGTCAAATCTTACCTGATACAATAAATAATTACTTTTGACATCCATAGTAACTCTAACCAATACTTCAAATGCTTATTTGAAATTTAGCGTATCATCAAATATGTTAAATTTGACATAAATTTTAATCTATGGATTCCTATTATTATTTTAAAATGTATTATATAATGTATCATTGTTGTTTAATTAAAAAATAAAATATTAATAAATTTGACATATCAATTAAAGTATGCACAAATATCATATGCCAATTTATCACATTATACTTTTTATTTTTATTTTTTTGAAGTATGAAATTTTGACATATAAGTTGGAGATGCCGTAAGCGAACTTAATTAGTAAAAAGCCAAATATTTTTGGATTACTTTGATTTAGGCGTTCTAGGAGGTATTTTAATTTTATTGGAAAGATTGGTTGGATTCCACTTAACCATCTAAATCAAACAAAATTGAAGCATGTGCATCTGACATTTCATTCCCTGGTAAATGGAAATGGACAAACCCATCATTTTAACCTTCCATGTTAAAGTCATCTGACATTACCCTATTTTATTTTATTTATTTTCCCAAGATAGTCTGTCGAGATCATTAAATACTAAATATAAAATATATATCATGATGGAGTTAGATGCAGAAATAAATATACAAAAATGAATGAATTATTTTTTATGCGATCATAATGAGGATCACAAAATCCTCACCGTCCGGAACTGATCTCGTGTTGTGTTGCGGATTTTGATTACTGTGTAAGTTGCAAGCGAACTAATTAACACCACCAACAATCATATCCTTTAATCGAGTCTTGATTAAGATAGAGTAGTGCTAGCGGCACATACTCTCAAAGCCAATAAGAATTTTTAACTCTTTATTATTATTTAGTTTTGCTTTCTATTACAAAATTTTATAGGGATGCAATATTTGTGCTCCATTTATTTTATATTTATATTATAATTTTTAAATATAATGATAATTCTAATATTAACTTTGTAAATAAATGATTATTATTTTTTAAATTATACAACTGTGTTTTTATATTTTCTATCATTTATTTCTTTTACATTTACACAACCATCCTTAAATAAAATGACAATTCTAACTTCAACTTTATAAATAAATAATTATTACTTTTTAGATGACACAACTGTCATTTCAGATTTCCAATACTTATCTCTAATATTTAATATTTTAAGTCTCTTTTGACAAGATAAAAAAAAAAAATTTGTTAAATAATATTTTTTTTACAGTACCAAAAAATTTGTTTTTATTGAATAAATTTTTTCTTTTGACAGATCCATAAAAAAAGTTACCTCTTTTAACATAACTGAAAGTTAACTTTCCTGAATAAAAAAAAAAAAGTTACTTTTGAATAAATTATGCCGAAAATAAAATTATGTATGGAATAAATATTTGCCTTTACTTTTCCAATGGCACTAACTATAATTTTATTCAAAGGTAATTAAAGAAAATTATTACCCCATTTAGAGTGCATTAATTAAAGAAGAAATTTAGCCATTATTGCCAAAGGAATATTGTCTTTACTTAAGTTTGAATCCTTCTTAAAGGTAAGAAGGACCAGGATTTGATATTGACTTCCAGATAATCTAAGTTGAACATAATTTGGGATGAGAGGGTATTAGAACTTTGATTACTTGTGAAGAATTGTCTTTCAATGGGGTTTGAAAAAAGATTTGAGAATCCTTTTATATTATTGAAGAGTTCTCTACAAACATTCTTAAGCTTTCATTTTCATGAAAACTTAAAAAAAAAAAAAACACACATTTTTAAGTGGACTAAAAAAATTGAAAAGTACATTTATAATCACATTGCAATCCAAAATTTAAAAATATAGTGCATAGGACGAAAAAATATATTTTTTTTATTTTCAAATTTCCAACATCAACACCCTCGCTAAAAGGGAAGCAAACTAAAAGGGAAGCAATTTAAAAAAGACAACGCCTTTTTTAATAAAGACATTCACTAAAAGAGAAAAGGCAATTATAAAGTTTCACTCCGACTCTTCTAAATATTTTGATGAATTAACAAAGTCGTAAAAAAGAAAAAGATCCCAATTGTTTTTCAAAATTTTACAATACTCTAGTAAAATTGATGGTGTTTGCAGTACAGACCTTCGTACTCACCAACTCTTTCAAATATTCTTATTACAAAACAAAAAAAAATGATGGACACAACAATGGTAATCATTTTTAACTCTTACTTTGAAATAAAATGACATTTTTATCTGATCAACTCATCATATGGTAGACTAATCCCACTCAAAATACAATTTTTAATGAGAATAGAATATTACAAGAGAGATTAGGAAAATAGAAAGAAGCTGCCGAGCTGGCAAATTTTTAGTGGGCGAAGGAAACATATGGTGAAACCGAGCAGAGAGGATTTCAGTCAGAGGACAAAAATGTCAACTCAATGTCGGCATTATAAGTATTCCGATGCGGGTTCGGACAATTCAAAAGCGCTTTTGGACGGTTTGGACGCTGAAATCTTTGATTATAACGAGAAATTAGGAATCTAATCGGCACTTAAATAAATACACCAACCCGTAATCCAAATCACAAACCAAACACTTCTTTCACTGCCCCAATCCAACCTCACCAAATTTCTCTCTCCATCACTCTCCTGTTCTATACTGTTCTGTTCTGTTCTGAAAGTTTCATGATTTTCATCACCTTCCAAGCTTTAAAACACACTTTGAATCGTCAAATTGTTTCCGCAAAAATAACAAACAAATGTCATTCGTTTTGGGGATTGTTATCGGAATCACCGTCGGTCTCTCTCTGATCGTCGCCTTTGTTCGATCCGAAAATGCTCGATCCAAGCGTCGCAGTGAACTTGTAAGTACTTTACAAATGCACATATATAGGTATATGTATGTGTGTGTGGAATTTGTGTTTTGATTTGATTTCGAGTTTGTAGGCGACTACCATCGCAGCGTTTGCGAGGATGACAGTGGAAGATTCGAGAAGGATTCTTGCGCCAGAGTACTACCCATCCTGGGTCGTCTTCTCACAGCGACAGAAGTTGAGTTTCTATTTATAGCACACTCTCTGCATATATATATATATATATATATATATCATTCTATGGGTACCGATGTCGTTTTCTATGTTCTAATTTCAGTTGACATGGCTAAACGTTCAACTTACAAAGATCTGGCCCTATATCAATGAGGTAAAAAAAAATTCTGTTCTAGTTTCTTTGTGCTGCTAGTGAGTGTGACTATCCTTCTCTATATGTATGTACTCGAGCATAAACATACACACGTATATATGTGTTTATATCAATCTTAAATTTGTTGATGTAGGCTGCATCTGAGCTGATAAAAAGTTCTATGGAGCCAGTTCTTGAACAATATAAACCAATCATATTGTCTTCTTTGAAATTTAAAAAGTTTACTCTTGGTACCGTTGCACCACAATTTACAGGTTAGTCAGATTGATTGTGTAGAATGTTCTAATATTTTCAAGGATTACCTTTACACATACATGTGATTGGGTGGATGTTTTAGTTGTTGCCATTCATTTATGTACTTCTTACTTGGAGAAGATAAATTGGTTTCATTTTGAGAGAAAAGAGAGAAATGGTGGTGGTGGTGGAGGAAGAAAGTAAGACCAAACATTTTTTTTGAGGAAGGACATACGTAGATCATTTTTTAGTAATATGTATATTAGTTATGATAGGGTAAGGATGGCCATTGGCACGATGGCACACCGACCTGAAAGGCCTGGTTAGAAGTTTTACAGGGCCTGATCTAGTTCTAAAGGCCTATAGGGCTACTTAGCTGCATTTTAAGGTCTACTCAATTCTTTCAACTGAGCTTAGTAGTTAGTAATGCTTTTTGAGGTCCCGCTCAACCCACCAATATTAGATTTTTCTTTCAATTACAAAAAATGTATAAGTTTTTGAGGAGAGATAAACCATATGCGGTCTGGGTACCTACCGTCTAGACTTCTTGGATAGCTGTGTTAATCTCTATATCTTAAAATTATTCAATGAATGTATCACTTAGGGGAAAGAATTATGTATTGACTTGGGTTAAACTTGGTCCAGGCTGAGGAAGATTTTTAAAAGCAGTGCTTGGGTTAATTAATTTAGTCTTTTAGGTTAAGCCAGGCTAGGTGTGGGTGAAAATGAGTTTAGTCATGATAGAGCACCGGGTGGACTGAGCCCGAGGCATTCTATGACAGTAGTATTTAATGCAGACTAAGAAAATTTATAGATAATACAAATTTTAATGATGCAAATGTTGACATGTTTTTAATAGCTTTTATTTATTATAATTATTTTTTTAATAGCATTTGAAAATGCATAGTTCTTTGTACTGAAGAAAATTCTTCATGAAGATCTCAAATATGATTTATTATGAGCTTATGATTGATTTGAGTAACGAATTGATGCTATCATTTAGGAATTTCTATCATTGAAGACAGAGGTGATGGTATTACATTGGAGTTAGAGATGCAGTGGGATGGAAATCCAAGTATAATACTTGATATTGTGACCAGACTTGGCGTGGGACTACCTGTGCAGGTAATGTTGAAACTTTTACTCATTTTCTTATGTTCTTGGTGGCCGGTATTTTTTTTAATAATATTATGCAAAATATAAATTTGATTATTGATTATGATTCAAGCACCTATTCTCCTGTATTTTTATTTAATTTCCATGCTTCTCTTCACACATGATACATAAAACATGATTCATAGCATACATGTAATATATATGCATCAAAATTATATAGATTGTATCTGCTACGACAAAGATAGATAATCACATATTGGATTAACACAATAATTAAATATTTACCCATTTCATAACCATCGTCTTAATAATCCTTCTCTTTACAAATCTTTGCAAACTGAAAGACAGCAAACTAACCTCAAATTGTTTCAATATCAAATGGCATAATAGGACTGAACAATAATCGGAATGATTCAGTCAACAGCCAATCAAATATGGATGTGTATAAAATTCTCAAGCATATGGAAAAATGTTTAGATAGTCTACCACATAATGAAACAAAAACCATAAGAAAGTTCTCTCGGGGCAAACAGAATCACAAGCTATGTGCTATTTATGTTTCCTCTTTTCGGTCGAAATCATAAACCAAATAACAAAGATGCTTTATCGCAGTGTCAAGGCAAGTGTCCGATGCATAGGGGTCCTATAATTCACAACTCTTCTAGGAAATATATTGAGATTAAGTCCACATATACTTGTTCAGCTTCCTTGCCCATTTAAACCATGTAGATGTAAAATACAATTCCTTTGGGCAACTTGGATTAATATATTAACCATAATCCAAAGCAATGTCATATCATGATATCCAGTATCTAATGCCAACTTAATATTTAAAGTTGAACTAACAAGCACTGCAGAGATAGTTGTAGAAATCCTAATTCATTTTGATGTTTCAGTCATCTCATACAACACAAGTCTCATATCTTCCATGATAAAACACTAGCTATTAAAGTATGGATAATTCTATATGGATGTCGTATCCTATTGTATTGGAACAAATACTCCTTGGATATTTGCGAATACTGTGTTCACTACTTTCTAAACTCATCCATATTTTGAAAAAAAATATTTTTATTTTAAACTCATGTATGGTACTTTTCGAATATTCTGGAGACATGTCTGATATGTCTTTAAGATTAAAATACTTATAAAAAAGATTGAAATGCAGCATCTCTACTATAATTTCATAGCATAATTGTTAGAAATAGCGTAAAAGGGTTTTAATGACTTGGAGTTTTTTAGAGAAGAAGACTTAAGGAAAAGGGAGAATTTGAAAAACATCCTATGTTGTCCACCTAAGAAAACCATCTTCAAAGGTGCATTTGAATGCCAAATGGATTTCTGTAGGAAGATTTGGCCAGCTTTATTTCTTAACACCTAATTGTATGACTTGATCTTTCCACCTCATGAATCCCACAATCCCTCCTGAAAGGGAATTCTACTAAGCAACTCTAACAAGGAAACCTCTGCACAAATATCTAATCATTGAAAGTTCTAGAGGAGTCGAATCTTAGACCTGATTCTTCATGATGTACTAGGGCCAAGTGACTAACCCACTTGCGCAAAACCCTTGGGGTTAATCCCTGCCAATTTTTCCTTTAACACAACTTTACCATTTCAAACATCATATCAAAGTCGAATCTTTCGACCATCACCATTGCGCACCACAAAAACTAAGGAATTCCAGAATATGTTTCCACTATTTCGTAGTTCATAATACTTTGCCAATCCAACTCAATGCAATATATTCACTTCTCTAGAGTACTGTTCCATGCACTTCCATATTCCTCAAAAACCATTTTCCTTAGAGGGCTTGATTAAAAACCTCAATTTCTTGACCACTAGGCATTCCTCGCGAAAGTGTGATCAGACCGCTGCAAATCCACCACTTGTTGGTTAAACCGTTAAACTCCTCCCTAACTCTCGCCTCTGAATACCCTATGTTATTTATTTGGCCTCTTCTTGGCTGAGATGGTTGCAAAATGAGATAAGTAGGTAAGTCGGAAAGGGTACTCTTAATGGATGTCAATCCACCACTCTCCGAAAGACACTGCTTCCTCCATCCTACTACTTTCTCTCATATTGCTCTATCAATCTCGCATTGTCTTCACTTTAAAAAATGACCCCGATGGGAGACCCATATAAGTTGTGGGAACAGAACCCGTTTCGATTCCATTCACTGCCAAGACAGAAGCATCCTAAATCTCTCTGGTGAGATTAAGCTCACCCTTCCCAGGTTATTGCTCAAACTCGAAAATACTTCCGAGCATAAGCATGGGCCAGAGATGCCTGAACTACTTTTCAGCACCACGAAAAATGATCGTCACAGGCAAATAATAGATGTGGTACTACAAAAAGGTTTCCATCCCCTTAGGCCTTTGTTAACTAAGAAGCCCCTTAATGCCACCCTCAACTGCCCTGGCTGGTCTATGACTTAGGTTCTCCATAATAAGAATAAAATGAATAACCCTTCTGGGGGTCATTCACCATGAAGGAAAATTTTACTGCTGAGATACACACCTCTTTCCATGTTCTCCATTGCATGCGAAAACACATATGCTCCAACAAATAGAGCAAAAAGCTCCAATGAAAATTGCTCTATGCACTCTTGATGTCATGTCCAAATAACCCTTGGGTTGGTAGTCATCAGCCCAGAATTATACATCCATTCGCGGGCGTAGTTCTCAGACTAATACATTTTAAGATGCGGATCATATGATTCGATACCATACATGCCTAAGTCAATTTGCATAGCAAATGGTTGATCACGCAGGGTACTGAATTAATGTTGACCATTCTGAACCAGACATAACCAAGTGGGAACAAATCCCATGAATTTGCACAAAGTGGTATGATTCTGTACGGTTTTGAGGCAACAAGATTTCGAGTGGTTGAGGTCGGCTGGTTGGGTCTTGTCAGGCAGGCTGAAAACATTTTCTTTTTCTTTGAGTTTAAGCCTTGTGGACTTAAAATGTACCAATCTTACCACATGTTTTCAGTTTCCTTCTCTCTCTCTCTCTCTCTCTCTCTCTCTCTCTGTGGAATATTGTTGAAGATTTCTCGCTGTTTCTATGATCTGTTGGTGAAAGTTGTATTTTCTCAGTGTGTTATGTTTCTCAAATTTGCGTAGAGTGTCCATCCAAGGGTTCCAAGCAAAGCAGCTGTTTATTTGGGCTTAATTCCTAATAATATTTCATATATATATTTTTGAGAATTATTACTTGTCCAAATGTGGTTGAGAACACTAGTAGAGGTGGATTAGTAGTAGGAGTTGAGTGCGTGCCCAAGGCAGAGAGGAGTCTTTTACTTGTGTGAAGCACATTTTGGCTTGAGAGAATTGGTTGTGGTAAATTTGTAAGTGACCTGGAGCACATTTCATGGTTAGAGAGCTGGGAGCAACTCTATACATCTCTTATTTGGGAGTTGGGTATTGTATCCGATTCAGAGTGTATATTTTTTGGGTTTCCTTGTGTTATCTTTTGGAATTTGGTTTCATACTTATTTGGTTGGTTTATGGAAGCAATTTGTGTACGTTTAATGTCCTTATTTTAGTAAGTGTATATTGGTTGTATCATTGTATGTGTGTACATTAAATACTTGTGTTTTGTGTTGGTTCTTTTTATAGTTTTCTTACATATTTTTCACCAGGCAACCTGAATATATATATATAAGCATTTGCAAATGCTTAAAGTAGTCTATTTCTTTTTCTTTTTTTTTTTCTTTTTTTTTTTTTTTCTTCTCTCTTTTTTTTTTTTTTTTTGGAAATTGGTTCAACTTCAATGCTTGATGCTTTTGTGGCCTGATGGAAATGGGTTTAGTTTGATTGGAATTTTATATTTTGGTTTCTGGATTATTTTGCAACTCTTATACTTTTTGCATTAAAACCGGAGGAAACATCATTTTACTTATAAGAAAATAGGGAGGAAACTATTGTTTTCAATTAAGCACTTATCATTCTTTTCATATGGGTGCAAGAGTGCAAGCTGCTTGCATTTTTTGACACGTGTACACTTGTGATTGTGTGCATGTCCATGAGCACCTTGCTTTTGTCTGTGTGCATATTTTTTACCCCAAATTATTGGCCAAACAAGGCTTTGGTAGGTTAGAATGAGCTGCCGAGTGTAGAGGAACATATAATCTTGTCTTTCTTGGTTTTCAGAGGGAAATTTTTTTGGGAGAGATTGCACTGTCTTGTAATTTTGTGCACTGTTCGTTCTTTCTGAACTCTGGAGTAAAGTCAGATTACAGGAATTATATATCTTGAAAGTAATTTTATTTGGTTTCTTGTCCGCTCAATAAGCTTTCTGAATTTTTGCTTTTGCATCTTTGGTACAGTAAGGTATTGAGCTCTAACACTAGTATGACTAAACATTCTTCATTCTTCCATATTTAGGTGAAGAATATTGGATTCACGGGGGTCTTCAGGTTAATCTTTAAGCCGCTAGTCGACGAGTTTCCTTGCTTTGGAGCTATAAGTTATTCTTTAAGAGAAAAGGTGCACTATCTCCTCCTAAGTTTTTATTTTATTTTTATTTTTATTTTTATTTTTCCTTCAATATTTTTAATAAGATTCTTCTTGAGTTTTTTAAAGCCTTCCTCCCGAGGTTTGGAAGTATCACAGTCTGTGAGTTTCATATTAGAAAAAAAAAAAAAAAATAGCTGCATACTTAAATTTGTGTAAAATTTTATGTATAATCAATAACTGAATTCCTGCTTCTTGAAAATTTGTGGATAACATTTGAACATACACATACTCATTTCAATTACTCATTCACAGACACATGCTTGTGTATATGGTTACTTTTAGTAACTTGCTTTTTTATCTTATTTCAAGAGGTTTTCTCTGTTTATATTTAGTCATTTATTCTTTCCATTTCTTTTTCATAGAGTGGGGTGGGGTCAAACCAGTTCCTTTATTAGATTCTTAGATAAAAACTATAACATTTCCTGGAACTCTATACATATATCATGTGATTTTGCAAATATCCTTTTCTTTGGCTTGCAGAGAAAGTTGGACTTTACCCTAAAAGTTATTGGAGGGGACATAAAAACAATACCTGGCCTTTCTGATGCTATTGAGGTTTGACCATCTATCTTTTAATGTGTCTTTGATTGACTGTTATGTATGATATGACTAATATAAATGAGTGTTTGTTTCTGTTTCTAAACAGTATGTCATAGCATTAGCTAAGATTCTGCATTTGGTTTGAATCAACTTTATTTCTGATTCTGATGATATCGACATCAAATTTAAGATTTTGTAGTCTTGTTAGAAACATGATATACTGCTATGGTGGGGTTCTAAACTTGGCATTTGATTTTCTCCTCTCTTCTCACTAATGTGTAATTTTTCATCATTTTCTGTCTATACGTGATGAGATATGTTGATGTTCTTGTTGTAGTGGGCCTAGTGGCACCTTCATTCCAGAACCATTTTTTAGAGTCCTCTCCAATAGTATTGGTTCCTGTATGATTTGGAAGGCTAGAACCTTCCCTAGGAAAGAAAATTAAGGCTTTGGCTTGGTCAATAGGTGTCAAGAATGTCAAAACTAATGAGATTCTCAAGGTAAAGGACCATATAAAGTTATTAGCCTGGATCAGTGTGTTCAACATTATGTTAAAAAAGTGATGAGACCTCGACTCATATGTTTTTTTTTTTTTCACGGCCCCCTTTCCTACACTTTGTGTCCAAGGCTCTTTGCTCTCTCTGGGATTTATATGTTGGGTTGATTCTCGAGAAATTAGCTCAATGCTCAAGATCTCTTTTCTGGGTTTTGGTAAAGGACAGAAGCCAAAATTTTTATGGGTGGGATTTTCTCACTATTCTATGGTCATTTGCTGTGAAAGAAATGCTAATTTTTTTTTTTTTTAAAAGACAAGCACAGTGGCGAAGAGGATCTTTGGTGCAAGGTTGTTTTCTAGTCTCTCTTTGGGCTTAAGTGAATGTGGATTTCAAAGGGATGCCTTTGAGTTTAATTATGAGATATTGGGTTGCCAGGCCGAAGAGCATGGTAGTATAAAGGGATTGGAGTCCCTGTTCTGAGGGGAGAATCAAATTTAAATTTGATGCTTATGCATTTGGAAGAAAAGGTCAACTTTGCACTGAAAACATCTTTAGAGATCACTTAGGCAATACTATTCTTTGTATGTTTAAGATGGTGGGAACTAGGTTTGTTATAAAAACAAAGCTCCTGACTCCCGTTGAAGGCCTTCGGGAAACCTCTTTTGAGGGAATTCATCATTCCACAATTGAGGGCGATTTCATGGTGGTGGTTAGTTGGGTGAGATCCAAAATATGTGGATCTTGGCATTTTGCGCAGCTTTTTTTTTTTTAGATCATAGATGATGTATATATTTTAGAAGTGTAAACCAAATTAGTTCTGTGATCTTGTAATGAGAAAGCTGAGTTTTTGGCTAAATTAGGAGCCTAATCTATTTTTCAGTGAACTTTTTATCCTCTCCATTTGGGGCACTTCATCCTCCATGTCACCACTAGGGATGGGTTTGTAGGGGGGTTGAGCATTTTGTCATTTGGATTTAGTTCTTATCAGCGGAGGGTCCTTAATTTTTGTAAATTTCTATGGCCTTTTTTCTCTATAAAATAAAGTCAGTTATTTCTTATCAACATATATGGAAAAACATGTTGAATTTTTCTAACTTGGAACATGTATTTGCTCACACATATGCTTACATGATTATCTCAACTTAACAAAACCCTGTCCCCACTATTTGGGATTGGCTTCAACTCAACTCTCTGTTTACATGGTCATATAACACTTCAATTTCTAGTTTCCGACTCATATTTAATTACCTATTATGCAGTATATTTGGTATGTGTATATGTTGTCTGGCAATGTGTTCGTATATTATTAGTAGTTTACAGTCTAGTCTTAAAGAAGAGGTATATTATTTGTACAGGGGACTATACGGGATGCTATTGAAGATTCCATTACATGGCCAGTGCGGAAAGTTGTTCCCATTTTGCCTGGTGACTACAGGTATGGCAATAACAGAAGATTTAGTTGACAATAATTTTATGAAGCAGCAATTTTGTTTACAATAGTAGGGACACAAGTCCCTCTAGTAAATGATTTACTATGTAGAGAAGCAAGACTCATGGGGGATGAGAGGTTAACTCTTTATGAATAAAATATTATTACTTTGAAGAGAACGTAGGGAACCAGTAAGGCAGTTAAATCTTCCCATCCATTCACCCTAGAGAGAGAGAGCTTCCAACTTTTTTGTTAAGCTCTTAGCGAACTCTATAGTAGTTAAATGGTGGACTTTGATGCTTTAAAGCGCTTGAACTTCATTTTTGAACGCATGCCCCTATTCTCATTTCTTTACTTCCCTTATTGCTTTAATCGTACTCTGACTCATCATGTTCCGAACTTGACGCCTGCAACTTCCCTTTGTGAGTGACAGGAGATACCACAGATGATAGTTGCTGGTGTGATTTTTTGTACATTTATACCAGTTAATGGAGTTACCCTGTTATTGGAAAAAATCCTGGCCTAAGTCAAACATAAGAATGAACTAATTTCTTAAGATAAGAGATTCCTGTCCTTGTTCAAATGTTTAAGATATATGGCTGGCCTTAATATTGTAGCACGGGCTTAGTTCTTAAACTAGAATTTGTCTTCTTATTAGCTGCCATTGTCATCTTTACCTCTAAATGTTTTTTGTTTTCTAGTGACTTAGAGCTGAAGCCTGTTGGAATATTAGAAGTGAAACTTGTACAAGCGAAGGAATTGACAAATAAAGATATCATTGGAAAGTCTGATCCTTTTGCTGTGTTATACATACGCCCCCTACCTGATAGAATGAAAACCAGCAAAGTAGTTGTAAGTTAATCTTTTCTCTTTGGAGGGGTTCCTGTCATCCTTCTGATCGGTTTAAATAACTGTGCATTTCTTTTTTCAGAATAATCAGTTGAATCCCATCTGGAATGAACACTTTGAATTCATAGTTGAAGATGAATCCACACAACACTTGGTGGTAAAAGTTTATGATGATGAAGGGATTCAACAATCTGAACTCATTGGTTGCGCTCAAATACAGCTGAAACATCTCGAGCCTGGTAAAGTGAAGGATGTGTGGTTGCCCTTGGTGAAAGATTTGGAGGTCCAGAGAGATAATAAAAACAGGGGTCAGGTGAGAATTACGAATTTTTGTGTGTGTGTGTGTGTTTTGAATGAATTTATTATCTGATTTAAGTTTGAGAAAATCTAATGCTAACTTTAGTCAGGCGATTCTCTCTAGATGTGATTAGAGGAAATCATAATATGTTAGAGTGAACTTTTTAGATTTATAAATTTAACACGCTGTTATATAGATTTTACGCTGTCATCTCCAAGTACCTGAAATGACAGTACTCGCTCAATATAGAAAGAGATGCCTCTAGTTGGTGTTGCTCCATTGCTTAGTGGCGATCATTCTTATATAATTGAGTTTTGCTTCTTTAATATGACATCCTCTGCTTTCGCTCACTCAAAAGGAAACAATACGTAGCTGTGTTGTTGTATTATGTATTCTAATCTATGAGGCTCCTTCAGATCAATGTTATTGATTAGATCAATATGAAAAAAGAGAAATGGAGCTGGTTTCTTATCACAAATTTTCCTGCAATGAGTTGGTCCAAGAACAGGTAGAGAGCACAGACCATCTTGATAACATAACACTAATCTTCCTTCTCCATGATCTACAAGACCTCTCTAGAAGTCTGGTCTGGGCTTGAGGTCTTGTATCATTCTTCCTCTCCAGTTTTACCTAGAAAGGAAAACTGACATGGTCTGGCACTCTATATCGACCATATGTTACAAAAACTTGTTAGCTTGGATTCTCTTTTTATACCTTTCCCTTTTCAAAGTATATCAACCACCAAATTTTACGTTTAACTATATTTCTGAATTCGTATGTCTATATTTATTGCTATCTTAATCCTCTACTGTCATCATACTAAGCGAGGCAGACTGGCTGGAGAACTGTTCAACCATGAACTGGCCCTTAAATATACCAGTTGCTCTGCTGACTTACAAATCATAAGATTCAGCTAAGCTTCTTGGTATGTATGTTTAGCATGGTTGGAGTAGTTTGGCCCTTGTGTTACTGCAAATCCAGTAGATAATGAAAACTAGAGAAACATTTACACAAGTTACTGAAATTGCAACTTTCCTTGATACGTTATACGTGTTAATTGTAAAGTTGAAGTTTAACTGATTTCATGTTCTTTGTATCAATATTTATAATTTAGGTTTTTATTATTTTTATTTTTTTATAATTGTTTTTATGATAATCTTGATTTTGATTTTCTATCTTTGTTCTAGGTGCATTTGGAGCTATTATACTGTCCTTTTGGCATGAAGAATGGGTTTACTAACCCTTTTGCCTCCAACTTTTCAATGACCTCCTTGGAAAAGGTACTTAAAAATGGTGCAGAAGGAAAGGAAGCAGTTGAAAATGGAACAAAAGTCGAACAGAAGAAAAGGGAGGTAATTATTAGAGGAGTGCTTTCTGTTACTGTGGTATCTGCTGAAGACTTGCCACCAGCAGATCTTATGGGGAAGGCTGACCCCTATGTCGTGCTTATTATGAAGAAAACAGAAACGAAAAACAAGACAAGGGTATGGCATACTTTTTGTTAAGTTTCTTAGTTTCACAAGGAATAGCATGTATGTATACCTTTTAGACTTCTTTCCCTGCATGTCTCTCTGAACCTGCACAATATCTTATGTGGGACCTATGAATAGGGAGGTCACCTGGCCCTTTGTGTGGCCTTCTTGTGTTATTTGTTTCCAGTGTATGGAGTAATTTAAACCTTAGCAGCCAGATTATTGTTTGAATTGATTATAATCACTCTATTCTCTCAGGTGGTGAATGATAGTCTGAATCCAGTTTGGAATCAGACTTTTGACATTGTCGTTGAGGATGGTTTACATGATATGCTAATTCTGGAAGTCTGGGACCATGACACATTTGGGAAGGTAAAAATATCCTGCCTTTTGTAACAGTATTTTCTCCATTTATTGGTAACATAACTTAAATGAAGGGATGTGTCATGGATTTAGAAATAGATGAGAAGTAATATTTTGGGTAGCACCTTCGATGTGGAGTATGCTGAATTTCAGAAATCCTACTTACATGTGACAGTTTTATACAAGCCTTCCTTGGTAAAAAATGATCTCATAATGAAAAGAACAGGAGCAAAATAAGAACAGTGGTTACAGATGATAGAAAATTCATAATCATCATCCTTGCCTTTATCCTATATGGATGGGGTTGGCCATACAAAAGATAGAAAAAATGCAGAACATAGATTGAACTGAAAGAAAAGGTAGGGAACCAGACACATTTAAATGCGTGCAGAAATGTCTCGAGTCTTTCTGCAGCATTTTCTTCTCTGTTAGAGTAGGCATCTTCTTCTGAGTTCACATGGCAGCAAAATGATGAATCTAATAAACTTGCTAGCCAAGTGGAATAGTCAAATCCTGGTAAATTAATAAGATTATCTTGGAGGACTTGCAAGTACTTGGGAATTTATCGAATTGGTCAGGTTGGTCCAACACGCCTTTCTGACCAATCCGTAGTGTGGGAACTCTCAAGAATTTGTCTTCTCAATATTATTTTTGGCAATGCTCCTAATGTCCAACTTGCCTGGATTCCTATGAAGCACTTGTCCAACATAAGTTTTGACTCATCCTCTATATGGCGATGTCCAAATTTGGCATATGTTCTACGAGTCTCGAACCTTGGCATTGGGGTTTAGGGTCAAGCCATAAGCCAATATAGGCCACAAGGTGTACCGGTGCGATGTCCAAATTTGCATAGAAGTGTAGGTGGAATGGAAGTATAGAATAGGAGTAGGGTTCCCTGAGATTGAATCCAAGCATCTTTAGTCACGGACTCAAGGACTGCTATATCCATACATGGCGAACCTCTTATAGCATTCAAGATGCATGAACCTGCCAGTCTGGCAGACAAGTCCAAGAAGTGGAGTGCCTCTCATATGAGGTTATGAGAATCATCAGATGAGTCAAATGATCTGGCTGTTAAGCTGGAGGCTTGAACAGAGTTGCATAAGATTAATGTCTATTTTTAATTAGTAATGTGTTTAGACAGTGGTTTTTCAATACTCTCTCTTTAGAAAAGTGCATAATGTTTTTCGATCAATTTTTAGAACAATGTTGGGAGTTGTCTGGATACATTTCTATTTCATGATTTGTGGACACAATAGTGGCTAAAAGTGAGTTCACCCTCATGAAGAACAAAGGCTTATTAATTTTCTCAGTTCTAAGCATCCCTAGTGTTGAAATGTTTCTGCTTACGAAACCTCTAGAGTGGTTGGATTGTTTCTCTGAGGGTCTTCTATCCTTTTCTTTTTCCTTTATATTCTTGGAAATAACTGCGGTTGCAATTATTCATCTCAAAGGTTTGCGGTGACCGGCAAAACTCTGCAGTTACTGAAATCTTTAATGAAGTTCAAAATGAAACGTGTAAAGAATCCCAATGTTTGAACCGGAGTATTGCTTACAGCTTGTCAATGGTGACTCAGACTTTGTGTTCTCAAAAGTATGCTAATTATTTGTTTGTGTTTATTTTTTCCCATATATTTTGCAGGACTATATGGGAAGATGCATCTTGACACTGACAAGGGTTATATTGGAAGGGGAATACAAAGACAGCTTTCAACTAGATGGGGCTAAATCAGGAATACTGACTTTGAATCTCAAATGGACTCCACAACCAATTTACCGAGATTCCTAATACCCTTTTACCGTGGTGGAGATTGCATATTTGCTAGTGGTAAATATACTTCCGGCTCCATAGAAGCAGCATAGAGAGAACATCACTCCGACACACTCCTGTGCAATAATTGATCCAGAAACCTGGGGCTGTAAAATTGTAAAGCAACATTTGGTGTGCGAAATTGTTTCGGTAATGCGGAGTGAATACAGGAAAGCTGTGGAAAATTCTGATGTAGATTTGGAAGAAAATAAAACCAAACAGAAGTAGGGTTAGAAAATTAGGGGCGGTTGTATGATATTTAGATGTCCAATCTAATGTATGTTGTGCAGGCTGCTTTTGTTAGGAACTTATTTTTTGGCTTCTATATTTTCAGTTTTGTTTTGTCAAACTGTCAGTTTTTGTATTGATTCTTGCTCAAAAGATTATTGTTATTATTTAAAATAGACTGGATTGCCTCGCTTTCTCTTTTCAATCTTCCTTACTGCACCCAGGGCGTGATTGTTTCAGCTCCTTCACATGGATGCAAAATTACATTATTTGAATCAACATTTCATTTGTTTTGCTGCTAATATATAGTTGTTGGAATAAGACTTCTCAATTGTTTACTCAAGTCTGCAGGTAGTTTGGTTAGTTGCTCCTTGGGTTGCTGCCGATGCATGTAGTTTGCCAGCAATTGCATGCATTCAGAGTTATGCTCTGTATTGACGAGTCTAAGCGCATTCCATCCATCCGCAGATTATGTGAATTAGAGTCACTCGTGTACGTCTTTTTCATTCTTCCAGAAATGGTTTGTAATGTGGTGGAGTATGCCCTTTTGTTTGTAAAATCCAAGTGAATGCTGAACGAGCCCTCTCCATGCATACTAGTTATCTAGGCAGGAACTTGAATAATCTAGCCACTACTAGCAGGTCCAGCACAGTTTTGTATGTAAATAGAAGCTATATGGCCATGTGCACGTCTTCTCGAAATGTTTTGAGACCTTACCTGTTCTGAATCTAATACAGCAAAACCCTGGAGATATTTGAACTTTTAGCCCATGGGAAGATGGAAATATTTTTTCCCTTTCAACCACCACCAAAAGGAAATATAATTCATGGAGAATGTCTCTAGGGCTTCTTGCTTGTATAGATCTCCCAGGGTCTCATTTCAACCCAACTTGTTAATTTGCTTGTATGGAAATTTAGGTACGCTCTACAAGTCCTGACAACCATCAGATGCATGAGTTTGAATGTGGTTAAGAGTCGGTTTAGATCACTTCTCATTAAAATAGTTTTCAAAGAAATTCGGAACCAAATTTCAGAATGGTTGCAAAAAACCATTCTATAAAATTTGACATTTTTTTAAATTCAGTTTTCAAAGAACAGAATTGTTCTAGAAAAACTGAACTGAGCATACTCTCAAATTTTCATTTGTTTCTAAACAACAGAACATCACGAATAGCACATTTTATTCGTCATGAAATGGCCTACTACATTAAAGAGCGGTGTTACGGAAATCATTATTCTCTCGAGAGTTGGAATGGAACTGATAGCTAAGAGTGGCAAGTGTCTTTCGCACTTGAGCCAACTGTCCACGGCAGCTATTTGCTCCCGTTGGAAGTGCATGCATCAGAGGCACCTTCACATTTTGGGAGTAAGTAGCACTTCTGTAACAACTGCATGGAGATGATTCTTTTCGAGTTTTCTCCTCCGCTTATCGTTTCCCCTGCATGTCCATAACTCGCATGGTGTAAAACTCAAAATCAAGAAGTTCAACAGCACATGTATTCATTTACATTAATCACAAGTTTTAATTCATAGTTGTTCTGCAATCTACAAATTGATTGCTACCCCAACCCTTACTAAATATTTTTGATGTTCTATCAAAGTTGCATGTGCAATCAATAGCTTGAAAGGAACCACTCGAGAACATGAAACAAGTATATGGGTGCACAAAGAAGTTGACTGTTGTATAGCCACATATCTAGCCCTAAATAGCAGTGGTTTTTCGGAGAAGCATGTAACGTCCGAAGAAATATCTCAAATTATATATACAAAATCTTTTTTGGAGACATTAAAAAATACATCCACCTTTAACCCATATAGATGGGTTGGACTGTGAATTCTCATTTTCTACACACATACAATGGAAAATCCATATATTACACTATACTAGCTGTCCTAATCACAATATACTTGTTTATATAATACTAACTGTGCTAGTCAATATGAAATATTGTTGTATGAAACTCGAACATCTTCCTTTTGGAAATGTAATAATATTGTATATTTACCAATATAGCCATATGCACTTTTGCATAGTGACCACTTTCCAAGATGGACAGGTATCAATGCAAGCAGCAACTATCTGCATTTTTATAGTTATATCAACATATGGTGTTACCACTAATTCATTTTTGGTTCGTTTTGTTAAAATAAAAAATAAAGGGTGAAAAAGTAGTTTCCCTTGTGGGCCTCTTAGCATGCAGCAAATCAAGTCTCAAACTGTAATATTCCCCTAGATTATGGATCGATTTGACTCAATGAATCTTATACCAATACTAGTCATATGAATATATAACTCATACAAAAAATTAACTCAAGAAGGGAAGTGAACAGCATTTACCAGTACTGATTATGTATCAAGAAAGAGTCAGTTTCCACTCTTTTTTCATCATCATTGCGATTCCAGTGGTAGAATGCATGTGTTCTATTCTTTATCTCCAATGTAGAATGCCCATAACTGGCTTCCCGGAATGCAGAATATTCTGGTTGGGGGTCTCTAAATCTACACAATAAATCACAAACCATGATATTCCGCAAAGGAGGAAGAAATATAGATTTGTTATAGAACACAAATAGGAGACTTGATTCATCAACAGGGATATATTTTGCATTTTTCAACAAAGCTACCTTGCAGCAAGACCTTCCTGATTTCCTCCATCTCCAACGGTTATGTAGACAGGGGCAGACATGTCTGGTACAGGAAAAGGATCACCACTCGATACATTGTAGTGTATGTTTGAGATGCGATACTGGAAGCGAGAAGAAAATTACATTTATAAAGCTTACTTTAACAAATGGGCATAATTAGGATAATAAATGTGGCAGAACCATAATGTAATTTAATATGAATATCGAAACTTGTTCACCAATTTATTGTCGAAAACCTGGAAAATGACAAGCTGGCATGGTCCTGATTTTCATTTCGTTCTGAACAGGACATCTGAACATAATACTTTGACATTACGTAAAAGAGCATCCATACAAAAGTGTTTCCCTTCCTGTGTTCTTACCGAATATGTTTAAAGTGTTTGAGAGTTGTAATTGCAACTTTCAATAACTTGATAGTTCAACCAAATGACACAATTTTTTTTTAGAAAATGGTATCCTCCTGTGGTTGGGGGTAGGAAGGGAGAAAGAAAACACCAATCTACCAGGTCTTCTTGTTTGGTGAAATGAAAGCCAAATAGTTAATGATACGAAGGGCCAAAATCAACTATTTTTAAATTTTCAAAACCGCATTTGAGGTCAATAATATGAACTATGCACAAGAATTTTTCATCATAATTGAAGTATTAAACCCCAATAAATCAATGACTTATTAGAAAGTGTCTTCCCAAATAAGGTTGAATGATGACAATATGATTCCTAGGCAGACTTGTAACGGTAGGTACAAAGGTTTTGCTCAGTTGAGTGCGTTTTTTCTTTTTAATTATCTGAATAAATCTATAATAAGAATGAGTTGCCAAAAAACGAGAAAATAAACTAATGGTTATTCTACAACATTCATTAATTTTATTGTATTTTTGGTAATAAGACTACTTTTTCCACCTTATGTCATCAAACAGCTATAGCATTCCAAAAATATGAGATTTAGAAAGTACTCCAAAAATCCTTCTATCTATAGGTAAAAGTTTTATACAAGGGGATAAAATTGGTTTTACTTTCTACTGTTATTAGTTTATTTTTTTCCAGAAGAAAATAAAGAAAAATGAAAGTGATGAAGAAACATACCGATCTTTCATAAGCATGGACATGGCCCGCAAAGATTATATCAACTTTGTAATGAATAAACCAACTCTCAAAGACCACTCGCATGCTTTCACCCTCCATGAAGTGCGCTTCATTGCTATTGTAGATTGGGACATGCATAAGAACAATTAGCCAAGGTGTCTTCTCCCTGTCCACCTTTTTAAATTCTTCTGCAAGCCACCTCCATTGAGGCGTGTATTTTACTGTTAAGAAGATCGTGTCAGAAGCACAGACAAGAATTATCCTCTACCATGCTTAGAGAAAGGTAGGGCGAGTAGTTATCAAAGATGGCAAGCCTCAATATTGGTTTCCAGCAGAGAAGTATATTATCCCAATCATAACTAGATCAAAGCACATACAGAAAAGCCAATCAAAAGAACATTACAAAGCTTAAAAAACACAAAACAACATCAGGAAAATCAACCAAATCCGCACACGAGAGCATGAAAAAATCTGCATGCACCACCATTTCCATTTTTACCTAAAAATTTTTAGCAAGCTAGTGCCTCTCCTACAGCCTCAACAAATGAAAGCAGCATGAAACAGTGAAAAGCATCATTCACCGAATTACAACTGTCATTAATTCCTTGAAGGTTACCTTCATTTAGCATAAAACCTAGAATGATGCTTCTTTTGTGCACATGCCTTTGATATAATAAAACCTATCAACTTGAGTATATTAGACCTAAAAAAAAGTGAGACAAAAGGATAAAAAAAGTAGGTTTACTATTCCAAGATATGGACCCAGAAAATGATCTTTCCCATCTCTCTTGGATCCAAATATCCATAACGATAAATATTCCAAAGATAAGGTGTATCCAGGTAACGAGTGAAAGGGAACGGAAAGTTACCATATGGAGAATAGCTCGATAGCACAATTATATGAGCGGAAGCGCGTCTGATGGCATACCAGAGGGGACTACTGCTTTTGGAGGCTGCATGGGGTGTAGGGTATCTGTAAAGATACGATTTGAAAGGAACAACTTCCCCCTAAACATACAATTAAAGTAGTAGTCATGAACTGGGAAAAAATTTAAGTGGGTTGCATGCTATGATGAACAAAAATATTGAAAATAAATGGCAATGGATGTGTTTACAATTCACTCTGCATATATGTAAAATATAATAGGAATTTCACAGGTCAGTAATTCATAAGAATTGGCTCCAATAGTCAATTTCTAAATTCAATAGGGTTGGGGATTGGCTTTGATAACATATGTAAGGACCTGCCTCACACAGTACACATATTGTCTGCTTTGCACCCTCTTGACATTTACGATTTTAAAACACGTCTACAGAGATAGGAGGACATCCCCCCTTTATAAGTGCCAGCAACTTCTCCCCACAGGAGACGTGAGACATCACACTAATCCTTTCCATACCCTACTTTAACAACCCAAAACTTAAAGATCATTTATAAATTTTCAAGGGAATAGGCCTATTCTTTACTAATTTATCAATTTCACAATATTCCATCCCCCAAATCCCTCCCAGATCAAAATTTCTTGGTGAAAATCCGTGGTAGTGTTCAATGAGAATTGTGCTTAAATTGCCAACTTCATAAAAGATTTGTCAAGATTGCATGTAAGATTGACTAGGTTCTTGTGCACCAAACCACCAGTGGTATTACAAGACAAAAATAGAAACATACAGTATTTCCTACAGGAAGTTCAATCATGGTATAAAGCAGCTTAAGTAATGAAGTCGCAGGTACTTTGAGGAGAGGAAAAATGGTTCAAGTGTCATGATCCTAGCTCAAAGACACTTTATTTCCCCCTTTTTGAAACACACATCCACTTTGTCCCAGTGGGGACTTGGAATCCTTGACCTTCTACTTCGGAAGGTGAGGAAGTACCACTAGGCTATTGCCCTAGGTGGAACAAATTATTGAAACATAATTGTGAGTTCTTTCAATTCAAAATAAAGACTAGTGAAAAATATATGAAATGATCCATGAAAACTTGATAATAGAAAAGGAATGTGTATGCTGATTTTCCTGCCATGTCTACTCAACCAGGTTCACTCATTATAATGAATAACTGGAACAATTATATTGATTTAGAATGTAAGAACTTTAGGGTAATAAGATCAATGTGTGTCAAGAAAACAATAAATAAATAGGGCATCAAGGAAACACAGTAACCAAGTAAATAGAATGAAGTTAGAAGCACTCAATTCACACAAGTAACTCGAGCAGTTTATTAATATATTTGAATACTTTACCATATATGGCATGTACTCTATTTCATGATTTCCAGCGGACCACATCCATGGCTGATATGCAGCAATTCGTTCGGTAAAACGACCCCATGTGTCCCAACGAACACCAACATCATGATATTGGTATCTATCGGCATAAGAAAGATCTCCAACAAATAAGACAGCTTGTCCTCCACTCTGCATGTAATGCTCGATGGTGGAAAGTGAATTAAATGTTTGGCCCAGATCACCTGAAACATGCAAACAGAACTACTCATTCAAGATATATTTAAAATTCCAATACTAGATGAAATTCTAGATATATTAAATAATTTTAAATCTAGATACCTTCTGTATGTTAACATTTGTCTACGAAATAAGCACGTAGGATGTTTTGGCCAACATGGTGGTATTGTGTAAATCAATTTTATGGTTTTAGGTGACTAATACTCCTTAACATAATATAAGTAGCTACTCCATAATAATTTACAGCGGTCCTAATTCACATTTGAACATAATATCCCATCCTATCGTCTCTTTTATTACTCAGTTCTAGTTATTAGTTATAGCCCTTTTAACATTTAAGGTCAAGTCTCTTTTATTACTCGGTTCGAGTTATTAGTTAAAGCCCTATTAACATTAAGGTAATCAGATAGAAGAATCATATTTCATTTCAGATGGAAAATCAGATATTTATCACACCACAAAGTGCAGCTTAATGTTTCTTTTTTTGAGTACTTGAAGACAAGAATCTAATATTGCTTTGAAAACAAATATAGAAAGAAAACTACTAACCAATAATTCCAAATTTATAGGGAGCATCTGGATCAATCCTTGGAGGTGTTTGAAACCAAAATTTTCGAGCAGAATCACCGTTTCCAATCTTGTAGTAGTACTTGGTGTCATACTTAAAAACAAGAACATCCAACCAATTCGTGAGATGGATATTCAAACAGAAAGGCAAGATAACTCTTTACATTGCCATAATTTAAATGGTTGTTTGTGTTGTTCCCGTAGGGAACTATTTAACAGTCAAGGCATTAAGCTTTCTACGCAGCCATCTGGGCTAAAAAATAAACAATACCTTCTTTATATATACATATATAAATATAATATATATCTATTAATAAATTATGCCTTCCTTTATACTATGTTACCTAGACTCGAGTACTCATATGATGTATCAGGTGCAGCTGTGCAGGTATATGTTTGGCTGCTAGATATCCCTAATTGGAAATTTTAAAATACAAGGAATTGGCTCGAAATGTGTCCAAAACTTGGATAAGGGGATGTGAAACGTTTTACATACCTAGAAAGTTAAAAATATAAAATACCTTTTTTTTTTTTTTTGATAAGTAATATATAATACTATTATTTTTAAAAATACTTGGTAATAATTCAAATTAAATGAAACTAAATGGAATACGGTTAAAAGAAGATAGATGCCACCTATCTCACAAGTAGGAAACTATTTAAGAAATTATTCTTCTTCTGTCGTAATCTTGGGTACGTGTGTTGGATACATATTTCATATTCATGTCCATGTCATGTCGTGTTGACACGGGTACGCTGAGGGGAACAGGTGAGTCCAGTTAACATAGCCGTTATAAGGGCAGTTATTCTATGACTTCTATCTATGAATCCAAGACAACAATTTTACCTTTCAAGAAAAACTTTATTATAATTTGCCACAATGAGATTAGGCTCCTCTGTGATTGCTACAAACTGCAACTACTGCAATTAGCCAGCAGCCACAGAAGGAAGAAACCACGATTTATCGCATCTCATCAAATATACTCATTACGCAAAAGGCCATACTTGTAAGTTTGACATGATGCAAAACACCAGTGTCATTATCCACACATACTCCCTACATAAACTGTAACTTCATATCCCAGTTAGCACCAAAGAATATAAGTCATTTACCTCAAATGCCATATGTAAGAAGGCCTATACAAGCAATAATTATTTATCCATTTTCTTAAACAAATTGAATCTCATAATTCCCAATCAATCTCAAAATTTTTGGAATTCATTCAGCTAACAAATTTTTTATTCAATAAACAATTACCTCAAGGCCATCAACAAGACAGTGATGAATGTAACCAGATGTATAGTTGTAGAAAGTGTAATTTGTCATTGTTCCTTCTGCAGTAAAACCGTAATTTTTCTCTGACGTGCCATATAGTACTTTGCTGGGTCCTGGTTCATCAGCTGTCACCCATGAGATAATAACAGCCTTTCCATCATAGTCACCTTGTGTGATGTGTACCTGATCATATATATGATACCATTGTACTTGCATACTAAGAAAGCATACACACACGCACACACCACCACAGAAAACCGCACAATTTAATCATAATTTTTCAGATGAGAAGAATTCTTCTTAAAAGTAAAGTTCTAAGAAGTTATTTTGGCAATGAATGGAATCCATGCCTTGTCTGCCCACATGAATACATGTACAGCTACATCCCGGTTCTATTACTTAGACAGTTTCTTTGCCTGAAATATGCCACTAATATACTTTTCAATCACTTCCCAGAAACGTTCACTCGAAATCAGGCTATTCAGCTCAACCTTTTTACTCAGTGGGAGGGTTAAATATGAAATAAGGAAAAAAGAAACTACAGACATAAACGTTCTGTGCCTTTTGTTCCAAAATAAAAAAGAAAAAAAATTTCTTGGAAAGAAATTTGGGATAATAAAATTTCCTTGAACACTCCATTTATCTCAGTGGGTATTTCAAACTGGTAAAAAGAAAAAGATATCTCTTTAGACCAAAAAGGTACCCTTTATTTTGTGTGTGCTTGTTTGGGGTGGGGGGGAATATGGATGCTTTTACTACATATATTATGATCCTCAGGAAATAGATCAGTATCACACACTGAATATTTTTCCTAAAAGCAAGTGAAAGAAGAAATTTTTCATATGAATGTTTTTATTGGATACATAATGGTTTTGAGCAGAAAAGGGAAAACAAAAACATTGTTTAATTAGGATAATCATGTCAAGCAACGAGCCAACAAATGCCAACTGAGAATAGATATATAACTAATATTTTTTCACATGTGATTTTATTTTATTACTCCATAAATTTAGATATATCAAGGCTTACTTGCTGTGGTGCATTATAGCCTTTGGGAACTGCAAATGCTTCATGATCAAGAGGAATGTCAGTAGATGGAAACTCTGAACGAATAAAAGTACTTGTGAGACCAGCACTCACAATGTTCATACAACTCAACAAAACAAATGATATAAACAGGTGGTGAGGCAACAACAACCGCATTCCCCTCAAAGCCTTCAACATGATTGTCGATAAATCAGCTGAAAAAATATAATTTACTGCATCCAAAAAAACGAAAACAATCAAATGCACTAATCATTGGGACAAGAACCATAAAGTGTTATGAACATGATTAAACAATCTTAGAACATATTTTCTTCTCTATCTGTATTTTTTTCAGCTTAATTGGTTAAGCCTATCCATTTAGTCTCGCCTGCCTGCCTGCCTGCCCGCCCAAGAATTCTTTATGAGAGAGCCAACAGGCCAAGCCAAAATCTCTCCACTCTCGCTAAGATATAATAAATCCTTTAAATGGGCTAAAACTCAAATTTCTACAATCTTAATTTATGAATGAATATACTTTCAAGAGGCTCAAGGAGATACAAGATCAGCCCTTTTATCTGAACCAATTTCCTTTTCCCTCTCCTTATAAATATATTGTCAAAAAAAAAAAAAAAAACAAAAAATTTGTTAGCCTCTTTTCATCTATCCGTTAGCTGGCATTGGTGTTAACCAATCTTTTATTTCAAAAAATTTGCAGTTACATACATATATATTTAGCTCAACCCAACTCAACTTAAATTGCAATCAGATTTCCGTCATAACGATGAATTAGTCCTTGTCAGACTACAGCTACATCTATATTTCAATCCACCATTTTGTTTTTCTGGTAAAGTTTGGATTCAAATGTCCCATATCATCTCAAGCCCATCAAGAACTTTAAAACGCTAACAGGAAAGAAGATTTTATAAATAAAATTTAAATTTAATAATCGGATGATAAACGTATCATGAATCTGACCTACGCGAAGATTCATCAGTTTTGGTTCATATCTAAATCAATGCCTCAGGCCTTTCCCACAGACCTACAGATTCGAGCGGCTTTCTAACTATAAGAGTAGTTCAATTACTAACATATATATATATATACTGCATTAAAGACAGGTTTGATGTAGAGAGAGAGAGAGAGAGTACCTCAAATCATTTGTAGGAGAGAGAGAAGGAGAGTTGTTGCTTAGATCAGATGATCTGATAAATCCCTCGGATTAAATGGTGGAGGGAGGCGCAGTTTAGCCGACAACACGCGAGAGGCGCAGGTTAGCACGCACGTGCGAAAGGCAGAGATAAGAATGGGCCGTTTTGTCGTGCTGTACATTGATGCATTGAAGTGTGTAAAAAAAAATCCCCATTTGTCGAAACAGAATCAAAATCTCATTGGGATTCAAGAAAGTTACCCGACACGTGTACTTCAGTGGTGAAGTGTCATTGTAATTATGGGATAATGGGATGAGCCCATGTTGGTGACCCCTTTTTTAATCACCCGTTTTTGTTTTTTCTTGTCTTCACATTTTTGTTTTTTTTGGTAACCCATGCTTTAAGCCACCGTGGGTCAATATTCATGAATTTGAATCTCAATGCTGATGATTCTGATTAATATAAATTAATAATAATACAATAATAATACTTAGTTTTTTAATTTGTGTAATATATTAGTCATCGATGTTACATTTTTAATATAAATATATGATTTTTATATCGTTATTGTATTTTCAATGCATTCCTAGAGATAACCTAAAAATGGAATAAGCTCATTTCCTATAAAGAAACAAAAACCAAAGCAATAAACCAACATCACAAAGCTGAAAAAATAATTATTTTCCAAATAGATGGTATAGGAAAAGAATTAAAGAGGGCATCCCCTTGTCCTAGATAGAACCTATAAATGAAATAAGTCCATTTCCTATAAAGAACAAAAACCAAAGCAAAAAACCAACATCACAAAGCTGAAAAAATAATTCTTTTCCTAATAGATGGTATAGGAACCCAAAGTGTCAAAACATACACACTTGAAAAGGCAAAAAAGAAAACCAATAAGAAAGTAGAGTTTCCCTAATTAAAACAAGTAGTAGTATGTGGACACTGTGAAGATGCAAGAAAATATGGTTCTATATTAATGAAGGATTTTCTCACACTCCAAATAATCTTTCTTTTTCTCTAATTTCTATTTATAGAAGTTTACATTTGCCCTAAAACTTATATCTTGGCCGGCCATCAAACTTGGGCCCTTTTGGGCTGGGTCCTTCTTCAGGCCGTACTGGATAGGAAGTCCGCTCATAATGTTAGTGAACTTGGACCTGGGTATGTCATGATGACGCCCAGGGCTCAGGGGTTGGTCTATGCATGGCCTAATGGTCCAGATCATTTTCTGTCCTTTATCACTCACATATTATGTTGATTAACTGAAAATAATTTGTGGTACAAATTACCAAAGCTAGCAGAAATTGTCTGTTCTTGTAAAGTTGAATCATATATATAGTGATTATAAATTAAATTGTGGTAAAGTTGTTTTTTTTTATATTTAGGCTCCGTTTGTTTGCATGTAAAATATTTTTTAGAATTTTTTTATTTTATTTTTTGGTGTCTGATTGTCGTATATTTTTACGAAGAAAGAAAATATTAAAATCTAATAAAAATAATTTACCTATCAACTTTCGACAAGCTCGATCTCAATTTTGACTTAAACTTTTGCCAAATACCAAATATATATATATATATATATACCTAAAAAAAAATATACAGAACCTTAGAAAGCATAAAGGAAGAGTATAACAGACAAAGTTGCCTCTCATATGTCTTATTAGAGTACCACTCTGTATGGATCAACCTAAACCTTGGGCGCACTCACATTTTACGGGCTAAGCTGGGGCCTGGAGATGCCTAGATTGGGTCACTGGGGTGCTCTAAAATTTGGATATGGGCCAAACAATGTATATGTGAATCCTTAACAACGTGAAATAGATCTGAAAATAAGTAAAAATTGTCTTCTGAATGAATCTGATTTTGACTCCCTTACAAGATTCAAAATAGTTGGTGACAAAAAGCCACACTTAATGCCAAATTGATTAGGTAGGGTCAGTTATTCTCCACAGGACCATAGCACCGGGTTAATTTATCAACTCTTGCTTTAAGTCACACAATTCTTCTCAACAAGTATCGTTCTCATGCTTTGCGTGCGCTTTTATTCACATTGCCACCATTTGTGATTTAATTTCACCGCTTTGGCACTTTCGCTCTCGAATTTACTCTCGCTTCTACTTTATATGACTTAACTACTGCTTATTAGTGGGCTTAATTACCAAGTCCCTCCCAACTCATAACTTTCAGGTTATATATGTTAATGTTATGAAACTGCACAACCTTCAGGGTCTCAAATCGGTATATATATATAAAAATGTCTATGTATTTATAATTATATCGATATCATGTAGATTTTTTTATAGAAAACAAGAATAAATGTTACTACTATATTTAATGATGTTTGGGCGAATGTTGCACGGCAAAGATGCTGAGATCCGAATATGCTGACCTCTGCCTACTTTTTATAATTGTCCAATTTTTTGGGTAACGTGAATCAATATGTCTTAATCGTTTAATTTATACAAATCAAATATGTCATGCGGAGTAACATTAAACACAAGTAACGTGTTATAACTTACAACACTTGCACCAAGTACACGGCCAGGGAGTTTGTATTGTGTTGTGAATGTGATGTGAATCTCACAACGAAATGGAGCGGAATCGATTTTGAAATTCTTTGTGAGATTATATTGGTCATATCAAAGAACCTTTTTGTTATATTTTCTCAACTTTTAAAGTTTTTAGTATTATTTTTATTACCTTTTAATAATAAATAGTATGAAACAATCTTGCGGGGCAGTTTAGTTGGTCAGATCTTAAGTTTGTTCTCCCATTATTATCAATTTAAGTCTCAACAGAGTCAATAAACGCAAACTGGTCTGGACACGATTATAAAATAATAATAATAAGAAGAAATAAATAAATAAATAGTATGAAACTTGTCAAAATTATAAAAGGCCAAGGATTTTATGAGTCATATATTTATAAGTTTATACAAACTAGGTCGAATAACATTCGAACTCAATTAATTCAACAAGAAGCTTAAAAATTGGACTTACTATTTGTTTGTGACAGTCAAATTTTTAAATGGCCATGCTTAAGCTTAGATCAATGACTTGGAATATGCCATGATAGGAGTATAAAAAAAGAAATGTACCCACTGAAATATATAATCTCGAACTTTTCATTTCAAATAAAAAAAACAAAAAACAAAAATAAGTGGCTTCTGAGCAGTTGCTTGGTTTATTACAACTTTATTATACTGAGGACCGGTCTTTCGAGCTCGTTTCTGGCGGTATCGACTATCCGGGTAATAAAACATCCGCTCTCCCTCTCACACACAAACACACAAACACACATCTCTTGCTGCAGTATGGAAGAAGCAGCTGTTAAAGAAGAGAACCAAGTATTAAGAGTCTTAGAAGCTCTAAAACAAGCTTCGCACGAGTTACAGACCAACCCGAACCCCAACTCCGCCGATTCCAACTCGTCCGCCATTAAAGCTCTCCTCGAGCTCGAGACCGAGGCCGACAAAATCCTCTCCAACGACCCTTACCTCTCCACCCTCTCTCACCACCTCACAAACCTCAAATCCATACTCGACAAGCTTCAAAAATCTCGAGGCCTCAGATCGTTCCTCACTCGCCGAGTCACCACCCACGAGATCTCCCGAGTCGCCGGCTCCATCGAGTCGGAGATCCAGGACTGGATCGACCGCGAGAGCATTGAAAACCTGATACAAGCTTTGCATCATCAACAACCGTCGAACAAAGAGGAGACTTTGATTCATATAGTGGACCAGTTCGTGAAGAGACTCAAACAGGGGTTCAATCGAGAGCTACAAGATTTGATACTCAAATCGAAGGTGTTTTCGGAGCTTGAATCGGTTCTTTGTCACTCCAAATTCTCGGAAAGGGTCAGAGAAAGAACCGCTTTCGCCATAGCAGAGTTGATTAGATTCAACAAGGATGTGTTCGTGGGACAAGTGTTGATGGGTCAAACAATTCGAGCCCTAATTTCAATTGGGTCATTATCGTCGCTAAAAGTTCTCTCAACTCTGATTAAGTCTATCAAGAGTCCATTAGTGGATGAGATTGAATCGAATTGTGAAATACCCAAAATCATCAATTTCTTGAATGCAGAGGACCTGTCAATGCGGATAATGGGAATGGATTGCATTCTTGAAATTGGGTATTTCGGGAGAAAAGAAGCGATTGATGCTATGTTGAAGGCCGATTTGATCAAGAAATTGGTGGAATTGCAGAGATCAGAGGTGGGTGGGGACTTAATTGAGATGGGCAAGTTCGAGGATGAGAATGAGAAGATCAGAGGAATGAGTGAGGTGGGAGGGAGGAGAGAGAGCAAGGAGAGGAGGTTCTTGGAGAGCCACCCATTCGCGAGCTGCGTGGCGAGGTTTGCAGTGCAGCTGGAGGTAGGAGAAGGTTTGAGGCAGAGAGAGAAGAGAGCATTCAAGCAGGAGATATTGAAGAGAGTGAGAGAGGCCTCTGTTTCTGATGCTGAAGCTGCCACCATTGTTGCTGAGGTTTTGTGGGGTTCTTCACCTTAAAAAAGAAAAAAAGGGTTTGGAATATTCAAGGTAGAAAATTTTTGTACTTAATTTGCTTAGAGATTCTTGTTGTAAAATTGTTTTTGTGATTTTGAATGTACCTAGTGCTTGTATAGAAATTGTTCAATAAATTGGATTATATTTATTTAAGACACGAATATATCAATTCAATAAAATGTAAGATTGAAGTTGTATATAGGGAATGGTTGTTCCATATTTGTTGATTTTTTTTTTGGTTTTTGTGCTTTTGTATTGTGGGAGAGATTGGTAATGTTGAAGTGAACATGGTTCAAATTTGATTGGTGTCAACTAGAAAATGGTGAATGAAGATTAAGTTTTGTCAATTTGGAACAGGGTAAATTTGTTTCGACACCAATTGCTCTTAATTTTTGTCTAGTATCCTTTAGGAGACTCTGGAAACTGGAAGAGAGGTCGATCCAATAACCTCCAATTATTGCGTGTCGCTTGCTCCAGCTTTTAACTTCCCTAAAATAAATTAGTATTTTTTTTTTTTTTTTCCCCTTGAAGAGTAAATTAGTATTCTTCATTGTGTCAAATTATGTAACTTGTCAATTTGTCAAATTATGTAACTTGTCAATTTTTGTCATTACCACCGGTTGGGCAAGCATAGCTTGTATAACTTTTCCTCTCCGTTCATATATGTTAAAATCATAAAATTCTCTTTTATTATTAAAATCAATAAAAAAATAAATTAACAAAAACTCATGAAGACACTTTAAATGAATGGTGAAATATTAAATTAAAATTTAAAATTATTAATTTTTTCTATATTCATAACAGAAATCCCAATGGAGTGACAAAACAAAGTCCACAAAAGTCTGCAACTGTGCTTGCACCTCAAGGCAAACGTTTTCAAGCGAGCATGCCCTGAAACAACCTAGAAGCCTCGAGTGTAAGCGCCAAGCGGTGTGACGAGGCAGGGCAGGATGGGGATCCAAAAATTCATAAAGATTGACAGGTGGCTTAAATGTTGGACTCTACTTGGTTACGTAATTCATTTGTTGGTGTGCCCACGCTTTTTATACTCTAGAATTAGTGAGGGATGGGGACCTCCAATTTGGTTTTGGTAGACTGGGTATCAATCATCTCCATCACCCGATCTATCCTTATATCAATCTACCTATCAAAGTGTGTGATATATAATACATAACCCATAAAGCATTGATATGGACACGTTTAGATTGTGAACACAAGGTCATACCAGACTGACATAAAGCCTCGTTTGTTTCTTTGTTTGAAAAGGTAAAAATATTTTTTTTTATTTTTATTTTTTTAATGTTCGATCAAAGTTTACGTTAAAATTGAGCTCAAGTTCATCGGGCGGGGTATGTAAAATAATTTTTAAAAAATTAATGAATGAATTAAATTTTTTTTTTTCCCGACAATAAAAAAAATATTAAAAATTTTTTACATCCAAACAAATAAAGCCAAAACAAAAAATAGAAAAAGTAAATTACATATAAACCTTCTCTATTGTTTGAACAAATAGATCTTTCAATGCTTTGACATCTTACCTTATGAGATTTAGTGTGTGTTATACCACATTCCCTACCTTTTATTGTTTGTTTTCTAATAAATTTGTTAACTAAATTTTATAAAATGACAATTATACCCTTCTCTTGAATGAAAATTTTGTCATTTTCTTATATAAAAATTTGAAAATTTCTAACTTTTGACACTCAAATTCATCGATAATTAACCAACAACTTTAAGAGAGATCAATATAATAAACTCTCAACAATTTATTTATGTATAATTTGTTCAAACCTCAAGCGATGATGAATTTAATTTATCATAATTGAGTTTTAGCAGTATAGCTTCAAGAATGTTGTTTCCCAAACAAGAATTATGTAAAACAAAAGTATTTATATATATATAGGATTGTTCACTTGTGTGCAAATAATCTATGTACGAATTAAATCTTAATCGTTAGATATAAAATAATAAATTACCTTTTTAACTGCCTAATAGAATCTAACGATTAATACTTGAGGTGTGCATATATTTTCTTACACACCAGAAAATAAGTGAACAATTCTGTATATATATTTGGTGGTTGTGTTGTTAATATTAGTTTAATAATTACCAAAAAATTTTGATCCATAATTTTTGTGAGTCAAAATTATTGAAATAAATATTTAATATATGATATAAGTTGTATATAAATATATAAAAAGAATATAATTAAAAATGACTTCAAATAATTTAAAACAATAATAATAATAATAATAATAATAATAATAATAGTGAGTCAAAATTTTAAAATGAATAGCAAACAAAGATGGTAAAAATAAAATGTCTGAGTCTAGTGATGTGGTATCCCATATGCTGCCCGGTGCATACTTATAGGTGAGACCACGTGTGAAGCACCATGTGACACCTTTGTTAAGATTGAGAAAGAACAACTTCATGTTTGTACAATTGTACGAGTACAAGAAGAGAGAGAGAGAGATAAACAGGGAGAGCGCATTGTATTCTCATTTCCAATTGCTATGAGAAAGGGCTTTCAGGTGGCATGAAGTGGCCATGGAATCTTTGAATTCACTCAGACTCACATTTATATGCTTCCCAGTTCCCACAACAAACACGTCACTATTCAACAAGAACAAACCAACTCTCACTCTACATATAGAAACTAGAGAGAGAGAGAGAGAGCGAAAGAGGGCTTTGTTTCAGATTACTGGCATTGTCTTCATCTTTTACTACTTTGAATATCGATGCGTTGGAGATATAATAGAGGGCTTTCTTTTACAGTCATTGTTCTCGTTATGTGGGTCACCTATGCAGAAATCACTCGGGTAATTTCCAATAATCCCTCTCTTTCTTTGATTATTTTTAGGTATTTTTATACACATTTGTGCTTAGGCAAAGTGTTACATTATATAGACTGGTGCCAATTTGAGAGAATTATCACTTGTCTCCCTGTTTTGCATGTCACGTGTTAATTATATTATTATTATCTACTACCCTTCATTTTTCTGGGTAAAATTAATCGTGTTTGACAGAATCTCCACAATAAATTAATAATTTTTGTTCTCTTTGTTAGGTAATCTTCAATTTACAGAAATTATGGCTTTTGAGTCTTCGAAATTTGCCTGCATTCACAATAGTGTTTGATGCAAATTTGAAGAATTGAACCATTGATGTAAATAACTAAGGTAGCCTTATTCACTATCCAAATTTATATGCAACCACTCCGTCCGATCATCGAATTATTTCTTGACAAACTTGGGCAGTTTTTTTCAATAATACTTTCTTTGTATTTGTGATGTTACCACTAGTGATTGTCTAATCATCATGTAAGTTGATTTTTATTTACCTAAACTTACTTTATAAATTAATTTTTTTGTTACTGTTCTGTAAATATTGGGATTGCCACTATTCCCTACTTGGAGGGTGTGGTAGGTGTATTTATTATTGTTTCATGAAAGCTTCCGATTGCCACTATTCCCCACTGGGAGGGTATGGTAGGCAGGGACGGATCTACTGTGGGCAAAGTGTCCCAGTGAATTTTTTTTGTTATTGCATTTTATATCTCTAAATTTGTATTTTTTTTTTTTTTTGCATTTATATTCATAAAATTTTGAAATTGCCCCCACTGAAATTATGAAAAAATTTGCTTTTGGTCCTCACCTAGTTAATGCATTTGTTTTTATAATTTTTGTCTGCTACATTAAAATTGGTTTCATTGCCCTGTACCAAGGAGGAATGTATTGGTATTGATTGATATCAAATGTTAATTGTTGAATCAACTTTGTCTTAGGCCATTTTATTCTATTAAATATTTTATACAAAAATCTTAAGAGTCTCCTAGATTTCAATTGTTAAGCGAATCGGAAGCAGGATTGCGACGTAATGTTGAATGTGGTATGTATAATTGTAATACTTGTGATGCTATACCTTGGTGTTAAAGGTGAAATCTGGGACCAATGGCTTTTCTTAGAAGCAACTTTCTGTGAGCTACGTAAATCATCACAAAACTCGATCAAATCAACTTGTTCAAGGGTTGAGTTTAGAAGTTGTCTTTACTAGATCAAATCCACTATAGAAGTTTCAGTTTTATGCACTTGTGATATCCTCTGCAATGTCATCAATCTATAGCAAATTCATGAATTGTGGTGGATTTCTTGTGTCAAATATTAAGTGGAAGACTCTTTATTCGTAGGTAAAGCAGTAAATGTTCTTACTTGGCTTCTAAATTATGTAATTGAATTCTTGTTTTGACCTGTATGTGTAATATTATGAGAATTAGAAATACTTTTATAAGAGGAGTGTTTACCTGGCTTATGTTTGTCCGTAGGGTATTTGCGAAGAGTACAAACATCCATTTATAATGGCATATCTCGGAACCTCTCTTTTGGTACTTTATCTTCCTGTAGCATCAATTACGAGTTGGTTATATCTTCTGCTGAGGTATCTATCTTGTAGAATTAGTGACAGAACATAAACTATTATTTAGTCCTCTGTTGGACTTGAGGCTCCTTTTAAACTTGACGGGGTGCAGTGAGTTTTTGAAATAGAACATAGAGGATCCTTCAGTGGAAACGGAAACGGTGCGGACCTTAAATCTCAGGAGGAGGGAACAGCATTAGACTCTAAACAAATAAGTGATGTTGATGTGCTGAAACATGACAGAAAGCTTACCACTAAGGGAACTGCTACACTAGGCCTTTTTGTTGCCCCCATTTGGTTTCTGACAGTGGTGATACACTAGTTTGTTATTTCTGTAATAATTTCTTTGACGTAAGCTTGGATGTAAATCATCAGACTTATCTGAGCATAGCACATTTCACAATTCTGAACGGATACCGAGTGTGATAAATCTGTGAAAACACGTTATTCTTTCCAAATATTTTTGTCCATCTGCATTTTTGCTTTTTCTTACCACAAATTTATGCCAAAGTTAAGCGCTACTCTCAAGCCCCAACCTTTTAAAGGTTTTTGAATGATGTCAAATAGTCTATCTATGACATCATCGATATTCACCTCCCATTGTCATCGAATGAACTGGTTTTTAAGGAACATAGCTAACTAACATGCAAAAATATATATTTTATTTCGTTCATTTTATTCTTTCACAGAATATACAATTGTGTTTGAATTTTGTGAGTATTCATTATGGTTCTCTTTGTTGTCTACAGTATTTCACTAATGCTGCACTTGCACGAACAAACGTTGCCAGTACAACAGTATTGTTCTCAACTTAGGACTTTTTACTCTTTTCATTGGTGCAGCTCTGGGCCACTCAATCAATGCAGCAAAAGTAGTTTCTGTGGTAATCAGCATGGCTGGTGTTGCCATGACAACGCTTGGGAAGACTTGGTCTACAGATGGATCTCAACTAAGCAAATCAACGTAGGTTTGTTTTCCTCTTTTCAGAAAAATGATTATTGATTTTGATCTTTCTTATGAGCTTGATCTTTATGGTTCCATATATTCAGAGCTTTAACTGGTGATTATATTTTGTGTACAGAAATGGGAAGCATTCACTTGTGGGGGATCTTTTTGCTATTCTCTCAGCTCTAACTTGTGTTTACTGGTTCATCTTTTTTTTCCCCCTTGTTCAAATAGTTTGTAGTTCTTATCTCGATGGATCATGGTGATAATATTTCATTTCGAAATTACAAATTGTAGTGCTTCTTAAGAAGTTTACTGGAGAAGGAGGAGAAAAGGTGGACATGCAAAAGTTATATGGATATATTGGATTATTCTCTCTTGTTGCCCTTTGGTGGCTCAGTAAGTGTAACATGCCCTTAAAATTTCCAAACTCCTTGTGAAGCTACTTTTGGTATAGTCCTTTTGTAATTGTTGCATAATGCTTCAGTTCTCTATATGAAACGCATTATGTTCAAATTTTTACTGGTCTTTACCATGGTTATTGCAGCCTTATTCTCCATTTTGTGATTGTTGAATCCTTATTCTATTTTGAATTTTATGATTTTAATATATCTTGCATCTTTCATTTTTAACGCCCACCCCAAAACAGAGATAGCTTGGTTGGTTGACTTTTCTGTTCAATTTAAATCTAGGACCGTTATTGTGTTTTAACGAGTGATATTCATAATAAGAAGTAAGGAGCCTTGCAAAATAAATTATATACGGTGTTTCATAGAAATGGACAGCTTATGGCATATATGTCCCTTTGTAAAGCTTGAAAATAATATATATATATATATATATCTTGAAATGGCATGGGCAAGGCAATTAATTTACAGCTGGTACTTTTTAGGTTCATCCTTCCATGGATATGTTATCAACTCTCTGCATTCTGAATTGTAAATTATGGCTGTTTTTATGGCCTTTTCCTTCCATACTGACATCAATTATGCAACACTCATGAAGTAGCTCTCCACTTCCACTCTGCCACTAATTCTAAATAGCCTTTTGACTTTTGCTTGACACATAGGAATGCTCACTCATTTTAGAGGCCTCGGGGACACATTTGCCCTTCATCTTTTGTGGCAAGTTAGCTCTACCTTTGATATACTCCACACACATGATTACAATGTGAATTCTAACATTAATCTATGTTGTTAGGGAAAAGATAAGCTTTCGCTCTGTGTGATTGTTTGCATTGCCATCAAATTGAAAGAAGATCCTGATAAAGAACAATTCAGTAGATATGCCAGCAAATTGAAATATATATATATATAATATTTGTAATAGAGTAATTCTCTTTGAATTAAATTACAAATAAGGGGCATTTTTACTGAGGCGATGAAGCTGCTTTCAAGTTCAGGATTGAGATTCTTGTCTCAGTAATTACAATTAAGAAAATGCGAATGCCAAAGAGTTGTGCCACACCCTGAACACCGGCTCTGCAATGTTATCATTGGAGTGAACAAAATAAACTTAAACGAAGGAGTCAAGGTGTAAATGACGATTGAATATATTTTCTAATCTTTATGAGAGATACTGGCTTGGTTGATACACTTCTCGATTTTAGGCCTAGGTGCTTAATGCATATATTAGGTTTTGATAATGTGGCGGATTATGTGCCTGTGATATCTGTCCTAATTTAATCAGTAAGGAATTTAGGTTGCAGTGAGTAAAGTGCGATAAAATGAGGATTACTGCAAGCTTGTTAACATTCAGATTAAGATAGCAATTAGTATTCCTGTATAGCGTGCTCTTTTTTCTTTCTTCTTCTTAGAATTCCTTGCATCTGGTGGTTCTAACAGTTGTTTAAATGCACCTAATATCTGCCTTCCAGTATGGCCTCACCTCTGACTGCCATGGGTATTGAACCCGAATTTACAATCCCTCACTCGGCTAAAATGGAAGGTATTCTTTTTGCGAACTGCTTTGTTGGAAGTTTCCTCTGTGATTATTTCTGGTGATGTTTGAAGAAAAACTCTTGTTGCCTTTTTGTTTAGCTCATCTAAATTTTCATATTCTTCTGATCCAGAGTTTCTCATACTTGCAGGGCGTTAGGCGTCGTCTGGACCACCCCACTGGTGGCAGCATTAGGTGTGTCACTCACCATACCGCTTGCCATGTTGGCAGACATGGTGGTCCATGGCCAGCACTATTCAGCCATTTATATCATTGGCTCAGCTCAGGTACGTAAATGACTAGTAAAACCGATTGTTTATGTGGATTAATGGAAGGCCTTCCTTCAGTCACTCATTGATATTAAGATTTTAAGACATTAAAAACCTAACTACACTTCTTTTATGGAGCAATAATAGCATTGAAGAAGAAAACACACTTTTTTTTGCTAGTTATGCATGCCATTTATTGGTTGAGTGGTGATATTTTTGCAGGTTTTTGTGGGGTTTGTCATGGTTAACTTCTCGAATTGGTTCTCGCAAAAGCTAAAGTTGCTACCATTTATCAATTAATTAAGATAAATCTTTATACCGTTGTTCTTCCTTTGGATTTTTATATACTGACATGTTAGTGTAAAATAGACTACTTGTGAGTTTTGCCTTCAAAAGTAAAACAACTGTATTGTGAACGTCGTCGACGATGGCTGAAGGGGAAAAAATATAGGGTCTGCTTGATTTGTAACTCTGAAAACAATTCTTAATACTTTAGAAAACAGAAAATAATTTTCAAAGAACTTAAAACAGGCTTTTTTATAATTGAGTTTTCATAAAACAGTTTTAAGAAAATTGAACCAAGCAGAATTTTTTTCTGTTTTCAGAGTAACAAACCAAGCAGACCCATAGTTTTCCCTTACCTGACTTGGTTTCTTTAAGGCTTTTTAAGCCTTTCGTTTCACAAAGATGTGATCAAACTGGAATGGTGCTGCATGATTTCATCATAGTGTAGGTGACCTTAAATACTAGTATATAGTTTGAGTAATAATTAAGTCAAGTTTAGATAAACCTCCTCCCTGTTGGTGTTAACAGTTTGCTGGGTCCTTCAAGCATGAAATTGGCATTACAATCTTATAAATCTAGATGTTCTAAATCTAAAAATCCCAAGGGATCTGAGGCCACAACTAATATAGAAAAAAATTAAATTCCCTGTGTTATATTCGGCTGCATGCATGGAATTGGAGAAGTTCAATTTTATGTAATGTTTAATCAAAAATTTTCTTTAATTTTATCAATTTTAATTATAATTCTAATGCTCCAATTCTATGCAGTGATGTAGGTATTTTGCAATCTTTTTGTTATTTCAGTTCCAAACAAAGTCTAGGGAAACAATGCCTTGCAAATATATTATGGACCAAAACCCAACCTGGACAGCCCATGAGTATATGTCGTCATATTATAAAAAAAAACATTTTTAATCATTCTTTTGTAGCTCACAAACAATAATAATTTATATGTTAGTGTAACATGCTATAGTCGTTGTGTGGATGCACATAGATAGGTAGGAGAGTCCAATGCCGTGTTTTGTCCTCATACGCTAATTTTCACAATAGCAGCAAAGATAGTACAATATAGTTGAAGAAAAAACACAAACCATCACTCATCTTCTTCTTATTATTATTATGTGTTGAAACATATTTTTACTAATGCGATCTTATGATGCGAAAAGGAAAAAGAGTCATACGTTCAAAGGAAGTCCATTTGTCGAATGTTCCATGCCATGGGACCCACTGTCTCAACTCTCAATTAATAACCAATCACACCATGTTACTCCTCCTTGTGGGTTCCACAGTAGGACTTGAGGTTGTATATATCATAGAATTTGGTGTCAACAAATTCTTTGGAGGCCCCACCTTCTACTAATACAATTTTACAAAATGAAAATCGTTTGATGAATTGTCAATGAAAAAAAAAAAAAAAAAGTGCAGGTAAGCAACTTAACAAAAGTCTCTTCTTTTACATCTGTCAATGAAAAAAAAAAAAAAGTGCAGTAGAGCAACTTAACAAAGTCTTTTCTTTAGGATATGTTTGGATAAATAGGGGAGAAAAGAAAAGAAATGATAGTATTAATTAGGAGAGAAAAGAAATGAAATGATAGTAATAATTTATATTCGTGTTTGGATAGATAGGGGATAAAAAAAAAGAAATGATAGTTATTCTCGTTTGGATAAGATAGATGAGAGAAAAGAAAAGAAAGGATAGTAATTGAATTACCGTCCTACCCTTTCATTACCACTTCATACATTATCCATTTCCAAAATCTTGTTTCTTTTTTATAGTTCAATGCAATAGGTAAAAACAAGAGTAAAAAATAAAAATAATACATTAAACAATAAAATCACAATTATAGTACCTCATCGTTGCCTATCTTTATACACCTCTGTTTTATTGTGGTTTCATCTGCAACTCCAAGCTCTTTAAGCAAGGTTAAGACAGTCATAGTAGACAAGGGCAATACTTGAAAGTCATCAGTTTTCATGAAACAAGAGGTGTCTCACAAAAACCTCTCCAACTGGAGGAACGGAGTTACTATTTTCCAGTTTCACCATATATTTTATGGGGCTTCCACAACGGCAATGAGTAGTTGGGTAAAAGGAAACAAAGTGCATTACGTTCTCCCACATCGGCATCCACAGTACTCATTATTACTAGTAGTACTGTTAAGAAAATTTAGTTTTAGGTTTATGCAATAATTGGAACATAAATGAAATTACTTTTTAGCATGTTGATTTATAAAGGGTATTTTTGGTATCAGCAATTTACAACTTACTCGCACTGTCCTTTCTCTCCCTATCTTCTCAAATTGGGAGAGAAAACATATAAGGGATAGAGAGGGATACTCTCCCTATCCTCTCTTTTCTCTCTAATTTATCCATCTAAACACACTCTCACATTATCCTTTCTTTTCTTTTCTCTTCCTATCCCTCCAAATCAACCCTACCAAACACACCCTTAGAGTCCCACCTTCTACTAATACAATTTTACAAAATGAAAATCGTTTGATGAATTGTCAATGAAAAAAAAAAAAAAAAAAAGTTGAGTTGAGTAACTTAACAAAAGTCTCTTCTTTTACATCTGTCAATGAAAAAACACAAAAGAAAAAAAGTGCAGTAAAGCAACTTAACAAAGTCTCTTCTTTTACATCTGCAATGTTATCAATTCGAAGTCTTTTGGAATCACCTTTAATGAATTATCATGATAATTATTCAGTGCGTGTATACATATATTTGTCAGTAATTGGATATATTAGTGGGTATTCTAAAAAAAAAAAAAAATCAATATCACTACCACAGTCAAAAAAAAAAAAAAAAAAAAAAAAAAAAGGGTAAAAAATGATAATAGTAATAAAAAAAGTATAAATAAAAAAAAATTGTGGTCTCAACGGTTAAGGTCAAAACACGGAGAAAATTAGAAATAAAAGTCAACATTTGTAAATATAGTAGGACCCACTCAAAAGCTGTGGGACAAAAGAAAGACAGATTTTCACACTGACCCTGAAGAGGCCTAATCAAATTTTTGTTCTGTGTTTTAGTAGTACTCCGTACTACGAGTCTCGGGTTCGGTTTTGAAGTTCTTTTCACTTCATTTACTTTTTCTTTTTGTTTTCTATTTTAAATTGACAATGCAAAATTTATTTTTTTTTTTCTCACAAGTACACTTATAGAATTGTAATTTTTTATTTTTATATAATTAATTGATGTTAGCATTGCGTGATCCATGACGCAACCTTCTATAAACTCCTCTGATTTTTTAAATTTAAATAAGCCATATCTGCTTTGTCAATTACAGATTTTATTGTTATAATAACCATTTTTTAACCTTTTCTTTTGTAGAAATGGAGGAAATTATTAGTTTGTCTTAAATATAAAGTGAGGACATATGTTCAAACTTCAAATATAAATTTGTAGAAGTGCGAGTGACATATTATTTACAAAACAATTTCTCAGTGGAAAAAGAGAGAAAAAAGAAAAGAAAAGAAAAGAAAAGAAATTGTATTTGTGATTTTCTAGCTCTTTCAAATTTGGATAGGACTTGGGTTGCTCAACACATCAACCAAGCCTAATGGAATTGAGAATAGGTTAAAGAATTTTTAATTTAAGTCAAATCGGAACAACTTTAGTTAAGATTTGCGAAAGATGGTGCAATTAACAAGAGAGAATGTGCATGCATGGAGCCCAGAACATTGTGGACGTAGTACTGCTTTTGTGATATTACAGCATTTATATATTATAGTAAATAAACCCTTTACTGACATTATATATAGATATATGTGTGTGTGTGTGTGTCTGAGAGAAAGTTTGGCATATTTGACAATTATGTAATATCACAACATAGATTTACATATATGTAAGAAAGTTTGGCCTGAATGTTCCTACATACTCATATTTTTTAATACTCATTTGCAAACATTTTCATTCAGGTACGCGGTAATTTGGAGCATGGCACAAACAATCTGATAGGACTATGAGAAACGCGTATTTGATTTGGATACTCAGCTCGTTGTTTTTATATTCTTGAAATTAATGGCCCAATGCAATTATGCAAGGCGAAGATGTTTGTGGCATTTCCATTCATATCTTCTATATATATATATATGTATATGTATATGTATATGTGTACGTGTGTGTGTGGGGGGAGTAGCAGCTTTGTAGGACTATGTAGCTAAAACTCTTGAGTGCATGTCAACGGGATAATATAATAAAGACTAGTCCTAATCCATTGTAAAGGAGTCCAATGTTCACACATATATGCATGAAATTTGTCAATGTTTCATTGGACAACTATCAATCCAAAGATGTTAATACTCCGTTTCGGTTCATCTTCGCCGCACAAAAATTGGTAAAAAAAAAAATCTAATAAATTTCATAAATTTACGTAATTGTTTAAATTCCACTTACCGGCATCATTAAGATTCTGCCTCTAATACCACTTAGTTTTCATGAAGTTGTGATTTATATAACAGATTTTTTTTTGTTGTCGTTAACATAATTTACTAATATCTGTAACAAAAAAATGAATAAAATATTAATTTTGCCTTTCTAAATTCTAATGTTTGAAATGACAATAAACTTTTCATGGATAAAACAGTAAATAATATAATGTTATTAACTGTCACTAACATGGAAGGTAAGTTTGATCGTGATACTCTAAAAAAGAATTTATGTGGAATATTTTCCACAAAGATTAAATTTACTCTAAAGAATTTATATATTAAATTTACAATATCTCTAGCTAACAGCTATTATTACTAAATTGTTGTTAACAGTGTAACAGAATAATTAAGGTAATGAGTTTAGACTTTATTGTAAGATCCATCGCCCCAATAATTAAAATTAAAACAGAGACCGCATATAAAAAGGGCATGTTAGGGAATTTAAATATTTTGTATTTTGTTGAAATATATAACAATATATAGGACAAAGCACTGAAGCAGCTTCGTAGGACTTGTCCAAAGGAAGGAATGTGAACGGAGGAGGAAAATGACTAAAGGAGTCCCAATGGTTCACATGTTAATGTATGGTGCTTGTCATTGTCATTTTTTCAAACACCCACTGTCCCTGTGTTCATACTCCTTACTCGGTTTTGATACTTTGCACCCTCAGATTATGAAACATGTTACTATAATATTTTATGTTCTTCTTTCTGCTACAAAACAAAGGTAGTATGAACACCATAACCATGTCAAAAGTTGGCTTCCATGAATCATGCATAACAAATTATGGTGAAGCCCGATTCATATATACAAAAAAAAAAAAAAAAAAAAAAAAAAAAAAGAAGGTTGGAAAATTAGTTGAAATTTTCAGAATATTTGACAAAATTCAAAAACTAACACTTCCAAAATTATTCAAAAAGATATTACGCTATTTAGTACATTAGAAAAATTGCAGAGTTCAAAAGCAATGAGAATTCATAGTTAAGTTTGCAAGTAGTTACTTATAATTTTGCCAAATTTAATTAGTGAGTGTATGAAAAAAACCTATGAAAAATATTTTAAAAGTTAAAGAATTGATTTTCAAGACAAATTCAGAATATACTTGGGTATTCACCAAAAATTCTAAGTCCAAAACCTTGAACACGTTACAGGTACACATAGTGGGGTCCGGGTCCAAAAATATATAGACAAATTATATATATATATATATATATATATATATGTGGATGAAATGATAGTGAAGTCAATATTGTGAACGTGTGGGGTCAGGTAAGGTCACAAAATTTTCGAAGAAGATGATTTCAGGCATGACGCTGAAGAGTCACAATCAAATTTTGTGTGTTCGTTTGTTTTTTTATTTCACTGCGTTTGCTTTTGCTTTTTCTTTTTATTATCCATTTCAAGTTGACAAAGTAGTAGCATAATGGAACGGTTATAATTCCATCACTCTGACTCAAATTGAAACTTCTTTAATTAATTAATAAACTGAGTATACAACTGATAAAACAGGATAAATTCAATGCTTCCCTAGTAATTTTCCCAATTTGATCTTTCTCTCTTACAGATAACGACGATTGAGTAGCATTACTATATATATATATATATATATGATCTTTCTCTCTTACAGATAACGACGATTGAGTAGCATTACTATATATTTATATATGCGGGGTAATGGCTTAATATTTTTTTCCCCAAAAATGTCACAAATCCACTAATTATTAATTGCATTCAATAAATGGAGTATTATAATTAATGAGATCAATATATTAATTGTTTTTTTTTTTTTTTTTTTTTTTAAGGGAAGTGAGAAGTGAGAGTTCAAATGTCATGATCAAATAAATATTTAGCTCATAATTTAACATGAGCATTTATCTCCAAAAATGAAAGAAAAGTGAGCATTTAGTTGTGCTGCACTTTAATTCCAATATTAACTTGGTGCACTCATAAAATGAAATGTTATTTATATCATTGAATTATTAGTTCAGCGGATATAACTTCTTCTTCTTTTATTTTTTTTGTGAGAAAATATATATATATTTCTCGTTGTATTGTATAATTTTTCCTCGAGACAAGATATTCGCACTCATAGTGTGAGTATTTGCAGATGTGAATGTGAGTATTTATCTAATAAAAAAGAATAAAAGTAGAAAGAAATAAAATATTATGCTTAAAAAAAGGAAAGAAAAATAAATGAAATTTTATGATAAATTAGTAATCCATATTAATATATAATTAAAAGTTGGTTACGTGAAGGAGAGTACAGGTGCATGAGAGCGTCAACAGCAGATGGGAGCCATCAAAATCTGGTGGGTCATGAGGGACTGTGCTGCTATCCAACTGATCCTATAAAAAGGAGAGAGACCAAAGATACCTCACAAAATCATTCTAATTCTTATTGTTAAGCTCTCTCTTTTTGCTCTCTCTCTCTCTCTCTCTCTCTTATCCGTGCAAAGCTTTTGTGCTTAGAAAAAGAAGTGCCCATTCATATCCTTAATTAATTGTCGTCACTTTTGAGTTAGCCAATTAACAAGAGAGAGAAAGAAAGAATGAGTTTGAGGTATAATGCTGGATTGTTCTTCATAGTCACTGTAGTCATTATGTGGGTCTCCTCTGCAGAGGTCACTCAGGTATGTCAAATACTAAAATTTAAATTTCTATATATATATATTTGTTTATATAATATACATATACATATGTATATATAAACACATACTCATTTAGTGATATTTAGATTGTTATTTGTAGTTTATATAGACAGTAGAAATTCATATTAATTATTGTTACCAAGCAAATTGTGAGAGCTTTCTTTCCTTAATTATTTTGGTGGAGAAAGAGAATGGTTGGGGGAGGTACAAAACTACTGTAAAAAACACTGATATTTAAGTAGAAGGTCGATTGGTGGCGTGCAATTTCAGGGAAGTAGACATATTTAAGATTTCATGTGAACTTCTCAGCTCTTACATGACAATAATGGATGTCGGTGGCCTTCTATATATATTAGTTTCTTAATTTTATATTAATTATAACTTGAGAGTTCTTTTATTTCCATGTGCTTTTAGCATAATTCATCATAATAAACCTCAAAATCAAGCAGATTAAAGAAGACATTAGTTTAATCTCCGGGTTTTGAATTTTTTTCCTTACCATCTTTAAATATATATGTGTTTTTGTGCATGTGTATCAAATTCCTTTTCTTTTAAACACCAGGCCATTTTATGTCCGCCGAGAGCCATCTATACATGGTTGTTCTGCAGACAACAGAACATGGAATTACTTTAACATTGAGTTGGTAGTACCATAAAATCCACGTTTTGGAATTGAAATTGAAGACCATATGAGTTGAAATTTTAAACTATGCTGTCATGGATTACAACGATTTAGTATTTTATGCATCCACCAATACATGTTCACATCCATTCCACCACATTTTATTCTTCCTACACAGAAAAATATTTCCATAATATTTGCCATAAGAATAATATTTCCATAATATTTATAAGCTGTAGAATAATTAATATAATTAAAAAAATTCAACGTGTTCCTTGGATAACCCCATCTGCAAAGTAGTATACTAATGCTTGAGCTATTACCTAAATAATATTTGTTCACCAGGGTATTTTCATGGACTATGAGCACCCATTCGCGGTAACATTTATTGGAACCTCACTTTTGGCAGTTTATCTCCCAATAGCGCTCATAAAAGACTTGATATACAAAATTTTGGGACACATCTCCAGTAGTAGCAGCAACGAAAATGAAGAAATCATGGACAAGAGCGTCGCACGACTAGACGTTCCCGGAAAATGTAAATCAGTAGTGAACATTTTTGAGATAGAACAAGGAACTTTGGGTACAAAAGACAGTGGCAAAGACTTTCGTACTTTGGAAGAGGGAATGCTATTAATTGGGAAAGATGTGGAAGCTCATGAAGAGGGAATGCTATTAGTTTCGAAATGCAAGGACCAAATGGACACATTGAAACAAGACAGACAACTCACTGCTTGCCAAATTGCTGCATTTGGCTTTTTCCTTGCCCCTATCTGGTTCATATCAGAGGTCAGAGACACAAACTAGTAATTTCATGCCTTCAAACTAGTAAATTTATATTATCAAATGTGGTTACAATTTGGGATTTTACATTATTTTTGTGCAGAAACAGAGATGAATTGAAGTAATCATTATGCCTTCTTTTGCTTTCTACAGTATTTAGCTCACGCTGCGTTAGCGCGAACAAGTGTTACCACAACAACAGTGCTCTTCTCTACAACTGGAGCTTTCACACTTTTCATTGGTACATTCCTGGGACAAGACAGTGTAGATATAGTGAAAGTCATTTCTGTTTGTTTCACCTTGACTGGTGTCGCAATGACAACTTTAGGGAAGAGTTGGGCAACAGATAAATCAACATCAAACATATCTGTGTACGTTTGTTTTCCATATCTTTTGCAAATTTGGTTAAATCATACGTACCATTGACATGTTAATTTTTTTGTAACATGTAGGTATGTTTGACGTTAATTCTGATTAATAAATATGCTAGTTTTTGAAAGAAAAAAAAAAATAAGAGGAAAAGGAGTCTCAAATGGATGTCGTTTCAGTTATGAATGAACTAAAAGAACATATCTAGTTTGCTGTTTAGAACTAATTTAAGATAAATAGAACACACACTGAATATGTGAAATGTAATGCTATATATAATTTAAGACAAGATGGTTAAAAAAATGAGTAATAGTGACATGCATATTGTGTGATCAATCGACATATACCTTTGAAATAGAAATGTAAATTTTATAAAAACAATTAATGGATGCAGAACATACTCTTGGACAATTAGGAAACAATGTCATCATTAAATGAGTGTGTCCAAAGTAGATTGAACTCTCCAACTGCATGTTATTAGAGCAGCAACTTATTTTTGATGTTTTTGGATTCAGAAATTGGACGAATTCTCTCGTGGGTTGTCTTTTTGGTCTTCTTTCAGCTATGGCCGACGGACTATTTACTGGTAAAAATTCTATTTTTTTTTGTTAATTTACAGAGTATTTATCTAATGTTTTTAGAAGGATTATCAGAATAATAATCATTGTGGGAATGACTATACTACCACAGTGCTGCTCAAGAAGTTTGTTGATGAAGAAGGTGAAAACGTTGATATGCAAAAGATATTTGGCTATATTGGGGTGTTCTCATTTGTTGCCCTTTGGTGGCTTGGTAAGTAGAAACTATTGAATCTACACACACACACACACATATATATATATGCGTATGTGAATCTACAATATTCTACATACACCCCAAGCACACAATCCTTGGTATTGTTGGGTTTCTATATAACATCCCTTTAAATCATCTTTTTCAGTGTGGCCTCTAACTGCACTGGGTATTGAACCAAAGTTTAAATTCCCAAACGCTACTCAATTAGAAGAAGTGATGGCCAACAGTTTTTTTGGAAATGTTCTCTCTGACTATTTCTGGTATGTCATTAGAAAAAGTTTCTCAAATTCTTTTTAAGCATCAAATTTGTGTTTGTGTTGTAATTGAAGTTGATCACACTTTCAGGGCACTGGGTGTTGTGTGGACCACTCCACTGGTGGCGGCCATAGGTCAGTCGCTCACGATACCACTGGCCATGTTAGCAGACATGATCATCCATAAACAGCAGTACTCGTTGGTATATATTCTTGGCTCGTCTCAGGTATTCCTAGGATTTGTCATAGCAAATCTTTCGGATTCGCTCTCACCAAAATCCTTGTCCTGTTTTTGGAATTCACTCACACAAATTTTGCGATCAATTTTCATACAAGAGGCCATTCTTTCTGTGGCTCAATGATGATGGTAGGTAGTAGCTAGGGAGGGACTAGTAGTGCATATGGTTTTTTGATTTAATTATTTATATATATATATATAGGCAGGCATTGGGATACATCGAGATGTTATTTATGTAGAAAACAGAGTGGCAGGGCTGTGAGTTGTGGCTTCATCCATATCCCATTGATTTTGCACTAGATTTAAATACATGCATCTATTTTTCATTTGAGTACTGCTTAAATTTGTGCCATTTTTCAAATGCATTACGTAAGCAATCAGATGAACTATTTATGGATTAAACAACTACTTCATGAGATGATTCCAAAGGAAAACCAATTAGTCCAGTGGCTTCCCTCCGTCCAGATTTTCAAATCGTATTATTTTCATCATGTCCTGTTTCTATCAAGGAAACCCAATACCAAAGACTATACCGTCCATATGAACAAAAACATGGAGAAAAGAGAAAAAGTAAAATGACTCTAGAATGCAACACACACTCAGTAACCAAAAACATGTCATATTATTTACATCATAGAATCACACACCAATATTTGGTACCCTTTTGCCACACCTTCAAACTCTACACATTACACAATTGTCTGATAAGATCTACGTGCTAGCCAAAAGGAACCATCATCTGTAGATCTGGTGCATGCTTGATTGTTTGTAGACAAAAACCACACCAGACACGACAGAGATCGATGGGTTCAGCTGTCATTGCAACTCAAACAATACACTGCAAAATTGTGCTTATGCTTCGATATAAATCCACATCCACTATAATAATGTTCAAGGGTGTTACCACCAACCCCAATAGGGGCAAAGTGAGCCCTTGGACAAATAAATAAATAAAAATTGATAAGCAGTTTCAGGAGATCTTCAGATGATGAACATCAACTCCAAACAGTGATTAGTGAATAGAACGACCCACAGTCACTCTGTCAAACAATGAAATAGTTTGATGCTATACCCCAATTACCACAAATTATTCATCATGTATAGATGACATTTTGAAAATTTATATGGCACAAGTCCAACAAGAACTCCAGAAAAGAAGTAAAAATAGAAATCAGTGTATGTTTTGAAAATTTATATGGCACAAGTCCAACAAGAACTCCAGAAAAGAAGTAAAATAGAAATCAGTGTATGTTAAAGATAGCTCTCGAATCAGATTCAAACATTGTCGTGCTATGTATGAGATTAGCACAGCAGTAAACTACAACTCCAAGCATTGCAAGTTTGAGGATCCACAAGAAAACAGAATCTACCCACTTACAATACTAGAATGAGCAGAAAAAAAAAAAAAAAAATGAATCAAATTCAAATGATTTTCTTTTAAGGTTTTTATACCTTTAAGCTATATTTTTTTTCCCGAACGCAGGAGACGGCCCAAAATATTGACGCTCAATGCTCCGAGTGAGATTAGTGAATTGCCTATCATGTATGTACTCAGGAAGCAGGAGGGCTGCTTAGTCAGCAACTCAGTAACGCCGCTGACTTCTTTGACATGCGGCTATCTTACCCACAACTGCCAATGGATAGTTTAAACTTGTCCTTCCTTCGCAACTGATTAATCCACCAACCCTTTTTATGTCAACAGATCACGAGGGAGCTGTTTTTTCACTTGCCTTGTAATAAAGCATCTTCTGCACGTAGAACATCATATATCCTTGAGCAGCCCTCACGATGTTCTCATTCACTCGAGTAATCCAAGCATCATCACACTTGTACCATTGATTACTTAAACGTAAATAGGTCACATAATGGCCAGCATCTAGTTTACCAGTGTGAGTGATGACAGCAAACAACTCAAACTCTGAAGATAACTCATTTGAAGCATCTGAATCATCCCCATCAAAAGAAAAGATTCTGTTTCCAAATCGACTTCTCAAGATTGATGAAGAGAGATAAGGTGCCATGTCCAAGGAAAATGGGAACTGCAAATAACGATCAACCTTCCTTGACATCTTCCGTGTTGAAGAATGCTCAAATCTTTTGATGTGAAAGCAAGAAACCAATGGAAGCTTTCTTATTGACATCTGTTTGAGTGATTCCTGTCGCACCTGACATTGTTGGCAGAAGAACTTTTGGTCAGAGCCTAATCTCTCAGGTCTTGTGAAACGGTCCAAACACCCCATCAGAGTTGACATTCCACCATTTTGTTTTGAACTTTTGGAATCTGCCTCGCCATTACAAGAATGATGGGATTTTGTAGATGTCATCTTTGCTGAAGCACCTTGGTTTTGTTCCAAGTCTAGAGAGATGTCTACACAAGGATCATATGTTGTAGATGTAAAACCACAAGCTGTACACATGACATCAGATCGCAAAATGCCGGAAAATACTCTATGAGCAATACAACAGTCTCCATTACCTGTGCATCAAAACAACTTGGGTTAAAACATTATTGTTTTTCTCAACAAGAAACTCACACACCCATCTGCCTCTATTGGACTTGAACCCTCACCTTCACTTTGGAAGGTAGACGAGATACCACTAGGTTACTGCCCTTTGTGGTGGTTAAAACATATTTTATATGATACTAAATCATGACAGGGTGTAAAAAAAATATTTCTTTATAATTTCTTGTTTTTCTGTCACATCTGAAAGCTTCAAACATGTTTCATAACAGCTGATTATATATTTTCTTCAGGAAATACATTCTGCTATGATAAAAGAACAAGCAAGTGCAAAATATATGATAAGTCGAGTCAATGATGTTCCAGTGAGGAGTTTTAACCCAAATAAAATCAAAGTCTGGATGATCCCATGAACACAGTATGAAATCCATTTACTGACAAGCTTTAATGTTTTCTCGGATGCAATATAGTAATTTTTCTCGGATAAATTTCTGCTATTGGTAGAAAATAAAAGCATATCTTAAAGCTATCTGTCTTTTTTTATAAATTTCATTAAATAACTAGAAATTATGACAATACTTTTACTCAAATAGTCACTCACATCCAAATAACTCACTGACAATGAGATAGGATTGTTCATAACCAATAATGTTTTTTTTTTTTTTTTTTTTTTTTTTTTTCTCTCCCTAAACACCAATAATGTTTTGATTGTCATCCTAAAACAATGTTGCGAGTAATTTTGTAAAACTTAAACTCCCCTTATTATTCTGCATACATGTGACTAAGAAGCCAAGTACTAGGGAGGTCATGACCCATGAAAGACAATGGATATGAACAACATTAAATTTCAACGGCTGGCTACATATTCATCTTTTATTAAGCCAAGCAGTAAAGTATTATTATTTTTATTCAATTCTTTATTAGAAGAATTGGCTTGTTGACAGGAAATAAGTGCAGGACCAATGCCAAGCCATGCAAGAAAGTTGCTACATGAGATAAGTGCACCTCATCCTATAAGCCAGAAAGTGGAACTCTTATTGAGAAGCGCAGGAAGCTCGAACCAGACACTAATATCTCCACCAATATTTGAAGGTTTTCAAAAAATTTGATCAGCGAACAAGACATCATAAAAGTTTGACAAAAGCATTTAGCCTGACTGTCAACCTAGCAACCCTCCAACTTTCTCCATATCTGAATCAGCTGCGTCAAAAGATGAGACCCAAACAGTGACAGGTGGAGTTAACATGAAAATCAATTTGACACAAGAAAAACCTATGATGAAACCAAGTAGACTAAGAAAAAGGAGACTTACAGAATAGAAGCATATTGCAGTAAAGGATTAGCCCTAACTCTGGAAGCACTTTCCGACGCCTAGAGCAACAGATACCTAAACCCACACCCTGCAGTTGAATTCCACGGTAATTTCTTAATCTTTAATAGTACTTTAAATCATCTTCCTTTACTGGAGTAGAGAAGTTAAGAACAACATGTGATTATTAGGAATGTTTATGCTGATCCTCTTACTTAATAAAATGGCAGCAAGCTTCATTCATGCCTCATCAGTCCATAAAAACTATTGATCCCTCCAGTGATCCAATTACTTTATTAAAAAATAAATAAAAATGGAGTATGTGCTATGTGGACAGTCCATAAATAACAGGCTTCTCGACAGAAACTTAGTTCAAACTTAAACTTGGTTCAATTCCAAACTTACTATGGAAGAACAAAATAAAAAACAACGATTATCATTGTTAGGTTCAGTTTATATTAGATTGTCCCTAAACATAAGCTGATTGGCCATTAAAGTTTAGCTATTTAACTTAGCAATCACACTATACTCCTGGAAACACTAGATTCAAGATCCATGTGTATGATTGTTGATTTAATTTCACAATCAAGGTAAATGGTCAAGTACCCTTAACACAAGTGTTTAAACTACCAAACAAAAACAAGATATAGGGTCCTACCGAAAACAAGTAAGCCACAGTTAAACAAACATGTCTTAGAAAAGTAATGAGTTATTAATATGACAAACATCTAAAAATAATAAGTTTCCATCACAAATTAGCTAGTATTAGTGTGGCAAAATGCTTGGAAAAGTACAAAATGATTTGGGTCCACAACAAGACAGGCCCTATATAAAAGATTTGGGGCCAAATAATGATTAGGCATTTAAACCAAACAATCCACTCTGTAGATTTCCAAAACAGAGAACCAAGAGAATATCCTGCATAGAAATATCATGAACTAGAATCTGTTGGCCAAAATATTCTCTGAAGCACAAAATAATCTTGACACCTCTTTTCCATTGCTCAAGTTGTAGTATTGTGGACATTGACAGCACAATTTCATAATGCACATTGTAAAAAGACAAGAACAAACTTAAAGTTTAGTATCAAGAGTGAAATTACCTCGACTATGGGTCTCACGCTTATCCTTCTCAACTTTTTCATGAATCCCATCAAGCATGGAAATGAAAAATTCATGGGCATCTTGTTGTTCGTAACTTGCAAGGTTTGCTGCATGTTGCCACCAACTGCAATAAAGAGACAGAAATCACAAACGTATACATCCTGAATTGATCTCAATTAGTGGAAAAATTGCAATCTGATCTATATAAGGTAAACTCAAACTTAAAAACCAATAAACCTAATTATACAAAAACAAATTTTCAACTAATATTCTTATAGAAGAAAATGCAAAAAGAAAAAAAAAAAAAAAAGAAAAAAAAAAAGGAAGAAAAAAGAAAAAAAGACCAGTCTTGAAACCTGCATAACACACTAATCTTGCCCTATACTCCATTTACTTTCAAAAGTCATATGTTTTCAAATTAGCAATTTCAATATTCAAAATCAACTTAATTTAATTTCTAACTACCACATCACATCAAACGCGCACACTAAAACAGGAAACGATTCCATTCATTTCCAAGACGCGAGCTTGATGCAGACCTGTATAGAAATTTTGCCGGGCTATATGGCGTCCGATCACCTGAAAACATTGCTGAAAAAATCGCATCCATGTCGCAAGCCAAACACAATTGCGAATTCTTACTAATATTGGTATCATTTCTGGCAGCATTTTTCCTGACACTGTTCTTCCGCTGACAATAATAGCGATTGTGCCGATCGCTCAAGAAATAGTTCCTCAATGGCGGTGTGTGAAGCAATGCTTGCAACACCGAATTCATAAAACATGTGTTTCCAAGATTGTTGAGCCCTCGCAATCCCGATGGCAAGTCCGAGGACGACTCGCCATCGGTAGTTCTCTGCAACGGACTCGAATTTTTTCCGACCAACACTCGCTCACGCAGATCAGGCGTCCAGGGACGGTAATCCACACGCCGCCGCTTGCGAAGGTTTTCGGGAGGCGGAGAGCGGATCGATCCGCCAAGAGTGGACGCAGCGGTCTGAGCGATGACGACGGTGGCGTCGAAGTCGCGGTCGTAGACTTGGTCGCGGCACACGCAGCAGAACAGCTCTGCTCGGTCCACGTCGACGGCGATCTCGTGTCCCGGCTCTGCGTGCGCCGCCGCGTGGGAGTGGCAAGAGACGGCAGCGCAAGCCACGCACGCGTAGAGCCGCGGCTTTGCCGCCTCGCCGCACGCGCCGCAGCGCGGGACCTCGTTGGCCTCGCGGCGGATCGCGGCGCGGCCCAGCGGCCGCACGCGGAGGCACTCCTGCAAAGCCCGAAACGGCTTCGTTCCGAGCCTAGATCGGAAATCTGATAAGTGCTGACACGGCTGAGGGAGAATGACGCCGTTTCGCTGTTGCTGATGGTGATGACGATGAGTGTTGTCCGTCTTCGACATAGCTGTACAAGAATGGTTTCAAGATATTCGATATATATATGAATATATATCGATTGATTATCAGTGTTAGCCCTAAAAATAGAGAGGCCAAGCTTCATCGATTGATCAAATCAATGATGGGAGAACTCAGAAACCATGAGCTGGGAGTCAGATCTCGATGAAATGCGAATGCGAAGAGATTGAGATATTTTTTCTTTTTTTGTGTTAGGGTTTCTATTTGTTCAGATCTATCTTCATTTTGGATTTTTTGATTATTCAGATTTGAAGAAAGAAAATGAAAATATATTCAATTAATTTTTGGGTATGAAATCTTTTGCTATTTTGATGGGGTTTGATCCAAAAAGAGAGGAGAGATCTGAGAGAGGGTTTGGTTTTGTTTCTTGAAATGGTTGTGATTACTGAGTCAGAACTGGTTCCGACTCGGTCTTGGCTTTTATCTCACAGTAGCTGTACAGAGTCTACACAATACAACAGTGTTACAGTGAAAGGGCAAAAGTGAACTTTAAGAAGAAGAAAAAATTATTGGATGCAAATAAAGACAATTACTATGTAGACCCCGATGGATAATTAGCATATTTAGTAGTAGTAATTATTTGCAAATGGTTAATCAAATTAATCATCTTCTGAAAGGGTTCGGATTTATTTTCAGTTTTTTGATGAGCTAACAGTCTGTGCTAAGAATTTTATAAGCTCTGATGTCTCATGTAAATATCTTATATAAAATGGATTTTCAATAGTAGATGCACTTGAATTGAATCTTCATATTATTAATATACTCTATGTGCGTACACCAACATATAATCAATGAATTAAAAATGGGTGGATGTTAATAAAGAGGAGTTTGTCAATGTTAGATTCGGATAGAAAAATGAATGTATAAAAATGAATAATAGTTTAAGTTTTAGGATAAACGTCCACACGTTTATAGTTAGTATCAAAGTTAAACTTAGTCATTGATTATGTGTAACGCCAAGTACTAAATCCAAAAGGCATCTGAGACTTCATTATGAATAGGTAGGGTGGCCTGAATCGCAACAACGGCGTTGCGAGATCAGGTGGGGAATAATATTACAAAATGAACCTTATCCATCGAATTCGAATGGAAAATGAATGGGTATGTATCATTACCCGATAGTTTAATCTTTTAAATAAATAGACAAACAGCAATACGTTATAATATACTAATATGTTACTATGTTTTCTTTATCGGAAAAATGGTATTTTTTATCATTGATAATTTGATATCTAGTTGGTGGTGCAAATAGGATGAAACAATTTTATTTAAATTTGTAGTTCAAGTGAATTAAATATTCATATCTTGTTTCGTTATCAATTTACCATGTTCTTAGAATACCCCCAACCCGAATATATATATATATATATATATATATATATATATATTAAGACGCTCCGAAAATATATATATATTTCCAAGAACATTGGGAGTTATTATGAGTGATTGGAATAAATCTTAAGTTTTTTAACAATAGTTACTAATAATTATGGGACGAATTTACTCAAAATGTGAGGAGATACTGCCAAACCATGAAGTCACTCCCAATTTGATAGGGCTGTGGCTTGGGCTTTTTGCCGGGTCATTAATTGGGTAGCCCAAAAGTAGAAATCTATATAGTTTCTCATCTCATCACTTCTTTAAAATTTGGTCCTGGACTCTTCCACAACACAAGCTCTTTCTAAGGTGACAAATTTAGGAATTATTTATTTATTTATTTGTAGAGTCTTTAGCAATTGTGTAGGGGATAATTCTACAATATGAGATAGAATAGTAAACATTATAAATATCTCATGAACATGATTTTGGTCAAAGGTTGACAGCTAATCAAATCTATAATGGCATATGAATTGCTAGCAACAGTTGAAAATTAATATTTTAAATTACTTGTTATCCAATATTTTAAGGATGTATGCCGACTTCCAACAATCACACTAGACCTTGTTACTATTTAAATGATAAGTGTTTGTACAAATTAATCTTATTCTCAGCATAATTAAAAAAACAACCAACAGCAATGTGACTTTTTATTGTTGTGTAGTGTGATGATGTTTTTTTTTTTTTTTTTTAAATCTACCCATGGTATACATAATTTGTATAATTTAATCTTATTCTGTGTATTTAGTGGATGCACATTTAGTGCAGTTGAATAGAACAATGCTTTATTTATCACTTTATTTATCATTTATATGAATGATGCTTTGCGATTTTTTTTTTTTTTTTTTAAAGAGTGTATCCACAACATTTTAAAGAGCATATCCATAACACACACATCATTTAAGTCAAGAGTTCCAACTATGCCCTGGGAACGATGTTTTGCGGCTAAAATTGCTTATATTTGATTGCCATTTTATTTTATTTTATTTTATTTATTTTTTTTCTCTCTCTCTCTCTCCTAGTGAAATTTTAAAAGAGTTCTTATACCACACAATGTTTGGTTATTATAATTTTAATACCAAAATTACCCTTCTAACTTCTCTTTCACGTTCACTCCCTCTCTCCAAAAAAAAAAGGACCAACCACGAATAAATATAGCAGAAAATATTAGAGTTAAACAAAAATATTAATTATATGAAGCAGATCTATTATAATTTACAATTATTTGTTCATAAATACATAAGCACACAAAATCAATTGGCATTACAACAAACATCCTTTAGTCACTCACAATCATCCCCTGAGCAACAATTTAGAAACTATTTGTTCTTTATCGTACTCGCATGTGGGTGCTAAAATATCAAAATGAAAACCTAAGCTTAATTTCTTCGTCAAATTATAATCTAAGAAAGAACATGACAGAAAATATTAATCAATTAAAATTCTATGAAATGCAAAAAAAAAAAAAAAAAAATGAGTTGAAATTCTAAAAGAGTACCAAAGAGGATTAAAAAAAAAAAAAAAACTCTGGAACAAATTGAAATCCTAGGAAAGGTTAGAAAGAATTAGACAGTCATTTTACAGTATTGAAAATATATATAAGAACTAGATAGACATGATGTAAAGACTCTTTTGTAATTTTAATTTAAGAGAGAAATGGGATGGAGCACCAGGATAAAGACTCTCTTTCTTTTTTTTTTTTTCTTTTTTTTTTTTGTGATTTTCAAAGTTTATTACTTTGAATTTATTGCTTATTAGTATGATTTTTACAACCAACACAAGTAATGCCTCATGATTTAATGAGGTGTACAAGTATATATAGTTTAGCTAAGAGTGTCAACTCTCCATATTTAATCACTAGATTAAGATATTAATGTTTTTTAATTGTGAATGCATTCATAGTCAAACAGTTGGGTTGCTCTTAATTACTCTTGTGAACCCGATTTCAAAATTCACACATTTTTAACTTTTAATTTAATATTCTTGCCTGAAAAGAAAATAATTATAATAATAATAATAATAATTCATGTTCATTAATTGAAGCCAGTGGGCCTATATATAAGACTCATCGGGTGGCTAGCAATGATAATTGTGTTTTCTTATATATATTCGGAAATTTCTTAACGAGTATCCGGGCTCTTTTAGACTTAGGAGTAAATGTTAATCTTCTTCCATACTCGGTATATGTCAAATTGGGCTTAGGAGACTTAAAACTGAAGTCGGTGGTTTTTATTTAAATGATGGCATTGAATGACTAGAAAGTTTTAGGAAATGTATGCAAGTGAAGCCTCTTATTGTTGTTGTTGTTGGCTTATTTATTATTATTATTATTTTGATGTGGTGGTGAAATCAGCAACGAGGTCCACATCATCTTGATTTTGTAATTATTTTGAGATTCATTCTAATATTTTACACTAGCACAGGCGCAACTTGCCGATCGATCCATTAAGAAGCCCAGAGTGTTTTAATGAGTAAAGAATGAATCTTTGAATGAAAATATCTCAATCAATGTATCTATTATGTCACTAGCCCATTTCAATGTATAAAGAATAAATCTTTGAAAAAAAATGAGAGTTTTCAATTAAAATTATCTGTAGCACATGAATTAGTTTCTTGTAATTCCATGTGCCACTGCTACAGGCAGTTTGGCTTTATAATAGTACAACTAAATTAACTACCACCAAACAAAGCTTGGCTGGATACTATAGTATAACTTATCCCTAAGTAGTATAACTTAACCACCTAAGTAAGTAATTGGCGTCTTGTTCAGGTGATTGATTGTTTTTCGTGTTTGGTAGCCTGTGTTTCAGTCTTGCACCATTCTCCTTTCTTATAATCAATAATTTTAATATTTTTGTAGTGAAAAAAATAAAAACTCTAAGAAATTATATCTTTATAGCGTTTAGTCACTCTCGAAATCTCCACGCATTATTAATTGTAGTGTTCAATTGCTTTCCGAATTTCCGGTGAGTAGAGCAATATAAACACTATTAATTGTAGTTATAGGATGTAATTGCTAATTATAGGGGTAATTATTTTTTTGAACTGTTTTAGAAAACTACTATTCTTTCGATTAGTCATTAATCATAATTGAAGTGAAATGATTATAATGGCTACTATATTTATATAGATATAGATGTATGTATGTAACTTTGAGTGGGCAACTTTTCTTCCTTTGAACTTGTTAGAGGTCTTTTTTAAGCATGTGTTTTATATACTATGACATTATTAGCATACATAATTTTTTGGGCATTTTCGAAGGAGTAAAAGGACAAAATTAGTATTACTGTAATAAATATATGTGTATGTGTAAATATATAGCGAGAGAATAATGAACGGAGAGAGAGAGGACAAACAAAGAGACTCAGAGAGAAAGAAAGAGAGGACGAACAGAGAGACAGAGAGAATGAGACTTCAGATTTTTTCATTTCAAAATTGTACATGCCCAATGCCTTTTATAAGCTTCAATAATGGCTTCATCAGTACGCTTCCATAGCAATCTTTCTTTGTAAGCCATAAAGACTATGATTACATGTATGACTTAATAAATTTGTGGAGCCCACAATAAGTGTATATCTATATAACACTCTCCCTTGGGGTCCACAAAACTACACTAAGAATATGCCTCGTTAAAACCTTGCTAAGGAAAACCCAGTGGGACAAAACCCTAGCGAAGAAAAAAGAGTACAAAATTCTTATGTATCTTGAAAATGGTATTGCATAGATTAAAACTGCCTCATTAAAACCTTGCCAGGAAAACCCAGTGGGACAAAACCTGGACGAAGGAAAAAAAGTACAGCATGCCAATACCTCTTTGATGAATTGCTCCCCCTCATTAGATCAACCCTGAAGATCCTTTAGTTGACGCATTCCAATGTTGTGCACCAGCTTCTTGAATGTTGTAGTTGGAAGCGTTTTAGTGAATAAATCTACTAGATTTTCACATGAACATATCTTCTGAATATCAATATCACCCTTTTTCTGCAGTTCATGTGCATAAAAGAATTTTGGCGAGATGTGCTTGGTCCTGTCACTTTTAATATATCATTTTTTCATCTGTGCAATGCATGCCGCATTATCTTCATATAATATTGTTGGACTTTCTTTTATTGATGAGAGACCACATGTTGTTCTAATATGCTGGATCATTGATCTCAACCAAATGCATTCCCTGCTTGCTTCATGAATTGCGAGTATCTCAGAATGATTTGAAAAAGTGGTAATCATTGTCTGTTTCATCGATCGCCATGATATAGCTGTGCCGCCACAGGTAAACACATACCCTGTTTGTGAATAAGCTTTATGTGGGTCAGAAAAATAGCCGGCATCTGCATATCCAACTAATGGAGACTTTGGTGCCTTCGAATAAAACAAGCCCATATCAGTTGTGCCACGAAGATATCGCAATATGTGTTTAATTCCATTCCAGTGTCTGCGAGTTGGTGCATAACTGTACCGTGCTAATAAATTAACTGGAAAAATTATATCAGGCCTTGTGCAATTTGCAAGATACAAAAGGGCACCAATCGCACTGAGATAGGGCACTTCAGGGCCAATGAGTTCTTCATCATCTTCATGAGGACGAAAATGATCTTTCTTGATGTCCAGTGATCGGACAACCATTGGGGAGCTCAATGGATATGCTTTATCCATATGAAAACGTTTCAGAATCTTTTCTGTATATGTTGATTGATGGATGAGAATACCGTTCGAAATATGTTCAACCTGCAGCCCAAGGCAGAATTTTGTCTTTCCGAGATCTTTCATTTCAAATTCTTTCTTTAAATATGTGGCTGTCTTTTCGATCTCGTCCAATGTTCCCACAAGGTTCAAATCATCAACATATACTGCAACAATAACAAAACAAGATTCTGATTTGTTAATAAATATGCATGGACAAATATGACCGTTCACATACCCTTCTTTGAGTAAGTAATCGCTAAGGCGATTATACCACATTGGTCCAGATTGCTTCAATCCATATAATGATCGTTGTAATTTTATTGAGTGCATATTACGTGGTTTTGTTTCAGGCATTGTAAATCTTTCTGGGATTTTCATATAAATATCACTATCTAGTGATCCATATAAATATGTTGTAACCACGTCCATTAAATGCATATGCAATCTTTCTGTGACTGCTAAATGTATTATGAATCTAAAAGTAGTTGCATCAATCACAGAGGAATATGTTTCCTCATAATCAATACCAGGTCTTTGTGAGAAACCTTAAGCTACAAGTCGGGCTTTATATCTCACGATTTCATTTTTCTCATTACGCTTTCGTACAAACACCCATTTGTACCCAACAGGATTAACACCCTCAGGTGTTTGGACTACTGGTCCAAATACTTCACGTTTAGCTAATGAATTTAGCTCTGCTTGTATCGCTTCTTTCCATTTTGGGCAATCATTTCTTCGTCGACATTCTTCGACGTTTTGAGGTTCCGGATCCTCATTTTCAATATCAAGAGCAACAAGATATGAGAATATGTTGTCGACAACAATTTCATTTCTATTCCATCTCGTTTCATAATTTAATGAGATCTCATCATTTTCAGGTACCTTTGCCTCATCAAGAGCATGTGCCTTATCAAGGGCCACATCATCATCTGTTGCTTTTGCCTCATCAATATTTATTATTTCATCATTTTTAGGTACCTGAGACTCATCAAAAGCATCTGTCTTATCAAAGGCTATTATCTCAGATTGATCAATAATATCTGTTATTCTTTTTGTGGCCTCTTCAGGAGTGCCAACTTTTCTTTGTGATTTCTTCTTACGAGAAACAATATCTTTTGCACCAACTAGTCTACCACGCTTCAGGCGTGTTTTAGATGCATTTGCTGTATTACTGACAGAAGGTCCCTCAGGGACAGCAATTCGTGCTGGTACATTTGTAGCTGGTATATGTGATTTTATCACTTTCTTTGTATCAGTAAATGCATCAGGTAATTGATTTGCAACATTTTGCAAGTGAATGATCCTCTGAACTTCTCGTTCACATTGGTTTGTACGAGGATCAAAATGAGACAATTTCAGGGCATTCCAAGTAAGATCACGTTGCTGCTGTACCTTTTCTCCCCCTAATGGTGGGAAAACAGTCTCATCAAAATGACAGTCAGCAAATCGTGCTTTGAAGACATCACCTGTCAGGGGTTCAAGATATCTAATAATAGATGGAGAATCAAAACCAACATAAATTCCAAGTCTACGTTGAGGACCCATTTTAGTGCGTTGGGGTGGTGCAATTGGAACATATACAGCACAACCAAAAACTCGTATGTGGGAGATATTTGGTTGTTGTCCAAAAACAAGTTGTAATGGTGAGTACTTATGATAAGCAGTTGGTGGTATGCGAACTATTGATGCAGCATGCAATATGGCATGACCCCAGGCAGAAACAGGTAATTTTGTTCGCATAAGCAAAGGACGACCAATTAGCTGAAGTCTTTTAATAAAAGATTCAGCCATACCATTTTGAGTATGAGTGTGTGCAACAGGATGTTCAACATAAATTCCAACTGACATGCAATAATCATCAAAAGCTTGAGAAGAAAATTCAGCGGCATTATCAAGACGGATTGTTTTAATTGGGTAATCAGGAAAGTGTGCCCGTAATTTGATGATTTGAGCAAAAAGTTTAGCAAATGCAATATTACGAGTAGAAAGTAGACAAACATGTGACCATCGTGTTGATGAATCAATTAAGACCATAAAATAACGAAATGGTCCAGATGGTGGATGGATTGGCCCACATAACCCCATGAATTCGTTGTAAAAATGGAGGAGACTCAACAATGACTTTTGAAGGGGATGGTCTGATAATCAACTTACCTTGTGAGCAGGCGGTGCATAAATGATTATTTGGTAAGATGATTTTTTGATCCTTTAGTGGGTGACCATGTGAATTTTCAATAATTCGACGCATTATTGTACTCCCTGGGTGACCAAGTCGATCATGCCAAAGTATAAAAAGTTTTGGGTCACAAGATTTTTTATGGATCACAACATTTGACTCAATTGTTCTAATGGTTGTATAGTATAACCCAGAAGAGAATACAGGGAGTTTTTCTAATATCAGTTTCTTGCCTGAGGTAATGGAAGTAATGTAGAGATATTCGACATTTCTTTCATTTGCAGTCTCAATATGATACCCATTACGACGCAAGTCTTTAAAACTCAGCAGATTTCTTCGAGATCTTGTAGAATATAAGGCATCATTGATTTGTAATATAGTTCCATGTGGTAAAATGATGTTGGCTCGTCCGGAGCCTTCAATCAAGTCGGTGGGACCTGATATGGTACTGACACTAGCGTCTGTCAGAGTTAAGTGGGAAAAATATTTTTGATCTTGAAGGATTGTATGCGTTGTTCCGCTATCTGCAAGACATATGTCTTCACCATTTATTTTGGAACTAGTCAGATCCATTCCTATTCATGCAAATTTCTTTATCAGAAAAAAAACTTTTATAACAAAAACCTTTAATACAAACTAGAAAATAAAAACTTTAGTACAAGGACAATAAAAAGCATAGTAGACAGTACATAAAAGAAACATAAGATTAACTGGTGTGGACATTTCCATCACCAATCAGGAAGTCTATCCTTCCATCACGATCATCAAAAAAATCTGATACATCCAGATTGGTGATGTTAACTGGCTCATCATGATTAATGAAATTCATTTCCAGATTTGTGGTGTCAATTGGCTCATCATGATCAAGGAAATTCATTTCCTTTTGTTTTCCCTTTTCTTTTATTGAGGCTTGATACAGATCAGCCAGATGCTTCGGTGTACGACAAATACTTTGCCAATGCCCTGTCATGCCACACCGATAGCAAGTATTATCATGAGCCTTGGAAGGTTGAGCCACATCCTTTCATTTTACTTATCTCATTTTATTATGATCTTTCCTTTGAGGATATGGTGTGGATCTCTGATTGCGAAAATGTGAGGATTGATATCCTTCACGATAATAAGAATGATTTCTACCACGACCATATTCATTATTGCGGTAGTTATTTTTGCCACGACCATATTCATTTCTACCACCACGACCACGTCCACGTCCGCGTCCACGACCACGGGATGAGGCAACATATGTTTCTAGGATCGGTGTCGATCCAGTTGGACGGGACTGGTGGTTTCTCAATAAAAGTTCATTATTTTGTTCTGCCACAAGCAAACATGATATCAGCTCTGAATATTTTTTAAATCTACGCTCTCGATATTGTTGTTGCAAGAGTACATTCGGGGCGTGAAATGTGGTGAAGTTTTTTTCTAGCAGAAGTTCATCAGTAACAGTATCACCACATAATTTCAATGTAGAGCTGATTTTGAATAGGGCAGAGTTATATTCAGCCACAGTTTTGAAATCTTGCAACCTCAGTTGCAGCCAATCAGCCCTGGCCTTTGGGAGGATAACTGTTTTTTGATGATCATATCTGTCTTTCAAATTGTCCAACAAACAAAGTGGATCTCTTTCAGTGAGGTATTCATTTTTCAGTTCCTCACTAATATGGCGCCGGAGAAAAATCATGGCCTTTGCTTTATCTTGCAATGATACATCATTCTTTTCTTTAATTGTGTCTCCAAGGCCCATGGCATCCAAATGGATCTGAGCATCCAGAATCCATGATAAATAATTTTTGCCAGAAATATCCAGGGCCACGAATTCCAGCTTTGTCAAATTTGACATTTTCAGAATAACTAGATGTGACAACAATATAAAAATATAATTTAGATAGTATATAAAATAAAATGACATTAAATGAGATAATAACATAATATAAATTATTTAAATAATAAAGGTGGTAAATCCAGCCATAGTAAATAAATTAGTAAAAAAAGCGGTAAAACCGGCCCATAAATCATTAAATAATAAAGGTGGTAGAACCGACCATAGTGTAAGCACATATATCATTTAAGTGAACAAATTTATTTTATGAATAATAATCCATAATTAACATTTCCGTACCCTTTGGGAAATATTATTTTATCCGATAAAGCAAATCAACCCAACAATTTATCAAAACTAATATCACAAAATAGATATATAGTTGGGATAGAAAGAGGGAGAGAAAGCTTCTTCTTCAAATCTCAAATGGGTTGAGCGTCGTGCTGATAACGTGTAATAAATATATGTGTATGTGTAAATATATAGCGAGAGAATAATGAACGGAGAGAGAGAGGACAAACAAAGAGACTCAGAGAGAAAGAGAGAGAGGACGAACAGAGAGACAGAGAAAATGAGACTTCAGATTTTTTTATTTCAAAATTGTACATGCCCAATGCCTTTTATTGGCTTCAATAATGGCTTCTTCAGTACGCTTCTATAGCGATCTTTCTTTGTAAGCCATAAAGACTATGATTACATGTATGACTTAATAAATTTGTGGAACCCACAACAAGTGTATATCTATATAACAATTACAACATTATTTTATATCAGATTTTTTTGATAAAAATAAAAATATTTTTTTCATATTTTTTTAAATGGAGATAAAAATGATAAGCAGAATATGTATTAGGAGTGCTTTATGTACTTCCCTCACATTTATATAAATATAAATGTATGTATGTAACTTGAGGGCAACTTTTTTCCTTAGAACTTGTTGAGGTCTTCTTTAAGCATGTGCTTATATAAGAGTGCCCATCACAAAATTCTCACCTACCATAACTTGACTTTTGACTTCTAAAAATTTCAAAGGCATGGAAGTGTCAAAAACTAACATTCCATGAGTTCCAAAAGTACAACCACCGATCAACCTGGTGCTTTGCTTATCATTGGACAGTCATGTATTCTGAAAATTTTGAGAGAAAGCAAAAAACGATTATTTGAGAACTATATATTAGTAATAATCCATTTGGTAATTAAGCCTCACACATGTCCTGAATCTTTCAACAACTTGCATAAAATATGCTTCGACTGGGTGATCACATTAGCCCAGACTAAGCATATACCTCAGGAGGTGTCCAAGGGGTAATAAAGTAAAAACCATTAAAACAGAGGGAGATGGGGATTTTGCTTCTAGACCAATTTTTTAATGACTTCCACCTGAGTTTGAAACTCTGCAGCATCAATGAATCCTTCTCTAGACTTTGAACAAACTTCAAATAAGAGGTCATTTCGTACAAGCAAAGTTAATAACTTGCAATTAACAAATCACTAAACATAGGAAGTTAGACAAGCAACAAACTGAGATCAATTGGATTTAAATTTTGAACACTACAACATAGAAAGTTGAAAATACACCACCACATTTTTATCTTCTCCCCAAAGAATGGAAAAACAGAAAAAAAGAAACCAGATCTTCCACTAATCAAAGATTATCTAGCAAAAATTTACAACTTGGAATGGGCACCGAGCCTCCAAAGCCAAAGAATGATACTATGAAAGCTACCTACCTGTACATGTCATCTTAGTAGGGCAAACCTTGGCCCCAATGAATGATCGATGCAGATAAGATTGATCAAATTATGCTAGAAAATGATGATGTAAGCATATAGGGGATATTGGCTAGGGGCCCCCGTTGGCATGCAAGTTCATGAATATCCTTCACAATGTCGAACACAGCATTAGGTTGTGCTAGTTTGAGAGCGTTCTCTGACATTTTCTTGAGTTCGTCTGTTTTGGTGCTGAACCATTCGGCCACAAGCCTGGCTGTTTCCTTTGCACTTCGAGTGAACACACCTGCCCCATTGTCCACTACGTAAGGAACGTTCCCCTTTTCCTGAAAAATGAAATTGCAGCAAAAAATTACTATGAGATTAACGCTGTCTTGCAAGCAAATGCATTAATCAAGTACAAAATAGTGAGAATTAGAAGTGAGAAATGGATCATTCATATCGACTTACTTGTCCAGGAATGAAGTCGTTGAGAATGATGGGAAGCCCTCTGATCAATGCCTCTGCAATAGTACCAGGTCCGGCCTGAAAAGAACAAACCCATTGAAGCAATGAGTTCAGGATGCTTACCATATACCTAGAAATAATAGTAAACAAGGGAATATCACAATTAGATGCCTAACATACTTTTGTAATGATGCAGTCACAAGCACCCATCCACTTCTCCATCTGTCTCTCAAAACCTCTAATCTACAATGAAGAAAAAGTTAGTTAATATGGCTGCTTCCAAAGAATGTGGTCTATTCATGTACGCACATTTTCACTTTCATCTATATAAAATCGGTTCATGAAGCAAATATGAGTACCTTAACCGGGATCTTCCATTCAAGTGGTTCTAGTGTAGAGGCTAGTAACTTATTACGACCACATATGATGATCAGTTGCCCAATTGGCTTCCCAAGTTCTTCATCATACAGAGAATCTCCAAGAGCCTTTGCAGTTTCCTCCACAGGACCCATTCCTTCACCACCTCCCATCAGCAAAACTGCCGGCAAATTCTGATCCATCTCAAGTTCTACTCGTAAATAGTCCTGCAAAAAGCGAATACAAACAAACCAAAGAACCATAAAATCAAATTTTCGTCCAATGGAAGTGAATTATAAAATGAAAGTAGATGGTAAAATAACAAGCTTTGCTGTAATGTAGTAATGCCAAACATTCACCTTGGAGAGAACTGCACGGCAAAATGAGGGCCGGATAGGCAAGCCAAAGACACGGATTTGAGATTCTTCTAGGCTATCTAGCAAAGCCCTCTTTGCTACCTCCTCTGAGGGGCAGTAGCATCGGTTGACTGCAGGGTGAAACCTGGATATATAAATAGTTCCCACATCGTAACAATGTACCATGAATTAAGATTAATCAGAGCAGATGACAATAGACTTCCAAATTAAAATTGGTTTAGAAACTGACCATGTGCGATGACAGGTATTGAGGTCTGTAATGACCGTGACAAAAATAACTTTCTTCTGTAAACCTTGCCATTTAAGAACCCATAAAGGGATATGTTGCATAAGAGGATGGACACTAATGATAATGTCTGGCTTGTACTCCATTAGACCAGCCTCTACCTCCCTTCAAAGAAATAATGCAATTAGAAAAACCCATAAAATAAATGGCTCGACAATAATTAACTACTTTAACAATTAAATAAATCCAAGTTCCAGCAGAGACATGATTAACATCTAGCAATTGATTTAAGTGACAGGTTGATGGGGGCAAAGAGTCATTTTAAAATGAAAATAACAAAAAGCAAAGACAAAAGTGGAACTGGTAAAGAATCCTAAATGTATTATTAGAATTTAGAATATTTTATAGTATGACTGTATTAGTAGAGCTTTACTGTATTATGGTGACCTAACTGAAGTATCAAAGCATATAAAATGAAGATGATATAAAAATCTACAATTAACTTCTGGGCAATCTAAGATAAATTATAGGTTTAGACTGAAGGTAAAAAAAGATTAGCCACAGAGAGAGAGAGACAGAGATTGTACTTGGCATAAAATGCGGCTATAGCAGCAAGATAGGAGGAGTGTATCCATCGAGGAGAGGTACTATGGAAAGCAACCTTCCAAAGCTGTACATGTTTCACCATGAACTTGTATTGACGCTCCATGTCATTCAATGGCCAGCCCGTGTACTCCTTCCAAACATCCTTTACAAAAATCTACCATCGCAAGAAAGGGGAAAGCAAGGCAAGGCCACTGATTAAGGAGAGAATTAAGGAAAAGGCATCAAAAATAAAATGAGAGCATCATGTTACTTCAACTTTACAAACAGAATGTTGGTGAAATCATAGTAGAATTATCGCAAAAGCAATTATAAAGATGGGGGACTGTAACAGAGGGCAGACCTTAAAAAAGCAGAAAAATAAGGGATTTTTTATGTGAACAACAATGTAAAAAGGGTTAAGGAGTCCCCCAAACTCATAAGGGAAGAGAGAGAGACCAACCAACAAACAAGAAATTCCAAGAGGAAAAAATGGTTCTTCTATTAAATAAATTGAATGAATCCTATGCCCAGAAACATAAAATTTCAAAAAAAAATATAACACCAATTATATACTAGAACAAAATATTAAAAATAAAAACAGAACAGAAGAAGTTCAAAAAGAAAAAGTGTTCATTTAAACCAGTAAGAAATCTAATCAGTCTTTATATAGTCATCAAATTTCAATCTGAAGAAGTTATATGACCACAAAACTCGAGTAAGAACATTTGAGATCATAACAAAACGGAATTTCATTCATATACACATATATAGACATGTTTGCTTATGTATATATATACATATACATAATAACAGCTATTAGTTAAATAAGAAACAGAGAGAGTCAAGAGACTAAAAACCCAGAAGAGAAGCAATGGAAATACCCTGTATTCATCCCCAAATTCCAAGTGAAAAGCATCCCGAATTGCCTCGGCGGAAGCCCGATGACCTCCACCAGTATCACTCATCAAGATGAGCACATTCTTGGTCCTCTCAGCACCAATCTGCACCATCTCCATGGTCCCATCTTCCTCCTCATGAATATCATACTTGCACCTCTTCTGGCTGCTCCCGCCGAAACTACCAACCCCAACTCTCTGGAACACCGAGTTTATCGATTTTCTCGGCAAGACCGCCGTCATCACCATACCTATATATACAGATACTATAATATGTATAAATCTAGATATATATATATATATATGTAATTACGTATAACAACACAAACACCAAGCCACCAGAGAAAATCCAAAACCCAACAGCAGAATTTTCTTTGGATCGGAAAGAGAGAGGAAGTTGGAGAGTGAAGGCGAAGAGGACAGAGATATTTGTTTAGATAGAGGAAGTGTGTGCGAGAAATGTTTGTTTTTCTGTTGAGAGAGGACGGAGAAGAGTGACGCGTGACAGACTATGTATAGCCGTCGGATTCGCATTTTGGTTCGGAATGTTCTGACGGGTAGATTCGAATCTTTTAAGAACATGCTATGGAGATTATGATATATGAAGCACTCCATTTAATTACTTGTGTGCGTTATTTTTTTGCTCTGGTGCCCTTAATTCTAGTTTATATTCTTTTATTCCTTGTTATGCTTTTTCGAAATTGTTTTCACTTTATTTTTTTTCGGGAGTAATTATCTATAAAATTGACATTAATGAATGCAATAAGCATTATTTTATACTTCCCTGCTATATATGTGTTTTTCAAATGTTTATTTTTTAGGTATGTTATTGGTATTTTTATTATTATTATTGGTCGAGAAGATGTTGGAGGGGTGAGAAATAAAATTTTCTAGTGTTTTGAGCCTAAAATTGGAAGCTTAAATTATAATTTTCTTTCCAATTTTATTTAAAGAAGGGCAAATTGCATAAAGCCACCCTCTATTTTTAATTTGCAACAAGAAACCCCTACAAAAAAATAAATAAATAAATAAAGAACTCCTTAACTATTCAATTTGTTGCAAAGTGATATTATTATAATTAAATTGTCCCTTAATATAAATTATTAAAATAGTCTCTATTAATATTAAATTTAAATTAATACAAATAACTCATTCAGAGTTGAAACTTTTTTAAAATTAATACAAATATTTGAAACTTTTTAAATGGTGTGTCTATAAGAAAATAAAAATATTTTAATTTTTAAAAAAAAAATTAGAAAAAAAAATTAAAAGAAAAGGAAAACCTAAAATGAAAATCATTTTAAGACAACCTAAAATTTCTTAAGTTTACATTAAAGCGCTTTTTTGTATTATAACTTCAATTCAATGGTGTGTATTTTTTAAAAAAAAAAAAAATCTTAAATTTCCCTTTTTAAAAAATTTAAAAAGAAAAAAGAAAAAATCAAAATATTTTTTAATTTATATTAAAGGGCCTTTTGCATAATTATAACATCAATTTGCAACAAATTAGATACTTAAGAGGTTTATGTCAACTTTTTCTTTAGGGGAATTTCTTACCAAAAATTAGTAAAGAGAGCTTCATACAATATGCTCTTTAAATTAAGATATCACATAGGCACATAACATTTCCTCAGCGAAAATAATATTAGTAATAAGGAAAAATGACTAAAAGTGAGAAGAAAATCATCCCTCCTACCATTTTGGATTCGACAAAGGCATAGAGGAGTCATTAGGAAAGAATATTATTCATAAGACGCAAAATACCTAATTAACTTTTTTGTATTAATACTCACAAAGTTTTAAAACTGTCGACTGTAACTATAAACACTCCTCTTATTTTCTCTTCAAATTCTTGTCATAAATTTACACAATATTCATAATTTGAAGAAGATCTCGATGTATCAATATGCTTGGCAGTATAATATACATGTTAAAACATATATTACACCTACAATAAATAAACTGTTTATGATATGTGCGATGCTGGAACAAACTCAAATTATTCTCCATAATTTGAGAGTGATGTGTTCCAAAAAAAAAAAAAAAAAAAAAAAAAAAATTGGAGAAATCCTCCGCTAGAAATAATAGATAAAAGAAGTAGTGCGATTGGATTTGAGAAAATTGTTCTGAAGTAGAGGGACAAGGTAGCAAAATCCCATGAGTATTAATAGTGCCGAGTGGGACCCTATAGAGGTGATGGTCCATTTGGCGCAAGTTGAGGTGGGGAAAAGACCAAGTCAGCCTGTCGTTGTGCGGAAGTTACAAAAATTAGAGGATACCTAACAAGTCTCAACTTTTAGCCCAAAAGTAAGGGAATGATGACATATTTAATCCTTTATTCCCCACACGCAATAATTTGTAAATGACCAAAATAACCCTACATAATAGACCATCTAGCTTGTGTCCTTGATGGGGTTTTCAGTAAATATGATAATTAGAATACGGTCTTGCACAGTTCCACTTTTGGAGTTATTATCACAATTCACTATCAAGCTAATGAATTATGAACCTAATAATTGTATCTTTGGTAATGAATGGTGAAGCTGTACTAATAATGGTTGCCAATCTGTGATGGGTTGGGACACCTGGATGATCAACTTGGAGGGTTTGAAAAACGAATTTCAGAAAACCAATCCCATGCAGATGCCATTTAAGGTGCGTCAAGTAACATAATATATGAGAATCTACATGCCAAACTTACGAAAAATGATACACGCCCCAACTTACTTATTATTTCACCTACTACACAGTAGACATATAGTTTGATAAGAGTCTTATTGGACTATTATAAAGAGTAAACGCTCTTTTATTTATTTAAAAGTTTAAAGTATTAAGTAATATTACATACTCATCTATTTATACTTAATCATTTTTTTATTTAGATTCATCAATCACTTTCTCATCCGAATCCAATGTACGACAAATGATTGGATATGCAGTACTACCCAACAGTTTGAGTTTTTAGGTAAATGGGCAAGCGTTCACCTATTACAATTAGTATTAGAAATAGATCCGATGTCAAGCCAAGTGCCAGGCCCGGATGGCGTCTAGGTGAGCCAACCCGAGTAGGCAGGGTGGCCTAACCGCAACGACAGCGTTCCAAGTTCGGATAAGGGAGAATGTTATAAGGGGTTACCTACCCCATATCGAATCCAGATGAAAAAGTAATTCGATATAAATGAGTGGATATATAACACTACCCAACAGCTTTAACTTTTGAATAAATAGTCAAACGTTCACCCGTTATAACTATCTATTTGTGCAAGTGCTACTACAAAAATCAATTTTTGTAACAGTTCTCCAAACTTATTCATATCAAGTTGGGAGGTTTGAAAATGCTTACGTAAGTGTAAAAGCATTTTCTGCCATTCCAAGCAAAAACCAGTATCAATTTTTGTAACAGTTCTCCAAACTTATTCATATCAAGTTGGGAGGGTTTGAAAATGCTTACGAAAGTGTAAAAGCATTTTCTGCCATTCCAAGCAAAACCAGTATCAAACAGCAATTTAGATTTTAACACCACATCATAATTTCCATATATTTGGGGGTTTCATATCCAAACAGAGGATATGAATTCAATAACTGTATTGGTCCATGTCATTTTTATGTAAAGAGATAGCAAGTTAAATATTGCAAAATCAAAAAAGTAAGTGAACGCAAAATATTTAACAAAAACAGGAAATACTTCAAAACCTTATCCTGTAAAACAGTTTGGCTGCAATATATAAACCGCCTAAACTTCATCTATATTATAACCTGCCCTTGCAAAATTATTGTAGACCAAGGTACTAAGTAAACATCTGTACAATCATCCCTGTCCTCTTCAGGCATGAACCTGCGAGAGCATGCCACCAACACACAACGGACAAGGTGGATCCCGTCTATCTTCATGGGATGTTCTCTGCTCCAAACAGTCAGCATGATAAGCATGGCCGCAAACTAAAACTGCCACGACGGATAGATTGCTAGAAGTTAGTGCACTTTCAAGAATATAAGGCTTCCTCCTCAACAACTTCTGACATAACCCGCATACCATTTTCACCACACCAGGTGATGCTGCATCCATTGCCAAGGAACCAGATCTAATTCTTTCTGGTTTGGAATTTGCTTTCTCCCTACTCTCTGAAAGAAGGAAAAACAAACTTGACATGAGAACATACGTGAGAAGAAAAACCTATATCATTGTCTGAATTTATATTTGATCCAGAAAAATGTAGATCCAGGAAACAGTTCCAGAAAAACACTACACTCTTGGGATTTTGTTATCTAGAAATATCAATATTTGTGACAAGGTCATACTTAACATACATAAAGGAACATAATTTGCTTCAATTTTCTGTTGAAGAAGTCATTTACAGAAGTACGACTCTACAAACATTATAAACAGATATCGTGTTTACTTTAACACCCCTATGGTATGCATATAGAATGTATAACCCCCTATAAGGGTGAAAAATCCTTTTTGAGCAAACAATGGTCTGAATGCTAAAAATATCTATAACTGAATAAAAAAAGGGTAAAAAAATAATTAAATGTGAAATGATAAGTGTCCCTCTTTTTTCTTTTTCTTTTTCTTTTTTTCTTTCTTCTTCTTCTTACATATAAGGGCATTATTGGAAGAGAGAAGTTTTTCTTGGAATTTTATATCTTAAAAGGTCGTGTGCATTTTGTAACCAAACAGTGACCCCAAGTCCTTCTTTGATTATTTTTTCAAACGTAACACACTTATGTACCCAAAAAAAAACCTTAGGGGTGATATTTGCCCAAAATTTAAACATTAGGGGTGTTTTTCTCACTTTGCCCATTTATAAATTTACAGAAGTATGACTCTATGGATCACCTAGTTGTCGTACCGTCTTCTCCACCAAATTTAAGCATTTAACAAATTTATATACACATCAAATAAGAGAAAATAAAGAATACCTTTATGATGTTCGGGCTCTGAGTTGCTGAATGAGACTTTCTCATCACGTAAAGGAGTACCCTTTCTACGAGAATTTGATGTATGAGCATTGTTGGCTGACTTTCTTCGATAGTACTGACGACCATAGTAATGATGCGGATGTCTCAATAATACTGCACGGCCAAGATTTTGATGGTGATGTGCAGGTGAATGGTGGGCATTCGATAGCTTCACAGAATTGTCCATGAGATCCATAAGAGATGAGAGGGGCTTTATTGCACCACTGTCGACTGAATGAGAAGATTTCTGCCACAAGGTTGGATTCAAAATTTAATTTAATTTAATTAAAGAAAATGAACAGAAGCCAAGCGTGCACGCAAACACACAGACACAGAAAGGGGGCCGGGTGGGTTTTTGGGTTGTTGGGGGGGGGGGGGGGGGTGGGGGGGGGGGGGTGTTTGGGGGTGTGTGTGGAAGAATTATCCTCAGTTGGCCAGGAGAAGCTAGAAATAGAAAATATAGGTATATGATATGTAACACATATTCCCCAGACAAAAAAAAAAACACTGTTAAACTATTCCAACCTAAAATGTTGTGAAATTATACTCTCATTTAATTTACTGAAACTCAATGAGTGAATGGTGCATTAGAGATAAAACTATGAGGACAACTCAACAATATGTAAATAGAACAAAAAGATAAGAAGCATTTATTTTATTGAAGAACAGGAAGAAAAAAACAAACCAATTTTGAATGAGAATCCATTCTAGACGAGTACGGCATGACTTCTGCAACATTCAAAATTAAACATAATGATCAGTTACACTTCAATTGTTAATGTCTAGGTATTCTTACAAAAAGAATAGATATACTCTGCTACATCATGAGATAATCAAAAAGGAACAAAAGATATGACATTCTAAACTACCCAGAAGAATGAACCAAGAGAAGTGACTGAAGAAAGGTGTGATAAAAATTGTTACTGGGGAAAAATAAAGTTTTAAGGTTTTGTAAAAGATTTTTGAAGGAAAATTAACAGTGCCATAAAAAAATTATGGGGATTTTGGGAAGAATTATCTTGTCAAGCACACAATCTACCAAGTGAATTCTGAAGAATGAGGTGGGGAAAGAATCAGAAGAAGCAAAAAAATTGTATGTTATTCATTCAAAATGATTGAACCCTGACATCACCGAGCCTTTAGCTTAATTGGTACATCCTCTCCCTTTCAAATGGAATGTTAAGGGTTCAAATCCCTGATCAATTAAAAAATGCATGTGTGAGTTGCGTGTGCTAGTAATTTACTTACCAAAAAGAATGAATCAGGACACAGTCTCAGTCCCCAGGAAGCAGCCAAGACCAAACAATTAACGGGAAAGAAAAATGATAAAGTGCCATTTGTTGGTCCCTCATTCCCAGCTCCGGCTACCACTATTATACCATGCTTAACAGCATGGAACGCCCCTATTGAAATGCTATCGTCTAAGAAGCCACGAGGTTCAAAACAGATGGATAGTGAAAGCACATCAACGCCATCATGTATGGCATGATCGAAAGCTTGCATTATATCAGCATCATCACAATCCCTCAATATCACCTTTGGCCAATTTACTTTGTAAGATGCCACTCGAACTCTAGGTGAACCACCTTTGGCAGTTCCATTCCCCAGCCCAAACACACTTACGCCAGGAACAAAGTTCCCACCAGCCGTTGATAGTGTGTGAGTTCCATGCCCATCATAGTCACGTGCAGAGAATTCTTTAATAGTTTCTGAAGGCTCAGAAATATTGTTTATAGCAGCATATCCTTTGTAAAAATACCCAGCTCCTATAAGTTTCCTGCAGATCCAATATATTTGCCAAACAAGGAGCAAATAAATGAGCAGTTTATGAGTAGCTTCTGCTCAGGCTTGGTTTCGTGAAACTCCTCCAGCCTTGTTCATTTAGAAGATGACTAAGCTTCAGTTCAGTTTTAAGACTCATGTCTAGTATAGTCTACTCTCTTCTCTTCATATGCTCTTACTTTTCTCTTTGCATTCACTTCATCATTAGACTTCCAAATGCTTCACAAAACCAAGCATGAGACTTTCAGGCTGCCAAAATGTTCTTCCTCAAAGACAGGTAATTTTCAACAGGTTTCGTCTCGTCAGCAGTTTCAATATATTTCTTCACCAAGAGGATTTCACACCCCTTCCAACATATTCCTTGTTCTCTCAAGAAAAAGGAGAGGTTTTCCTATGCCTTCAAATGTATTTCTTGTTCTCTTCTAATTCTCCTCACCGAAGCCCAAATCTCAACTCAAGTTGAACTTTTTTAAGTATCTAAATTGGATTATATGGGTGCGCGAAGAAATCTAGCATACCTTTTGTTTTTCAGGACAATCTCCAGCAAACAAACACTAATAAATAGCTCTCCTCTCTTTTCTCTTGTGAAATAACATCTAGTTTATGCACATTAAAATTTTACTTTTAATATGAGCACTTTTTTTGTTTTGAGTTTTTTTTTTTTTGGTTCATTGAGAATCTATGGGACTCCTCTTCCTATATACTATATTTTTTCACTTTTCCAAGGCCAATAATTTACCCAATTTGTAACAGTGTATAAAGAGAAAGGAGATGAATAACCAAGCCGAGGTTGATTTCCAACACAAGATTGAGTTTGAACATGAGCTCAAATTCGGCTTATTTTTATTGAAGGAAAATGAACCAAGCCAAGAACGAGCTTGTGAAAAACTATGACAAGCAAAGACCGAGCTAAATATTCTGAAATAGTCATGATTCCAGGTTGAGCCTAAGTACTACTCTAAAATGAACAAGCAAGTTCCAGCAGTCTCAATTGATTTGGCCCAACTTCTTTACAGCACTGGTTTCAAGCAGCTAAAGCCTTACAAAAATAAAAATAAAATGCAAAGGTAACCTGAAGAGAAGCTTAAAATTGGTAATATTAAGGATTTCAAGGATAAAGAGCAATTGACTTCATCATGATTGTGAATGACTTTAAAGACTACTCAGACTGAGATGTGAACAATGAAATCCTTATTTCCAAGAGTAACAGCCAAGGATGACATATCCATTGTACAAAAGGTTATTATTTGCATTAATGGGCAGAAGAGCAAAGGCAAAACAACCAAAGAGAGTAAAACCAATGTATTGTTTATTAAGTTTAGGACTGGAGAGAATGTTGGATGGTTCAATTCAACATTAAGACACTAGTCACAGTAACAAGAAGAATACCGAAGGGCAATAAAACAAGGAAAGGTACAGAGTAAGTAAAGAGGTCAAAACGAATTTGATAATTGCCAAATGGGCTAAGGTTTGAAGAGTTCAAAGTGACTTCATGGCCAATCAATATTAAACAATTTGGGAGAAGGATTCTTAACCAAATAAAAATAAATAAATTCTTGGAAAAATCGCAATGATATTGATTCTTTTGGAAGCCAATCTCTTTCCCTCTCTTGTACTCCAACATTCAAACACTCAAGACACAATAGTTTGTTGATGTTTCCTTTCAAGGGGAAAACTATTGAAGTGCACGATATGCAACATTAGCATCAACACAAGAAACAAAGGTCAATGTTGTTCATTCCTATTTATCAATTAATGCAAACAAACTAGGGTATCTATCATTCAATTGAAATGCCATTTAGGAAAAGAGAAAAAAAATCCCTTCTTGATGATCAAGTTGTACCCATATAAAATTTTCCAGTAATATTACATTACAATTAGGAAGCCCCAGACAAAATGAAAGAAAAAAAAGGTCTGGAGAGAGAAACAAACCCTAAAAAATGTAAAAGAAGCAACGAAAAGAAGCATACCCGAAGGAGGTGGTGTCTTGTTCTGGTCAGTTCTTCTCTTTCTCTTCCCCATTATATACTGATATATATGTATATATGTATATGAATATGAATTATATGAATAACAGAATTTTAACGGCTAGAAAGCCGCCAAATTATGGGGTTTTCGGCTGTTCTCTTTTGGGGAAGAAGTGTCTGTGGCCTTGCGGTGATAAAGCAGAGGACAGCGGACGACGATCAAGAAATCTAGAGAGAGAAAATGAAAGAAAGAGAGTACCAGCGACAGAGAGAGAGGGACGAGGGGAAGTGTCAGCAGTTTTTTGGGGGAGAAGGGGAAAAACGTGCGAAAGAAACGGCGAAGACATGGTTCTTTAACTTCCGTCAACGTCAGCTTCTACTAAGCGGCGACACGTGTAAGCATAAACCCTAATAATTAAACTTAAACAGCATCCACCATCACCCTCCTTTTGCTTCGCGGGGCGTTGGTGCCTAATAAATTAATGATGCCATTTAAATTAATTTTGTTCTACTTTCTATTTATATGATAGTTTTCATTTGATATCTTTTTTATTCTTGAGGGAAAAAAAATAAAAAGAAGAAAAGAAGGAAGAAAAAAAGAAAAGACAGGCCTATTCAAAACTATTGATATCACTAACGGACCAATGACTAGTGATATTAATCTCTTATTTTTCAAAAAGAAATCAGGAGTTCAAATCTCAGGAAAGATATATGCATGTGAGTACCAACTAAAAAAAAATCTATTGATATCAAGGCTCACCACTAAGTTTTGATGAGAAATTATTAAATTATAATATTGATAAAAGATATACAGTAAATATTAAAATTGTCACTATCAGTTAAACAAATTGTATATGGTATATGAGAGTAACATGTTGAAGGCCCAAGTTAGGCATGGCCCAAAGGGTTTGTAGGCCTGAGAGCCGGCAAAAGCTGAAAGCAGGACAAGTAGACCATTACATTATCTAATCAACAGAACCATTTAAGGTAAGCCTAGAAGCTGCAAAACTTTTAGAGCCCATGATAAGCCCAAACTTTGAAAACTATCCAACCAAAGGTCCAAAGCAACCATTGAATTCTCTATGAACCACAACCACAGAACCACTACAGATTACAGAACCAGCAAGGAAACCATTTCATCCTAAATTCCTAATAATTAAAATTTGAAACAAAAAACGAAAGTATATATGAGCTTTGGGACAGGTTCATTTTCCATTGTTTGAATAAAATAAATAGCTTTGGGAGTAGTATGTTTAGCACATGTAGAACTATAAAATAATGAAGTCGGAGTCAGTTAGGACTTGGCTAGGCTAGAAAAGTTAAACTTGAACTCGATTTGATTTCTAAATTAATCAAGTCGGGCTTAGACTCATTTAATAACTGAAGTCATTTGAACTCGATTTGAGTTAATTGTTCAAAATCGTTTTGACTGTGTATAAATTTAAGCAAAAGTTATATTCATGGACATTGCTTATAATGTTCGAGATGAGATGTCCTTGCTGGGTTTTGTGACACATTACCAGTCACCTAAGAATTCAATTTATAATAATGTAGTAAATGAGAGTAAACTTAAAATCATGCTCCAAATATGTAAATAAATGGTGGAAGCACGTAACATTCACATGGCTCTCACCTCTATAATCATATAAGAAGTAAGGACACCTTTACAAACGTACTTATATCCATGTCGGACATCGATACTCTTCAGACACATATACTTATTCGATACTTCATATACGTGTCTATAAATAAAAATTAATTTTATTATTTCGGACATTTCGCCGACAGTTCGCAGACACTTCGTTGACACTTTTCGGACACTTCGCCGACACTTCTCAAACATTTGTAACACAAATCTACCAACTAATCCTGAAAAAAATATGAATATTATCCTGATAAAATAGTGAAATACTAATACATATGATATAAATCATTACAATAATAACATAATATCATTTTCTAATTCATTTCAGAGTAACTCTTAATATAAAAATTATAAATGAATTAAAATTTTATAATACTATTATTGAATAGATGTATAAAAATAAAAATTTATATTTATATATAGCCATATCTACGCCATACTTGTATCTTATTTTTTAAAATTTTGATAAATTAATATATCCGTATCATATCATATTTATATTTCGTATCTATATCCGTATCCATACAACATTAACATGAGATAATCATCATATTCAACTAAGCATTTGTTACATCTGAGTATTGGGACACCACCGACAGGGGACAGGGCACATCTTTAGACCTTTAGTCTCTCTCCTCTGCTTTCATGTCATTGTCAGTTCTAATTTCCCTCTTTTTCTTTCCTCTTCGAAGATTCTCACAGAAGCATATTCCATTTGCATTACCATAAATCAATAAATGTATTATCTAATGATGTGTGAATTCAGTTACTTTATAAAGAAGATTTAAGGTTTTTTTTTTAACTTGAGGAGTTCGATCTTTTAGAGGCAATCCAAACAAGGCCAAACATTTGATTTGAAGCTTGAACTACCATACAACTATCATAATGCGCGGGTTACCCGAAGTTACTAAAATAACCACGTTCTATTTTTTCTTTTTCTTTTTTCTTTTTTCACACATCTCCTGTTATCTGTAACAAAATAATTACAGTTCTTGACCTAATGCATGATAAATAAAAATAACCTGGTTCTTGACGTAATGCATGATAAATTAAGATCACTACGTATGGGGCTATCATTTGACCAAAAAATCAATTACTCCGTATAATGTTTTGATTAGCAGTGCTTCATGCAATCCTAAAAAAATCAAGTGCATTGTATGTATACATACATGAGTTAATTGATAATTATTTTAGTGCTTGAAGACTGACTTTTAAAATGCTAGCTTTTGTTTGGGGAAAAATAACACCAGAAGTTTGTTTGTTTTTATTTTTATTTTTTTTTCGATATTAGTGGTATTGAGTCTTTTAGAGCACTCCATAATTCATCATAAGTTAGGTTCTTGTTCTATTTGAATAAGAAGAAAGATCAACAAAAGGGAGTGGATTAAAAGTCTCGGCGATCTCTTTTTACTTTTTACCCTAATCAAGTTACGTACATAATAGGAGTTCGAATTCTCTATTCATACATTTGAAAGTTTAGTGCACGAAAGAGGGTACAGATCACCCATAAGATGTACATTACTTACTATCTTGTTTTGTAAACCGAAACTTTTTATATATTTTTCTAAGGACACTCTTCCCATCTTCCTACATTCCCTTCAGTCTAACTTTTCATTCTTCACACCTAATAAAGATTAATTAACTATAAGTTAAATTTGTTGGGGGACCATTTCAGATGAACTACTTCTTAGAAAATTTAGCCCTTGTTATTTAGGGGATTAATTAATTATAAAATGGGTGGATGCCTCTGCAATTAGCTGATACAAGACAACCAAAGTTATAAATGCCAGCCTGGATTGTCATGCAAATCACTCAAATAATGTTTACTAATAACTTGTAAATCCCATCATCTGAATCAAGGTACACCTGTTTCTCTTCCAAGTTGGCAACAAAAGGTGTGAGATCTGGAAATGGGTGTAGTGGAGTGGGGTTGAGCCTAATGAACATGGGCTTTGGGTCCCACATTGACCCCTGACCAGAATGATAGCACAGCCCCAACCTTCCCTCCTCCCACCAGCCTGTTGTCTCATCTTCTTCAAGACGACATAGACAAAACAACCACAATTACCACAAAATACAAAGCTCCCTATATGTATGTATATACACACACATATACATACACAGCACATGTAATTATTTATGTAACAACTGACTAGTAAAAGAGATTAAACTATCACCGGTTGGAGGCTTGCACACCTTTCAATATAAGCGAAAAATTGTCACTGTACTCTCTTTAAATTGTTTAATATATGCTCCATGTTTGTAACCATAAAAAATTTAAAAATAATCAAAAATAAATTAAAAAATAAAAACCTTGGAGAAACGTATCTTATGTTTCAAAGGTGTGTGTACAAAAATAATCATTCTGGTGAACAGTCAATATTCCTTAATTAGTTGATTCTAATCATGTTTCCGAAATTCCGATTTAGATATTTGTGGTCTTTAACTTTGTTACCGTTTGAAAATTCCTATGATTAATTTTGTTGAGATTACAATAAAATCTTGATGTGTGAAAGGTCAATATTTTTCTTTTTTTATCGAAAAAAGGAAGGTCAAACTTGACCACGTATTAGTAACTGCTTGCTAATACGAAAATACTAATGTACGTAGTAATAATACTTTGGATGCTACTTTAAATACGTAGTAGCATGAAGACTGAGAGACTAGATAGCATCCAAAGTATTATACTCTCGTATTTGCCAAATACGAGAGTATTTAAAGTTAAAGTTCTTTTTGGAGTTTGTGCCAATTTAGCCCTTAAAGCTTGAATTTATTACAGTCAAAAGATTACGAACTTGACCACTTATTAATTACGCAGTACTCCGTATATGATACGTATAATATAAGACTTTATAGAGTTGTTATTGTTTTTTGGTAAAGGAAATGATTTTATTTTAGGATATATTTAAGATTTAATTTCCAAGTTTAGTTTTGTTTACTAAAAAATATAAAGAATAATATCCACAATTATCCTTCATCACAAAATAATAATAATATCATTAAACGTTTCTAAATTGCAATTTTTTCCGTGATAATTAACTTCTATTAAAGGTTTTCATCAAATTTCAGATTATAAAAAATAATAATTATAAAAAGGCTACTACCAAGTCTATTTTTGAAAAGAAAAAAAAAAAGTTGTGTTTTTTATTTTATATGAGGAAATAGGTGAGGAGGTTTCATTAAGAAAAAAAAAATTTTGAGGTTTGGAAAAGAGTAGATTGGTCAAGTAAGAATAACTTTTTGAGTAAAGTGTCAAGCAAGAATAACTTTTTGGGTAAAAAACAAAGTAAGAATAAATTTTACTTGGTACAATGTAATGGGTCCACCTAGTAATGCTTCAAGTGACGGTCCTGATCTTGTGGGGGCAATGGGGAGAATGGCATGATTTGTTGATCTGATCATGCAATATGACAATGAAATACTATCCGTCAATCAGAGCTTCCTTAAAAAAAGTGTGCGTTCAAAACACGCTCTCGTCTTAGAGATCCGAATATTATGTGCCCTGGCCAGCTCGATCGCACACTTTTAGGCATGGAAGCTTCGTCTAAGGCAAGTTAAATTGCTTAATACGACGTCGTACTCCGAAGGTTCGCGATAACCTTTAGGTGGTGCTCACTGGTCCACCTACACTACGTGTCTCCGCTATCTTATATCTGCTGACGAGGATGGAGCATCTAAATCTGACTTTTATCTTACTAAACTACGGAGTCCAAAAGTAGTAACAGTTTGAGAACGTTTATTTATTTATTTTTTTGTCATTAATGTGATTGATTTAGATTGGCAATAGCAAAGAGGGCATAAGAGTTGTTTGAAAATGCAGAAGTAAACTTTTAATTCATTTTTACTGAAAATTACATTATTTATGTCGCCAACTCTAACTAATTGAGAGATGATTGTAGTTGGTTGTATTTTTCAATACTAATTTTTTTTATTTTATTATTATTATTTTTTAATAATTTGAGAAATCAAAATTGAATTACAACTTTCAATATTTCACCATCCTAATTAATTAGTCAAATTATTATGCTTACTCGGGTGATTTGAAATATTATAAAAAGAAGTCTAAACACTTCACTTTCGTAACATTTCTTATTTACTGCATAAATTTTAAAAATAAAGTATCTTAGTCTAAGCTGTGAATTAGTGATTTTTATTCATGAGTGTATGTATAAGATGGCAAAAAAAATATTATTTACATATATAATAAATTAATAATATATATCTTATATTATTCTGTTTTGATGTATTTATGAAGTACATGTGATCTGCTATCTTTAAATTTATTATATCGCTGCGTGGATATCACGCCATGCTGTTTCGTATTTATATCCGTTCTTATTAGAATATCATAAAAAAGTTAAAATTAAAATTGTGCAAGTTTCCTGACAAACACGTGAATAGGTTATTAGCAAGCATAAAACCACAGACACAATATAACTATATAATTTATTATGAGTTTATTTTCGACACTTATACATAGATTTTTCTTATAATTTATCGAATTATTTTTAAACTATGACCTCCAGGAGACTTCTTATCTAGTTAAATCATGATTACTTGTTTAATTTTATATTATACTGAAAAAATAAGATTATTTTCTAAAAAGCTGTTTCAAAAAATAGAAAAGGCCCGTGTCATAGAAATATATAAAAATCTAATTCTTTTAATATGTTTTTATATTATAATAAATTTTTTAAGGATAAAACTAGGGTAACCATAGATTAAATTAGACATCAATCTTAATTCGATCCATTCTCAATGAATTGAAAAAGTCTTAATCCATCATCTATTCGTGGGATAACCCATTAGATCAGTAAATTAATGGATTGGATACGCGGACTAGAGTTTTTTCTTAAATAATTTAATATTATTTATTTTTAACCCCAGCCCAATAGATAGAGTTTTTTCATAAATAATTCAATATTATTTATTTTTTAACCCCAACCCAATATATAAAATTTTAATTTATTAACATTAATTTATATATTAAAATGATAATGAACTAATACATCACCATTAACTAATTAAATTAATTTAAATAATAAATTCTTTAAATATATATATATATATATAAATCTCACATATATTTTAATAATCCGTTTGAGTTACAGATTCAATTTTTTTGAATTTGCTACTAATTTGTGAGTGTAGTAATTTGATCCATTCTGATTGCGAATTCACTGATTATTTACATACCCTAAATAAAATAAGAAATGATATCTGCATACTGATAAGTAAGAAATTTATTCAGGATAAATCATAACTAATATTTAAATTGTTATATTTTCTATTTTTGGTGCGAGATCAACACATGAGCTGTTTCTGTTATTCCTACCGTACCCAGCCACGTCCATTATTAATTTATTAGCAATTCTTTTTGTTAAACATTTCAATATTTCACCTCAACAAATAAACATAAGCAAATACTTATATTTTTGGAATGGAGATGTTTTAACCTGGTGATAGCACTTCTGGTTTTAACCACAGCACACGCTCTGTTCTGTTGTCTCTCATCAATCAATGCCCTGGTGATAGTGCTAGTGGTGCTACCATCTCTATCCTACGTGTGTGTGTGTGTCAGTGTGTGTATATATAGATATATATGTTCACAGCGCCGATACATTATATATGTAGTGTAAACCCCAAAACACACTCCGACCGCTTCATTTCGCTTCCTTCATTTATTTTGCTTTTCCGGCGAGGCTCGCGAAGTACTCCGCCGTATATCCTGCCATGGGGTCGACAATCCTGTCAGATCTCGCCACAGAGATTGTGATTCCGGTATGCGCCGTCATCGGCATCGCGTTCTCTCTCTTCCAGTGGCTCCTCGTCTCGCGGGTGAAGCTTTCTCCGGAAAAGTACTCCTCGTCTAACAACGGCAAGAACGGCCACACCGAGTCGTTGATTGAGGAGGAGGAGGGTCTAAACGACCACAACGTTGTTCAAAAATGCGCCGAAATTCAAAGCGCTATCTCTGAAGGTGAAACCTTTATCTCAGATCTTGTGGTTCCAGATTGTTTTTGATCGTTTTGGGTAGATCTAAGTTTATATTATATATGTTTAATGGCATACATAATATCACATATATATGCTATTGATTTATGACGGTTTATGATGTATTTATCTTTGTAAATAACTAGTCTTGTTTAGAGTTTTTTTTGGTTGAATTAATTTTTAAGATGTATTTATTTTTCTTGTTCTTTTTACTTTGGATGGTTAAGTGTAGCTTAAACTTCACAATAGAGTATATATTTCGTTATCAGTATTGTTGTTATTTCGATTAAATAATTTTATGGCCTACATGGAAGTTATTATTTCTTATAATCAGCATGATTAATAATTATGTTCTTCAACGTTTTTTCCTGTTTACATTTCGGTGATTCTTTTGAGATTTAGCCCTACTCGGTTTTTTCTTTTTTCTTTGTCTGTTGTTGTTGTCTAGTAATATATCTGTGTATGTATATAATAGAAGTGGCACGTGTAGTCAGACTCATGCTTGAGTCTTTGAACTTCTCTGTCTTTGATAATTTGATGTGATTTAACAAAGTATGCTGTCTCAAAAGTTGGAAGTTTTTTTTTTTTATAGTCTGCTTGAATTAAACATCAATCTGTGGGGCCTCTCATATTTGAAGAAAAATTCCCTGAATGATTTTGTCCGGGTCATTGTAATTATGCTAGATCTAAGAAGAAATTATATTTGCCTATACAGAGTTTCTTTACCGTAGCTACCCTATAATCTCTGCCCCATCTAACAACTTTACCATGATGGCCCCTGTCATTACTAGATCGATCTGGGAATGTTCAAACAATTAAGGGCGTTTCTTGTTGTCCCCTAAAACTGAATTACCGCATTGTGTTCACATTGTCTTTCGTGCAAATTGTTCTATTGGAAAAGGTTCTTATTTTTAATGGGACTATTGCATAAACAAGAAGTATGAAATTGACTGATGGAATCTGAATTGATGATGTTACATGAAATCACTGATGGAATCTGAATTGATGATGTTACATGAAATTTTAGAACCAAACCCATAGGATTAGTTCTGGTGATAAAAAATGGCCCCATTTTTCGTAAATACACGCCTTTAATTGAAACATTAAATTGGCAGCAATTTTAGTTTCTTTCGTCTATCCCAATATATATATTTTTTCCCTTCTTCCCACGGTGTTCTAATTTTGAACATTAAATTGGCAGCAACTCTAAGTGTCACCTAAGTTACTGAGTGTAGCTCTGCTGAGGACAAGAACAATGTGATTTGTTGACTTTCCTGTAATCTTTTTTATTTTTAATGTGGTGTTGGTTTGATGTTGGACTTCAGGTGAATTTTATTTTGTGTTAGAATGTGAATGCTGTATAATTTATGTTCTGTGGTACCTAATATTTCTCTTTTTGTTCTTGGTTTGTAGCTTGGATAGAATGAAGTATATACTCATGTTATTACAACTTTGACTTGTTCTTATTTCTGGAACTTTCATTTGCTTTAAATTTGTGCCAATAATTCTTGCTTATAAAAATAATAATAATAATAATAATAATAATTGTGCTAATAATCTATTTTGTGCTTGTGTTTCTGCTTGTTTGTAGAGTTTTGGGATTTTCTAATTTTGAATAAATGGATGTTGCAGGTGCAACCTCCTTCCTTTTTACTGAATATCAGTATGTTGGTGTTTTCATGGTTGCTTTTGCCATTTTGATCTTCCTTTTCCTCGGCTCTGTGGAGGGATTCAGTACAAAAAGCCAGCCTTGTATGTATGACATCAGCAAGATGTGCAAGCCTGCTCTTGCCACTGCTGTCTTCAGCACCATATCTTTCTTGCTTGGTGCTGTCACTTCAGTGGTTTCTGGTTTTCTTGGAATGAAAATTGCTACCTATGCAAATGCCAGAACTACCTTGGAGGCAAGAAAGGGTGTTGGTAAGGCTTTCATCACTGCATTTAGATCTGGTGCAGTCATGGGTTTCCTCCTTGCTGCAAATGGTCTTTTGGTTCTGTACATTGCCATCAACCTCTTCAAGCTGTACTATGGGGATGACTGGGAAGGCCTTTTTGAAGCTATAACTGGCTATGGCCTTGGTGGATCTTCCATGGCCCTCTTTGGCAGAGTCGGTGGAGGTATTTATACAAAAGCTGCTGACGTAGGAGCTGATCTTGTGGGCAAGGTTGAGAGGAACATCCCTGAGGATGACCCCCGAAACCCTGCGGTAGGATACAATATGCCTCTTAAATTAAGCCCTTTTCAAACTGGTTGCCTCTTGGGCTTGTGATTTAATTTGTTGTCTCTCTTTTTTCAGGTGATAGCTGACAATGTTGGTGACAATGTTGGGGATATTGCTGGGATGGGCTCTGATCTTTTTGGCTCGTATGCAGAATCATCCTGTGCTGCACTTCTTGTTGCTTCCATCTCCTCTTTCGGGATCAATCATGACTTCACTGCAATGTGTTACCCTCTCCTCATCAGTTCCGTTGGCATCATTGTTTGTTTGCTCACCACCTTATTTGCCACTGATTTATTTGAAATCAAGGCTGTAAAGGAAATTGAGCCAGCTTTGAAGAAGCAACTCATCATCTCCACTGTATTGATGACTTTTGGTATCGCACTTGTTAGTTGGATTGCACTTCCATCTTCGTTCACCATCTTCAATTTTGGAATCCAGAAAGAAGTTAAGAACTGGTAAGCTCCATAATTGCTGCTTCATTTTTGGACATTTAATCATTATACACTGTATACCAAACAACAGTCAATATAATTAGCCTCCTTTTAGATATTTGTTTGCATTAGATTAGTAGGAGGTGGCCATCCGATATTGATTCAAATAACATTTGAAGGCAGAAATCCTTTTTTAGGACAGATTAATCATTTGTTACATGTACAAAAGAAGGACCTGTCATTTATTTCATAAAATATGAATTCATTCTGAAAGCTGAATCCTCTTGAAATTTTATAAATAATCTAAAGAGAGTGCCTTGAATTAATGTTACCTAGAATGTTGTTAGTGAAACGGAAACTCTGCAAAAAGTCGAAATACTATAGTTTGGCAGGAATGTTTCAGAGAAGATTCATTTTCATATTATAGAACACAATTGAAATCTTCCCTTTTTTATGGGACATCCAAACGGCCTTCTCAAGAATCTAACATCAATTTGGGTGTGCAGGCAACTGTTCTTATGTGTTTGTGTTGGTTTGTGGGCTGGGCTTATTATTGGATTTGTAACAGAATATTACACCAGTAATGCATACAGGTACCATGTTATGGCAGTTGTGTTTATACTTGGGTAAATATTTCTTACCAATCGCTAGTTCTAACTCTAGATTCCCATCATTTTTCAGCCCCGTGCAAGATGTTGCTGATTCCTGCCGTACTGGAGCTGCTACAAATGTTATTTTTGGCCTTGCACTGGGATATAAATCAGTCATTATTCCTATTTTTGCCATTGCAATCAGCATTTTTGTTAGTTTTAGCTTTGCTGCTATGTATGGAATTGCGGTAGCTGCCCTTGGTATGTTAAGCACCATTGCTACTGGATTGGCCATTGATGCATATGGTCCTATCTGTGACAATGCTGGAGGTATTGCCGAGATGGCTGGCATGAGCCACAGGATCCGAGAGAGAACTGATGCCCTTGATGCTGCGGGGAACACAACAGCAGCAATTGGAAAGGTATATAATCACTTTCCAGCCAAACTGGAGCCATTTCTATGTTGCATTAGATGATACAGTAAATCTGAATGGTAGCTTTTGGGTGCATGCCATAAGATCAATGTGTTTTACTGTTAAAACTTCTTGGAACAAAAGAAAGAAAAAAGGTTGGGCTATTTTTGAATGAGGAATTTAGGGAGGGATTTGAGATCCAAAAAGGCAATTAAGAATTCTCATATTTAAAATTCTTTGCTTTGTAAAAGAAGATAAGGATTCTTAAACTCTCTGGAGAATTTCAAGAAGGAACTTTAAGATTCTAAATACTGAATGAAAACCCCACAATTGGTATTATCTTAGAATCCTCGAAACTAAGAGTTCATTGCTTTGAGCTCTCTTGAGAACCCATCCCTCTCTGTTTCTTTACTTTTTCTATGGATTCTTAGTTATCCTAACTTTCATTCATCAATTTTTTTTGATGATTAAAACCACAAACTCATGATTGAGTGTCCCTCGTGACTCTGGAATCTTTTGCTTTTCAATTGTTCTTTTAATCAAGTACCGGGAATTTATGTTTTGTTGTATCATTAGTTTTAATTAGGTTTAACATTGAGAACAAAAGGGTTACATTTTTTTTTTTAAAATCCTTTTTTTGGATAAAGCTTAAACAGAAACTTCTCATTTCCAAAACATTTTGTCAAAGTTCTATGGGGCTACAAGAGGTGCCCTTGGAGTACGTTCCCTCATTTTCACTGGAACATATTCAATGATATACCACTCGCCCTACTATATATAGCAGGGCATCAATACATCTTTTTTCCTAATTCGAGAGACTTGTTATTACTATCTTTACTAAGAGTATTAGAGTAGCTGCTCTTGTCAACAGTGAGGAGTATGGTTATACGACTCATACTCATTCATGAGGGACGTGATAGGGGATATAGTTTTGTATGCTTAAGTTACACTATCTTCTCTAACTTAAGCTTTTGGGGCATCTAGCTGTCTAACAAAGGTTTAAATTCCTTCATTTCTACTTATCAAAAAAAAAAAAAAATTCCTTCATTTCTAATATTGCAGGTGCTCTAAAGTCCAGTCTTTTGATAGAACTCTTAATTTACTGTGTGGAAGTGTGTTGGAGGATATAAATACTTCAGTTTCGCCCTCTATTTTTTAGGGTTGACAGGTTGTCTAATGTAGATTTTAAGTCGCTTGAGATTAAATAATAGGCAACCAGTCTCTTCATCTCAATTCACTTTTATTCTGTTCTATGGGTCATTTGACGGTTGAACTTTTGTTTTTATGGACATTGCATGGGACCTAAGTCAAGTAGTAGGAATATCCTACGAGATGTAGTGACAATCTTGTACAGGGTAGCTTTTACTTCGTTCTATGTGATGTTTTCCGTGTATAGTTTCTCTGTAGATGCCTTAATGTTTTGCCTCAGAGGTAAGATCTCTTGGATGTTTGTTCGAGTACTGGTTATAAAAATGCTAGTATCATTTTCTTATTTATTTTATTAAAATGGGTATTTATACATTTTTGCCTATAAAATCTGAAAGGCAAAATCCTATTTAGGCAATGAGTTTCTAACTAATAAAAAGTTGGTGAGAGATGAGGTGCTTTTTCTTACTAAATCCTGAGCTTAGTTTATTAGTAATGACAAATGCTTTGCTTTAAGAAGACGGCCTAATGAACAAATTGTGCCCTAGATCAAATATAGATCTTACTAAAGAAAACATGTTTTTGAAATAACAGTCTCGTTTGGTTTACATACCGCTAATCATTTTTTTGTGATCTTGTTTTAGGGGTTTGCAATTGGGTCTGCAGCTCTCGTCTCCCTTGCACTCTTTGGGGCCTTTGTAAGCCGGGCAGGAATTTCGACTGTAGATGTCTTGACACCAACAGTTTTCATTGGTTTGCTCGTTGGTGCAATGCTTCCTTACTGGTTCTCTGCCATGACAATGAAGAGTGTGGGAAGTGCGGCTCTTAAGATGGTTGAGGAGGTTCGCAGGCAATTCAACACCATCCCTGGCCTCATGGAAGGCACTGCCAAGCCTGACTATGCCACATGTGTCGAAATCTCCACGGATGCATCTATCAAAGAGATGATTCCTCCTGGTGCTCTTGTCATGCTCACGCCCCTCATTGTTGGGATATTTTTTGGTGTGGAAACACTATCGGGCGTCCTTGCTGGATCCCTTGTCTCTGGTGTACAGGTAATACTGGACTTGTTACTTTGAGAAAATCTCCAATACCTATAATTTTTATCTCTCTTGATCCTATATGTATGTGCTTGTTATGCTACAAGAAATTTTATTTGATTATAAGGGGAGCAGTTTAGTTATAGTAGGTAATTTTGAAATGTTATTAATGGTAAAAATGATATAATATTTTCCATTACAAGATTATCCACTAACGGAAGCCATTTCATTTTGGAGTTCTAACCCTTTCCAGTTTGTTATACATGTACTTGGGAAAAGTTTGTTCTGATCATCTCTCTCTGCAGATTGCTATTTCCGCTTCCAACACTGGCGGTGCTTGGGATAATGCCAAGAAGTATATTGAGGTAAAGTATTTAAATTGGACTGTATGAATCTTATGATCCATGCTTTGAAAATGTTCTATTAAATAATGCGTCTTATGCACTGGAATTCATTTTTGGATATTATAGGCTGGTGCTTCAGAGCATGCAAGAACCCTTGGTCCAAAAGGATCTGATCCACACAAGGCAGCTGTGATTGGTGACACCATCGGGGACCCACTTAAGGATACATCTGGACCATCATTGAACATCCTTATCAAGCTAATGGCAGTTGAATCACTTGTGTTTGCTCCTTTCTTCGCTACACATGGGGGTCTGCTCTTCAAGATTTTTTAGAGTAAGAGGAGTAATCTGTACCGCTGGGAATTTGCTCCCAGTTTCCCTTTGATTTATGTAGTCTGATAGTCGTTTACACCCCAAATTTCTTACTTCCCTCTCTCTCTCTCTTCGGCATCTTCCTTTATCTTTGTATGGGTTAAGGTTGTGTTGGAGGAGAGTTTTTTCCATGGGGTTGATAATGATGATAATGGTTAATCTTTTGTGGGGTTGATAATGACGATGATGATAGTGGTGATGTTGCAAAAAGTTGGGACTGCTTTGTTTTTCTTCCCCCAAGTAAAAAAACATTATTCTCAAGTGTCTATTGTTGCAATCTCTCTCTCTCCCTCTCCCCCCATTATGGCACTAAATTTTGGTGAATTAAATCGAAGTTTGCAGACACATTCTGTGGCACCAGATTAAAAAAAACAAGAGTCTTGTCTGAGTTAATTTCCATTTTAATGGCAATGGCGCATGTATGAACTCCAATGGGGAGTGATATCTTGTCTTCTAGTTCGATCCTCAATCGGTTTTCTGCCTGCAGATTGAAGGCTACATGATTCACAAGATTTTGCAAAATAGCTATCATCAACTCTGTTTTGCAGAATACTTGAACAGGTCTGTTGTCATGGTCTGGTGGCAGGAGGGGCTAGCACTCGGTGGAAACTAGATTTCAAATCTCATTAACTATAGTTTGTTACGAGGCCACAATTTTTATGAATTGCATCTGATCTTGCAAAAGGGTGCTAAGAAACACTTGGTCTTGAATTTTGGGAGAGCTGCTGGAGCCAGATGGAAGATATTTTTAAGCCGATTTCTGTAAATTCCATTTCAATGCTGGTATATTTACTGTCTTCCTACTGCAGATCCATGTTTCATTGTCTTCAAAGCTAATGCTCTTACATCCAGGTTGATGGGATAATCTGTTTTATCTGTTGGAGGAGCTGACTACTTTTATATTGAATCTCATTTCATCATGCTTCTTTCCTGGTGCACTTAACCTTCAAAAGTACATATGCACTTTCCACCACCGTCTAATAATCAACACAATCCTAATCTTTGGCTTAATCTCATATGAATGAGGATAGTATGCTAGTACAATCTATTTGCTTCAACTTTCATAGTTCGGTATAAATCACAAGATGATGAAACACAAACTTAAATCTTTGCTGCTTCAATTGGTCTCTTACCTTGCTGGTAGTTCTGAAAATAGATATCAACATAATTTTTCACTTTCTTGTATAACCTTGGCCTTTTCTCGTTGATGAGCTGCTCCACTGGTCCAATCTCCTTTCCCAAATCTGGCATACAAAATACAGCCAGTGTGATCCTCTCCTTTACAGAGTTTGTCACTACCCTGTGTACTGGGCTCTTGAAAATTCCATTACTCATTATCTGCAGGTGTCATATTTTTTTTTTATAAGTAGAGTTTCATTAGAAAACACAGGCTCAAACAGAGAGCACATCCCACAAAACTACACAAGGACCAAATTGGACTCCTAAACTCTCAATATGTCCAAAAAATCTACTCTCCCCCCCAAAAATTTACAATTTCTACCATAAGCCCAACAGAAAGAGAATTAAGAATAGAAAAGTTAAGCATCCCAATAGGAGTCTCCTCACCATCAAAGATCTCCTATTCCGTTCTCTCCACAAACCTCACCAAACAAACAAGGGCGCCACCTTCCAAAAAAAACTATGGGGGAGATATTTATGTACGTACACTTTTATAAGGGTTAACTAAATCAGCAGAAAGGTGTAGTCATCTGATATATTTGCTTTCAATTATATAGAATAGAAACCATTTTTAATCTACTCTACTTCGAGGGCTGTTAATATGATAGACAATCTAATTACCTCTGCTTGATCACCAACATTAATGAGAAGAGCATGAGGAATGATGGGAACTCTAAACCACTGATCATCTTTCAGGATTTGGAGGCCTTCCACTTCTTTGTCTTGCAGGAGGAAGGTAATTGCTGATCCATCTGCATGTGGTTTGACGCCGAGAATAAGATCAGGCCTTGGACATGGAGGGTACAAGTTAAATCTTGCAGTCATCGATCCTTTCTCTCCAAACTGGTTCAGAAAGCAGTTCTCCTCCAAGTCTAATGAATTTGCCATGGCCTTAAGGACGAGCTCATTCATCATTCTCAGCTTTGTGGTATATTCATCTAAAATTTCCCTGCATATATTTAAATTGGGGTTAATTGTCAGGGGAAGGGGAATGCCCAAATTAACAAGGACAACTCAGTAAGATATAATATAACGTGTGATTGATTGAGGCTTAGCCTTATTTATAGCAGAATAGAAAAAGAATTCATGTAGTTATCGAGTAGACCGTGAAAACTCTGTTGAGTTGAGTTTTTCAGAATGGAATACTCTGAAGCCATTTTTATTTTATTTTGCACATTAGATAACTATGAAATCACTAGATACAACTCGATTGAACACTAAACCATAAATACAGGCTACTACCATCTTATGTGGTCCCAATAATCAAGAGTAGTGAGAGGAATATTTTGCATGAATTACATAAATATTTGGTGAATTTGAATTCTCTCCTGTGCATTGGATGGTCGGGAAGGTGGAGATCACCTCATGGGAGTGTGGACCGCACTGGCAGAGTGGGTCCACCCTCCCCAGTGGACTAGAGAGGATCCTGAGATCCAAACTGGTGGTCCTAAGACTGCTCTACAAGTACTTAATTTCAAGGTAAGCCTGGTTATATGGGATTAAAGAAATGATGATGATGATTTATTTTGAATGTAATCAGTGTGATGAACATACCTAAAATTTTCAGGATTTTCAGGCCAAAGTTCGAGCTTTCTCTGATCTTCTGGGTATACTGTAAGATACAACCGATCCGTCCAATCGAGAATTTGATTCTCCGAAAGAACTGTATCATTTCCGTACCCTTCAATGTCATCTAATGCTCTGGAACATTTCTGCTTCTCTTCTGTTGGAAATGCAAAGAATTGTTTGGCAACTTTTTGCACTTCATCTAGGAATGAATTTGTTATTCCATGATTTATTGCCTGGAATTCATAATTAAATCTGATTATGTTGCCACACCAAAAAAGGCACAAACATGGTTACAAGAAGGAAAATCGAAAGCAATTCGTTGATTCCTTGAAAAATATTTATATTCATAAATTTAGTATGCTTAATCAAACTACCCAAAAGTATATGTTTCTATAAAATCAAACCTGAAAGCAACCACATGAGCTGAGAGCTGATTGAAGTTTCCCAAGTTCTTCTTTTCTGGTGGGTGATGAAGATGTCAGCAGACCAACATCAATAACCGGAACATCCAGCAGAGGTGAAGAGGCATGGATGGCTCCATCACCGCCTTTATAGACTCCATCCCCTTTATAGACATATCTTTGTGGCGGTTCATCACCATTAATGGCCAGTTCTTGGACAGGCTTGGACAGTGATTCTTTCTTGGCATGGGCAGGAGTTGCGGCCATGTTTCTGTCTCAGGCAGCTGTTCAATTTGGTGGGTGATGATCGGTTTGGATTACAGTAGAGAGGAATTCAATGTATATGGGTTGTAATTTGGATTGATTCTGGGTGGTCTTCGAAGATAAGCACATGATGGAAGCATGGTTGGACAACTTGGACTGGTTTATGATTTTAATAAAGAAAAGCTTATTTAATTACAGTAGAGAGAGAATTCAATGTATTTGGGTTGTAATTTGGATTGATTCTGGGTGGTCTTCGAGGATAAGCAAATAATGGAAGCATTGTTGGACAACTTGCACTGGTTTATGATTTTAATAAAGAAAAGCTTATTTAATTATTTATGTCAAAATTTATTTAATAAATTAATATATAGTTTGACTGCTTACTTAGGTTTTAATTATTTATTTCAGATTTATTATGATGATCAGTCCAAAACTACTTCACGTGATGGTGTTGATGTCAAAACGAGCACAAAATTGGAGTAAGTTGAAAAGTACATTTTTTTTCCTTTTTTAATTTTGAAAAAAAATACAGCTATTTTTATTGTGGACTTAAATAATGGATGGCATCATAGCGCACACAAATTCTTCTTTCATTTTCAATTCCTTTTGGGTCAGATGATAGCATGCCACAATTATGAAATTGAAACCCTTTCCGTGGCTCACAATTTGAGTAAATGATCTATTCAACATCAAAGAGGAGAAGTTGACTGCGATATATGGCCCGATTCAAGCTTTGATCAATTTAATTTTTTTTTTTTTTTAAACACCAACAGGGAGCATCGATTAAGAAAAGGAAAAATTACAATCGGGGAGAAGAGCATCTAACAACCATTGAGGCCAGATACTCTACTCAGAATCACTACGATTGGCTTCAAGAGCCTTCCTGCTCAACAAGTGAGCTACAACATTTCCTCCACGAGGAATCCACGCCAAAGAAGAACCTACACATTCCTTCAAAAGAGTTGATATATCATTGAACACCACACAGAGAGCTTCAACAGTTGGTTGTAACTTCATGACTGATTGACAATCCCCTTCAACCACCAAATGCAGATAACCCCAACTCTTTAGAAACAAAAGAGCCTCACGAAGCACCAAAGCTTCAGCCAAAGCAGGACTACTGATACGTGAAAGGAACACTGAAGCAATTTTTATAGGTTGGCCCAAATTGTTTCTGAGAATCATACCTCCACTGCAAGAATGAGAAAAAGAGTTAAATGCAGCGTTGAAATTAAGTTTGTAAAAACCTATCGCAGGGGCAGACCACTTTTCTGACGGGGAGGAGACAAAAGATGTTGGGAGAGAGAGAAGACTGTGTTGACGAGAAACCTCTCGAAATTCTTGAAAATCCTTAAGAGCCCGTTGAAGAGCATCAAAAGGGTCCCAAGATTTCATAGAAAACACTAGATCATTCCTGCACCTCCAGATGGACCAACAGATGAAAGTGGCTAGCCCAATACACTCAGCTGAGCCCTCGGACAAACTCCATACCGTGCAAAGGTCGACCCACCATTTTGGCCAAAAAGAAGGTTGTTGGCCACCAAAATCAATTCTGAATGGACTTAACTTCCACACTGTACAAGCAAAAGGACACGTGCAAAGAAGGTGATCAATAGTCTCGTTGCAAAAACCACAACAAGATACTGCAGTAGCCCAAAGAAAACTGAGTTGTTTGTTCACTGGAAGCCTTTCGTGAAGGCATTGCCAAATAAAAGGTTGAATTTTTTTATACGCATGAATTCTCCAAACAGCACTCCACATCGCGCTTTGACCAACTTTGAAACTACTGCCCATATCAGACTTGGAAACTTGAGAATTATTAAGAAAAGAGAGAGCGACGTGATAAGCACTCTTTACCGAAAAACTGACCATCTTTAGAGCAACCCCAAACTTTGATGTCAGCACCTCCATAAACACTGATGGGAATTGTGAGAATGAGATCATTGTCACGCCGATTAAAATGTTGACACACTAAGGATGAATTCCATTTGAAGGTGGAGGGGATGATCAAATCTGCCATAAATGAGAAAGGAGCTCCAAGCTTTCTTGAAGTTATAGCAAGATTAGTCCTATTAGGAAGCCAATTGTCTAACCAACAGTTAACCGCTGAACCATCACCAATGCGCCACTTCATGCCTCGTTTAATAACCTCCTTTGCGGAAATAATACTCTTCCATACCTAAGAAGCAGATGCTCTATTGGGAGACTCCATAAAGGTGCAATTTTTGAAGTACTTCTTTTTAAAAGATTTGTACAACAAAGACTCATCTCCAATCTCCATCCTCCAAGCCACCTTAGCCAGAAGAGCCAAGTTGAAAGCTTCAACATTTTTTAAACCAATGCCGCCACTTACTTTGGATTTACAGAGGGTGTCCCAACTGATCCACTTAATCTTGTTAGATGTCTCTTCACCACTCCACCAAAAATTAAGGAATTTACTAGTCAAGACATTGCAATTGTTCTTTGGAATTCGGAAACACTACATTGCATAAGTTGGGAGAGCCGAAAGAACAACTTTAATCATAACCTCTCTGCCGGCTTTGGAAAGCAATTTACCTTTGAGAGATTTGGTTTTAGAAGAAACTATTTCCGAAAGAAAAGCAAACGCTGCCAATTTAGAGCGACCCAGAAGGGAAGGAAGACTAAGGTACTTGTTGGACCAGTCGACATCGCAAATACCCATAGAGAGACTAGATTGGGTCCTTTGAGATAAGGAGGTATTGGGAGAAAAAAACAAACAAGATTTATCCAAGTTGATGAGTTGACTGGTTAAAGCTTCATATCGGTCAAGAAGAATTTTCACCCTCCCTACCTCCGGATCCTTAGCCTTACAAAAAATGAGGGCATCATCTGCAAATAATAAGTGTGAAATAGAAGGACAACCGCGGCCCATTTTTAGGCCAAGAAGCTGTTTACGACTCAAAGAGTGGTGGAACAGAGTTGAAAGACCTTCGGTGCAAAAAAGAAAAAGATAGGGAGATAAAGGGTCTCCCTGTCTTAGGCCTCTAAAGGGAGTGAACGAATGACCCTTTTCCCCGTTAATGAGAACGGAGTAAGAAACAGAGCTAATACACTCCATCAACAAAGTCACCCATCGCCTATCGAACCCCAAGTGGCTCATAAATTGGCTGAGAAAAGCCCAATTAACTCTATCATAAGCCTTCGCCATATCTAATTTCAAAGCCATGAACAGTTCGCTCCAGTCTTCTTGGATTTGAGAACATGCATAAGGTCCTGGGCAAGCATAATATTATCGTGAATGAGGCAGTGTGGCACAAAGGCGCTTTGATTATTGCTTATAAGCATTGGAAGAAGAGGCTTGAGCCTGTTTGCCAAGGCCTTGGAATAGATCTTGTAAGCCACGTTGCACAATGATATAGGCCTAAAATTAACCATAGAAGTTGGGTGTTTTACCTTAGGGATGAGCACCAGATTAATAGCATTAAGACTGCGCGGCAGAGCATCACCTTGAAGAAAAGAATTGAATCCCTGAACAAGATCAGCCTTCAAAAAATCCCAATTCGTTTGGAAAAAAAGGGGGGTAAAACCATCAGGGCCAGGAGCCTTGTATGGACCCATACTCGCAAGAGCAAACCGTAATTCCGCTTCTGTACCTTCTTGGAGAAGAGCGTTGTTCATCTCCGATGTAATTTTAGGGGTGATCAACTCCCAGAACTCGGCATCAACATCGACAGGAGCAGGGGAAAAAATAAGCTGATAATAACCACTCGACGAATGTCATCCTTTGAGTCCCACCACTGGCCATTTGTATCTTCAAGACCCATGATCTCATTTTTCCTTCTACGAATTTGAGTTTTGCGGTGAAATTTTTTTGTATTTTGGTCTCCATGTTTAAGCCAAGCAATTCTTGATTTTTGTAACCAGAAAATCTCTTCTTCTCGCCAAGCATTTCCCAACTCCTATTCTAGCTTGAAGAAAACAGCTTTATCATACCCAGACACTTGTTCTTGAAAGTGCTTCAATTTCCCCTCTAAATCCATAATTTTCCAGTGGGCATTGTTGCATTTACCCCGTTTCTAGACCTTGAGGTCCGATTGACACCTGCTTAATTTTTTATTGATACAATCCAACGGAGGGCCATAAAACGGGGTGTCCCAAGCCTTTTCCACGATAGGGGTAAACTCTGCCTCCTTCACCCAGCGAGCGTCGAAGTGAAAATGTCTCTTAACGTGAGAGATAGAATCCTTGAGGGACAGCATGATGGCATTATGATCTGAACCCCGCACGTTGAGGTGATAAAGCATGCAACGCGGGAATGACTGCAACCATTGATTTGTACAGAGAGCTCAGTCAAGTCTGGCAAGAATCATGGCTCCCGTATCCCGTTTGTTGCGCCAAGTGAAAGGGAAACCTTTGAATCTGATATCCACAAGACCACAATCCTCAAGAAAATTTTTAAAATCCTTAAGCATCCATCCTTGTTTCATGCGACCCCCCATTTTTCATCTCGATGAAGTAAAGCGTTAAAATCAGCCATCAGGATACAATTGGGACCTAATTGAAATTTTAGACTGTGAATATATTTATATATATTATTTATGAATTTTTTTTTTTTTTTTTAATATTTCTTTGCATGTAGATATATGAGATGTGCACAGCTTTATTTATTTATTTATTTTTAATTCCAAGTGCATATTTGTTGATTTGCTTTCTATTGAGCGTCCTTGCTGGATCCCTCGTCTCTGGTGTACAGGTAATGCTGTACTTGTTGCTTGGGAAAATTGCTTGGGAAAATCTCCAATACCTATAATTTTTAACTCGCTAGATCCTATATGTGTTGTTTGTTATGCTACATGAACTTTTATTTGATAATTTTGAAATGTTATTAATGGTAAAAATGATTAAATATTTTCCATTACGAGATTATCCACTAACGGGAGCCATTTTTGGAGTTGTACATGTACTTGGGAAAAGTTTGTTCTGATCATCTCTCTCTGCGCAGATTGCTATTTCCTCTTCCGACACTGGTGGGGCTTGGGATAATGCCAAGAAGTATATTGAGGTAAAGTATTTAAATTGGACTGTATGAATCCTATGATCCATGCTTTGAAAATCTTATACGGACTGTTATATAATGTGTCAGCGGATCTAGATTTATCATTTGGGTGGGCTAATTTTAGTATGGTAACTGAATTGACTCGGGCTTAATTGGGTGGACTAATTTTAGAATAGACTAATATTATTAATATTTTTTTTTTTTTTTTTTTTTTTTTTTTTTTTTGAAGTGGACTAATATTAGTATGATAATTTTTTATTTTTATTTTTATTTTGGGGCTACAGCCCACTTAGGCCTACCTTTCTGTCCGCCTTCTTATGCACTGGAATTCATTTTTGGATATTATAGGCTGGTGCTTCAGAGCATTAAAGAACCCTTGGTCCAAAAGGATCTGATACAAGGCAGCTGTGATTGGTGACATTATTGGGGACCCACTTAAGGACACATATGGACCATCATTGAACATCCTTATCAAGAAGCTAATGGCAGTTGAATCACTTGTGTTTGCTTCTTTCTTCGCTACACATGGTCTGCTCTTCAAGATTTTTTAGAAGTAATCTGTACTGCTGGGAATTTGCTCCCAGTTTCCCTCTGATTATGTGGCACCAGATTAAAAAAAACAACAGAGTGATCTTGTCTGAGTTAATTTCCATTTTAATGGCAATGGCGCATGTATGAACTCCAATGGGGAGTGATATCTTGTCTTCTAGTTCAATCCTCAATCGGTTTGCTGCCTGCAGATTGAAGGCTACATGATTCACAAGATTTTGCAAAATTGCTATCATCAACTCTATTTTGCAGAATACTTGAAAACGTGTGTTGTCATGGTCTGGTGGCAGGAGGGGCTAGCACTCGGTGGAAACTAGAGTTCAAATCTCATTAATTATAGTTTATTACAAGGCCACAGTTTTTATGAATTACATCTGATCTTGCAAAAGGGTGCTAATAAACACTTGGTCTTGAGTTTTGGAAGAGTTACTGGAGCCAGATGGAAGACATTTTAAAGCAGATGTCGTCTATAAATTCTATTTCAATGCTGGTATATTTACTGTCTTCCTACTGCAGATCCATGTTTCATTGTCTTCAAAGCTAATGCTCTTACATCCAGGTTGATGGGATAATCTGTTGATTCACTTTTATATGTTGGAGGAGCTGAGAACTCAGCTCTTACTTTTATATTGATGCGCATTTCATCATGCTTCTTTCATGGTGCACTTAATCTTCAAAAGTACATATGCACTTACCAATAGATTAGTCAGGGCATATAACCTGTGTCTAATGTAGATATAACTAAATAACAGGTGTTTCTGCTTCTGTTATCTGTAACTGCAGTTTTATATTGCGGTAAAATAATTTACTTTTGTGTGCTTGATCCTTAAAAATATGTTATCGTTGCACTAAACATTTCTTACAGTGTTGGGAAAATTTTCTAATCTAAGCTCATTTAAAAGATAAACTGTTGGAAATCAATGGTATTTTATGGATCCAACTGGAAACATGGATACCGAACTCAGCCAAACATACGTGCATGATTCTTTGTGCTGTGTACTGGAAGTGTGTGTTGTCTGTAATTGGGTTGTTCTTGTATAAGATCGGAATCGCGATTGTGGTGTTGGTGTCTCTGCCGGCAGCTCCTCGTTCGTCGTCATCGGCAATTCCTCGTTCACCGTCGTCAGATCTGTAGCCTCGTTCGTCGTCGTCGGATCTGAATCTTGTTTGTCGTCGTCTCTGCCTTGTTCGTCGTCGCCAGCAACTCCTCTTTGGTTGTTAGCAAGCTTGCCGACATTTGCTGTCTCGATTTGCAGAATTGAGGTTCATTGATTCGCGTTTTTTGGCCGGAAGTTGCAGCGGTCACTGCTTATTGATTTGGCCATTGCTTGTGATTGGGTTGCCGTTGCCTCCGCTGCGTTGTTCACTGGCGTTTGTGAAGGTGTGAAGATGAAGACCCGTGTTTGGCTACACGGTTATGCTATTCCAACCTTGGTTTACTAAGCCTGGGATAGCCCAGATCTGGCTCGTTTGCCTAGATCCGGGCCGTTCACCCAAATCCGGACTGATCGCCCAGATCTAGCCCGTTTGCCCAGATCTGGCCCGTTTGCCCAGATCTGGCCCGATTGCCTAGATCCGGCCCTTTTCCAGGTTCGGCCAGAATACAGATTCTGCATTTTTTTTCTTCTCTGTTTCACTGGATTCAACATGACGTCCAGTTCAGATTTGCTTTCTCCTACATCCAGTCTTCATTCTCCCATGACTTCAGTTAAACTCAATGGGAAGAATTACATATTGTGGGCTAAATCTGTTGCAATTTTTCTCAAAGGCAGAGGTCTTGGTACTTATCTGACTAAAGATAAACTCAAGGAAAATGATGCTTCTTTTGATGCATGGGAAAAGGACGATGCTCAGATTATCTCTGTGATGTTAAACAGTATTGAATCCCAAATCAGTTCAACTTTACTTTATTTGGATACTGCCAAGGAGATATAGAACAGATTGCAACAATTGTATTCTGGGACAGGTAATATCACTCGTGTTTATGAGCTCTATTAGCAGTACTTCAATCTTGAACAAGGTAATCACAGTATAGAAGAGTATTATTCCAAAGTTATGGGAGTTTGTGAGGAGCTGAATATGTATCAGCCCATTACTGCTGATGTTCGAAGTATGCAACAACAGCGTGAGGATTTTAATGTTGTTTGTTTTCTTACTGGTTTGTCATCAACATATGAGTCTTTTTGTGCACAGATTATGGGCAGTCCCACACTTCCATCTCTTGCCGAGGTGTTTTCTCGACTTCAGCGCGCTACACTTACAAGTGATACCTTAAATTTGAATACTGGGTAGAGTGGTGAGCGTTCAGCATTGGTAGTTTCAAAGGGTGAACATAATGCTTACCGTGGAGGTCGTAGGGGAAGCTTCACACGTGGTGGTCGTGATTCATGGGGAGGACGTGGCCGTGGCAGGCAATCACGAAAATGTACGAAAATGTACTCATTGTGGCCTTTATAATCATACTGTGAATTTTTGTTGGGACCTTCATGGCAAACCATCTAGTTATGCAAATCAGGTTTCCTTATCTCCGGATGATGTTGTTTCTGGATCTCACAACGTAGCTGAATCAGATATGGTCCCTGTTCCACGTGATGAGTATACTCAATTTTTGTCTTATAAGCAAACATCTAATTCATCTTCCACGACTACCTTTGCCCAGTCAGGTATTGCACACACATGTCTATTGTTTTCCATTCGCAGTCCTTGGATCATAGACACTGGAGCATCCGATCATATGACTGGATGTTCTTCTCTCCTGTCTTATTTTAATTTTGTACCTCCTTCTCAAAGTGTTACTCTTGTTAATGGTTCATCCATTAAAGTTTCAGGTTTGGGGACAACTCAACTTAGTGATTCCTTGTCTCTCTCGCCTGTTTTATATGTTCCATAGTTTCCCTTTAATTTAATGTCTATCAGTAAGCTTACTAAATCTCTTCAATGCTTTGTTACATTTTATCCTAATTCTTGTGTGTTTAAAGATCTCAAGACGAAGAAGAAGATTGGTACGGGGTATGAAGCTGGTGGCTTATATTTATTTGATTTGGAACCTTATTCTGTGGCTCTTCAGTCTTCTCTATTTCCATTCCAGTGGCACTGTCGTCTTGGTCACCCGTCACTTCAAGTTTTGCAACGTTAAGTTCCTAATCTTAGTCATTTGAAATTCTTGTCATGTGAAGTTTGTCAACTTAGTAAGCACCATCGCGTGTCTTTCAAGTCTAGGGTTAATAATCGTGTCTCTAATCCTTTTCATTTGGTTCATTCAGATGTATGGAGTCCAATAAAGCATTCTTCAATCAATAAATTTCATTATTTTGTGACATTTGTGGATGATTATTCTCGCCTGACTTGGTTGTTTCTAATGATCGTTCTGAGTTATTTTTAATTTTTCAAAAATTTCGAAATGAAATCAAAACTCAGTTTGGATGCCCAATTCGTATTCTACGTTCTAATAATGCTGAGGAATATTCTTCAACCCCTTTTGATATATATCTTAATGATAAAGGAATTATTTATCAAAATTCATGTGTTTATACTCCTCAACAAAATGGAGTTGCAGAATGTAAGAATCGACACCTCTTAGAAGTAACCCGTGCTCTGTTGTTTCATATGCGTATGCCTAAATGGTTTTGGGGTGATGCTGTTCTTACTACCTGTCATCTTATTAACCATATGTTGTCATCTGTATTAGATGGCAAATCTCTATATTCTATTTTATTTCCTGATTCTCCCTTGTTTTCTCTTCCTCCTAGAGTTTTTGGATGTGTGTTATGTCCACAATCTTGGTCCTGGTTTTGATAAATTAGACCCACGTGCTACAAAGTGTGTATTTCTTGGATACTCTCATTCTCATAAAGGTTATCGCTACTATAGTTCTGTTTCTTAACTGTACTTTATTAGCGCGGATGTAACTTTTTGTGAGTCCATCCCATATTTTTCAGATAATGATTCACTTCTTGATATCACTCCTGTGTCGCCTCTTCGTGCGGTTCCTCTTCCCTCATTTTCTCTTCAACTTAGATCTTCTTCGCTTGCCCCGTTACAGGTGTATACTCGAAGACCAAAGCCATCTGTTGTCGTGCCTCCTCCATCGTCTTCAGAGTTTTTGGATCTAACATCATTTACTGTGTCTAATTCCTTGCCTATTGCACTTCGTAAAGGTATTCGCTCGTGTGTCACTAATCATCTTATTGCTCATTATGTCTCTAATAATTCCTTATCGCTATCCTTCTCATGTTTTTCCTCTCAGTTGTCTACTTATGTTACCGAGACTCGGGTACGGACACGGGTACGTGTCTAGAGGTCGGATCCACCAATCTATTCAATTATAGGACACAGGGACACGGAATAAAATTATCTAAAATTCGGACACGGGTATTTGGACACGGCATACAAAATATTAAAAAATGAAAAATCATATTAGTGATAGTCTGATAGATTTAATCATATAGGCAACTAAGCATGGCATAAGGCAGCATGCAGCAACTAACAAGATAACTTAGATAAATAAGAGATGATGTTAATTCATAATTGTTAAATAAGTTAAATAACTAAATAAGTACCTTATTGAATTGAGTCAATTGACTGAATTCTCACACTTGCACCACATAGATTCGGATTTCAGTCTTCACTCTTCAGTCACACAGCATACAGATACAACACGACAGGTCCACAGTCAGACTCTGCACTTCAAAAGTTTGCACCTGAAAAGGCTGAAATATTATTTGAAATTTATGTTATATTGACATTAACATATTGTTATGAACTATTGAACTTATGAAAAAATAGAAAAAAATAAACAAATGCAAAATTGTTGAGTAGAACTGTATAAAGATTAAAGACAAAGATATTAGAAACTTAGGAATCTTAGGACTTTAGAGTTTAGAATTTCATAATGAACTCAAAGACTTTAAACTTTAGACCATAAGGTCCATAATTATATCATTCATATCATAAAGTCATACACTAACAGATTACCAATATGCAATAGCAACAATACCAACTGCTAAGTGCCACCAACTACCAAGTAAGCAAGTACCAACAAGGCAACAACTTGCAAGGCAACATTCCAAAAATTTAAAACAAAAGACAAAAGTTATATCATAATTCATATAAAGAGATAAATATAAGAAAAACAAAGGCCAAAAGGTATAGTTCATCTTTTGCTTCATTTCTTCAATCCATCATTCCTTGTTGGAATTCTTCAGGTTGTTCAGTCCCTAAGGTAGTACTCTCTTCAAACTCTTCATCAAATGTCATAAGCTCTAACTCAGGCTCATTGATGGAAAGCTCCACAAGTTCCCCAAGAGTATTACCATCAATATCAAACTTATCACCACCTATTAAATAAAATAAATTAATAGTGATGTAAAAAAAAATAAAAAAAAATGTAGTAGAAGAATATCTATGAAAGTCCCGTTGAAGATATTTAAATTTAAAAGTAAATTTATGAACTTACACAAGTCCCAATATTTTATTGGCCCTTCCTTGTATTCTTTCTTTTTTCTTGACAAGAGACGGAGGTTGCAATGTACAAAGACCGAATCCTCAGCTCTACTTGTAGTCAATCTGTTTCTTTTGATGCTTTGAATAAGAGAATATGTACTCCAATTTCTTTTGCAACAAGATGATGATGCGGGTTGTGAAAGCAACTTGAATGCTAAAACTTGTAACATTGGTGTTGAAGCACCATGATTAGCCTACCATGAAATTGGTTCCTCATACAATTTTGCATCAATAACATGAGGCTCATTAAAGTAACCAGATCCACTTGAAAAAGCTCCATATTCGATATAAACTTTTTGAAGATCATCTTGATTGCTAAACAATCGTTTGAAACATTTGTTTCTATTTAAAAAGACCTCTTGATCTTCATGTGGTGAGAGCCGTGAAACTCCATCATTTCCACCTCCAATCCAACCTTCAGTGTAGTATTTAGGAACTAATGAATGAGCCATACAATGCAGTGGATTGTTACTTTTATTCCATCTTGTCTCCAAAATATTGTGAATGACGTCAAAGAAATTACATTGGCCAGTGAGCAGATCTTGTTTTTCATGTCCAAATATTCTAGATTTAACTTTCTCAATCATTGTGTCCCACATATCATAAATCAAATGGAGAACAAGAGCATCAGTGTTTGCTAACCTTAGAAATTCAACAATAGACTCAGTAAAATCCAAGAGATATTCCAAATCAGCCCACCAACTATCATTTACAATGGAAATTTTAACTTCCCTAACCTTGATTTCAATTGCTGATTTTCCATCCCATTTTAGATGCATTCTCCAACTTGAATCCATCACCATCTTCTCAAGTGCATCATTCACTTCCCTCATGCGTTTTGCCATAATAATGTTTAATGCAAATCTTGTTTCCGCTACTCTTAGCAAACCCAATTTCGAGTAAGTATTGAAAATTGAAAGTACCATGCTATGGTTAACAATGAAATTTCTTATATTTTGCACACTACTCACCAAATCAGCAATCCACTTACATTCAGCAAATTGAGGTGAATTTTTAGATGGTTCATAAATACTTTTTAAAGCTAAATTTAGGCAATGCACAACACATGGAGTCCAAAATATGTGAGGATATATACTTTCAATTATGCCCCCAGCAACCTTAAAGTTACTTCCATTATTCGTAATCACTTGAATAATATTTTGTGAACCCACTTCTTGGATCACGGGTTTGAACAGATTTGCTACATAATCAACATCCTTTATGTTGCCACTTGCTTCAGCTGCCTTTAAGAACATTGCACCACCTACTGATGCAGCCATTATGTTTATCAGTGGCCTTCATTATCTATCCGACCACCCATCAGAACAAAGGGACATGGCTTTCTTTTCCCAAGTATCTTTTATCGGTTGGAGCTTACGATTCATATGTGCTTTCTCTTGAGCTAGCAATGTTATTCGTAATCTATCGAATATTGGAGGAGTATAGCCAGATAACTTACTGTTGGCTAATGTGAGTGAATATTTTCTGAAGTGAGGGCACCTTGCCAAGTTGAAGGATAAACCAGACGCATAGAACATGGGAGCAGCTTGCTTATCTGCCATATCTCTTTGTGCTACATTAAATGCATTTTCCAGCACTCCTGGAGGTGATGCCCTTCTTTTTTCGCATTGTAACAAATTTGATCTTTCAGGCAAGGACAAATAATCTTCTTTCTTTCTCACATTCAATTCTTCTTGAGCTTTTTTGCTTTCAGAATGGCCATGTTCCTTCTTTAATGCTTGAAATACATCATTATTGATAGACTTGCAAGCTTCAACTTCTTGATTAGGAATCTTCAATAAATGACCCTTCACTTTTGAATAGGATCCAGTAACCTTTTTGTTGCAGTAATTGTAAGACCAGGTTCTGTTTCCACCTCCACGTACTGGTAGGCTAAGAACCTTCACATGATTCCATAATGGTTTGTCATCAAATTCTGACCCTAGAGCTTTTGATGGTCGTAGGTTTGTCTTTCATTTCCCTTTGACAGATTGTTGAGATGGAGAGGACATTGTATCTAAACTCTAAAGCACAAGTGTATATATAAATGCATGATATATTTAATTAACAGAATAAAACTTAATAGAATAAATTATCAAAAAAAAATTCTCGAAACTTAAAAGAATAAAATTATTCCAGTATTAGTTGATTCAGTTGTATCAGTTGATTCAGTTGTATAACCAATGAATGTATAAAGGAAATAATACGTATGGTTACTATATTCTCGGCAGAGACAATTGATTCTAACTGGCGCCTTCCCAAGTTACTAAAAGGTGGCTTTCGGATTTCTGACTACTGGCAAATAATTGATTCTATGAATAGTGACCTTCTTCCTCTTCTTTTCTGTCTTACTAGTTTTGCCATGAGAGAGAGAAAGAAGTTATATATACCTATTGTTATAAATTATAATGAACATAATAAAATTTAAAAGAATAAAATTATCAAAAAAAATTCTGAAAACTTAAAGGAATAAAATTATTTATTAGAGGTGCATAAAATAAAATTATACAAGTATGGGTTGATTCAGTTATATAATCATACAGAGAGAGAGAGAGAAGATATATATACCTGTTCAAGGGTTGTTTGTGTTGCAGTCTTGCAGATCAGAGTATATAGAATAACAACATAAAAAATATACAGGTCGGAGCAACATAAAAATGGTGCAGGAAGAAGAGAGAGAGAAGATGAAAATGGTGCAGATGGCTGGAGCTCTTCTGAAAATGGTGGCGTGTAAGAATGGTGCACTGCTTTGAGCCATAAAATATGTCACAGTAGCATTTAATGACTGACTACGCCATCACCCCCAAACAGCCTTTTGATTGATATAAAATCTAATATTATATATTAAGTTAAAATTCAAACAACTTTCGTACCTGTGAATCTGTGATGATGTGAAGTCACAAAATTAATGTATAGAATTAGCAACATTAATTTAATAATAAATATTTTATTTCTTTACCTATAAATGTAAGCAATTATTCTTAATTCAATGATGATGTGAAGTCACAAAATTAGTGTATAGAATTAGCAACATTAATTTAATAATAAATATTTTATTGCTTTACCTACAATGTAAGCAATTATTCTTAATTAAATATTTCATTATCTAACTCAATTGATTATTATAGTCTCTCAATTATTATATAATTATCTATGGATTACTATGTCTCATGAACTCAATTACTATATAGTTATCTATTGATTAGTGATTATTATAGTCTTATTAGTTAACTATTGATTACTATAGTCTTATAAGTTCAATTACTATATACTTATCTATTCATTACTACAGTCTCAATAGTAAAGTAATGATTATTATAGTCTCGTGAGTTCAATTATTATATAATTATCAATTGATCAGTGATCACTATAGTCTCGTTAGTTAACTTTTAATTCCATGCGTTTAATTATATAGTTATATAGGATCACTATACTAGTATAGCCTCCTTAATTCAATGTGTTTGATTGTATAGTTATATATAGATAACTATACTAGTGTGTGATTTTTAATTCCATGTCTTTAATTATGTAGTCATATAGGATTACTATACTATTTTAGCCTCCTTAATTTAACGTGTTTAACCATATAGTTATATATGGATCACTAAACTAGTGTGAGATTTTTAATTTCACGTGTTTAATTATATAGTTATATAGGATCACTATCAGTGGCGTAGCCAGGAATTTTCTTGAGTGGGGGCAATCTTTAATAGCAATAATATATATATGTGTGTGTGTGTGTGTATATATATATATAATTTGAACCAAAACAATATATGTAAAAATTAAAACATTGATTCATTATATTTCTATTCAGTACATTCATAACGATTTTTTCAGATTATTCATTGTTGTTTCAAAATTGAGTTCATTTAATTAAATATACTAAAAAAAATCATATTCAATGAATCAAGAATAAAACATGAAAAAGAAAATAACACAGTCACTAGTTCTGATATATCACATATGTTAATAAAAATAAAAATAAAAATCCATGATAACAGTTAATCTGTGATTTCATTAATTTGGGCGGCAATTAAAAACAAATTCTAAGTGTTATTTAGAGAATAATAATTAGTAACACGATTACACAAGCTAAAATTTGAAAGAACAAACAAGCCCTAAAATAATTTTGGTAGTAATAACTAATAAATTTTCTAATTAAAATTATAATATGAAATAATAATCGTAAATTTATATGATAAAAAAAAAAAAAAAATTCAGATTACCAGTCTGCCGCACTGCAGTACGACTCTTAATCATTCTGTCTATTGGTAAATGGTTGCTCCGCTTGCTTTGTTTGGATTGTGAAAAATGTTGAAAATTGAAGATATGATGGAAACAATCCATTTGTTTATGATAAAGTCAAAAGTGTGATAAAATATTAGGAAAGAATATAATATTTTGAGAAAGTAGAAAAAATATCATATTTTATGGAAAGTAATAAATTGATAGAATGTTTACAATTATGTGATGATTATATTCCTTTGTTTTGTGCCTCCTCCTCCTCCTCCATTTTTTTTATTTTTTATTTTTTTGAAAAACCGTGAATGAGTTTTTGATTTTTTTTATATATATATATATATATATATATATATATATATATATAATATCAAATTTTAAAAGGGACAATTATACAAAAATAAAAATCTTTCCATATAAAATTTTAAAAATTTAAAAGTTGAGTGGGGGCAATTGCCCTCACTTGTCTCTATGTGGCTACCCACTGATCACTATACTAGTATAACCTCCTTAATTTCATGTATTTAATTATATAGTCATGTAGGATTACTATATTATTATAGCCTCCTTAATTCAATGTGTTTGATTAGGACAAATATAATTCAATGTGTTTAATTATATAGTTACATATGAATCACTGTACTAAGTGTAACCTTCTTAATTCCATGTGTTGAATTATATAGTTAAATGTTTAAAGATAAGCTTTTTTTTTAGTTAAATACTTAATTTTATTCTAATATTTTTGTAAATAAAATAAATAATTTAATGTGTAATTATTTATATAATTATCTTACTAATAATTGGGTATGTGAGATTTAAATAGAAAAGAAACTTAAGTAATATAAATTTTAATTTTTTTTTTTTTTTTTTTTGTAGGATATTTATACCCTTAAACATGATTAATGAGTAATAAGAAAATTATATAATTTTCTTAGCAATAAGTGGGTGTGTAAACTACCGAGCTTTAAATATGGGATAAAAAGTTAATTAATTTAAATATAATGTATATAATATTTTTTAGAATATATATAAACCTCAAACATGATTAGTAATTAATGTGAAATTAGTTTACTTTCAATATTTTTTATATGGAAGTTATATAAAAAAGGCATAAGTATTTATTTACCCTTTTTAATGGATTTATGAGATTTAATTGTCCACTTTAAAAGTCAAAGCAAATAAGCAAATAAGTCTTAAATAAGTATACATGTAAAGTTATAAACTATTGTGTATTTTATTGTAACAGATTTGTATATAGTTTGTTGTATTGATGATGGTAAAATAATGTACAAAGCCCAATGCCCAAAAATAACCTTGTCTAAATTATTATTTTAATGGACAAAAAGTGACCCATAGTGTTTCCTGGGCAATATCACAGTGTTTCTTGCACTGCTGGCAGGCAATATAAACTCTGAAAAAAACAGAGAGGGAAAAACAAAAAATAAAATAAAATAAAATAAAACAAAACTGGGGAGAATATTTTCCATGAATACAAAATTACATAATTGTTTTAACTTACAAACGAAGAGTAATAAATAGGTTTTTTTTTTTTTTTTTTTGGGAAGGTAAATGTATTGTATTGAAAGAAAGTATTTATAGCAGGCCAAAGCCTCAACCAATGGCCCAACCCATAAGTTAAACAGCCCATAAGGCCTTACAGATGGATCAAGACGTATTCAGTCTAAGGTTTCCTAAACTAAAGAAGTCTAAGCCAAAGATCATCCGGTTCCAAGTGGCGACGCAGGTGATGCACTAGCTGCACCGTGCTCATCAATTTGGAGGCTCTGCCAGCGGCCGTATGAAGGAATAAGGCAGATCCCATGTGAGTATCATTCTCCTAGCACAACCAGAGTCTTTAACCACTATTGATGATAGTCTCTGCCTTATCAATAATAAATAGGGTTATTCTTATCAAACCCCCCCTCCCACACACATATATATACACACACACACAAGAGGGAAGAAAGAAAAGGACACTCAGATCTTTTGAAGGGGCAAAAACGCAACACACACAAGAGGGAAGAAAGAAAAGAACACT